TGGATCTGGTTAGATCTGGATCTGTTCAGATCCAAGGTCTGAACGGATCTGGATCCCCCCAGATCCTCTTCACGTGATCTCATCACATGATTTTCTGCCGTCACGTGACCTCGTCACATGCCTCYATGGTTCTCTGTGGTAATGCAGCACATTACCCGAGCCTCAGGCCATAAGGTTGGCGTTCGTAACAGTAGTATTATATTTATCTCTATACTTTCGTCAAGTGTTATTTATTTACTAAGTTTCTCAAGTCTTTTTTAAGAGTTAGGTAAAGTCAAACTCTCTAGACTAGTAACTTCTACTTATAGTACTAAGTCTTCTACTGTCTAGTATAATAGAAAGTTATTAGTTTACTGAGTTTCTATAACTCTAAGTTAGCTGTAAATACTTATAAATTCAAGATCTTCTTCAGTTAGATTCTTTCGTCTAGTTATATTTATTTATCAGTAGTTAGTAATATTAATTTGTCGAGACTTTCTTTTCTAAGTTTATTTATTCTTTTATAACTTTCTTTTATAATAAGAAATAGTTTAGTATCTTAGAAGTCTATATTCAAAGTATAAATCTTTTTCCCGACATTTGTTTTATTCTTCGTTCAAAATAAATTTCTTTCTTTTATATTAAGTTATATTAATTGTTCTAGTTTTCTTCTATTAATATCTTTGTCTAAACTAGTAGTTTCTTTTTTAATTTTCTCGTAGAACGTAGTTCTTCTTGAATTTTTATAAACGATTATTTAACTAGATAATATTTTCAATTATACTAACAATGTTGTTATAGACTATATTTTATTATACTATTTTTTTATAAATATATTCTTTTAATCTTCGATAGAATAATTCTATCAAAGTAAAACTGTCTTATTTTATCTTAGTATTATATTTTTGGAACTCTATTATATAAATAAAAGTTATTCCAGTTTAGCGAAAATCAAATATCTTTCGTATTATTACTTAAATAATATCGATATCTCCAAATATTCGTTATATTTCTTTCTTTATTTTATTCTATAATTTAAAGATAATTTTCGTAACTACTATTTTCCTATCTTCTAATTTATTTCTGAAGAAGTCTTCAAAGAATAGTTGGACTTATTCTAAAACTAGTTCTTGTAAGTAAGAAGTTATTTAAAAGTTTTATTAATTATAGTTAACTTCGAACTTTTTATAGTTGAAATTGAAATAGATTTCTACTTGAAAGATGAAAGTCTCGAAATCTTTTTAGTTATTATTATATTTGTCGGGGAAAATAATATAAATTGATTTATTAACTTCGACTTTGAATTTATAGAGTAAGTCAGATATCTCAATATTTTCCTAGAGTCTACTAGTCGATAGTGTAAAGTTTACTTAACTAGTACTCGGGTTAGCGACAGCTAACTACTTCGTAGTAAGTAGCTTCGCAGCTAGTAGAGTTGCTAAAACTATAGTAATTTACTTACTTCAGCAAAGAAGTACTCAAAATATAACAGTTCTAATATTTCTTCTAACAGAGAGTCGTATTAGAAGTATTCTATTTCGTTTACGTAGCGAAGTAATATAGTGATCTCTTTTAATAATCTGTAAATAATATCAGAGTAAGTGAATTATAGAAAGAGTCAAATATTAATTAAAGTAAACTATTATAATTGATATTTAAGAATCAAGTTGAACACGAAACTTCTATCTAGTAAGGAAATTATATTGTTTATATAGAACTTTCCTGTTCCTAGATCTAGTTAGATCTAGATTTATTTAGATCTAAAGTCTGAATAGATCTAGATCTCCTTAGATCTTCTTTATATAATCTCATCACATAATTCCCCGCTGTCACGTGACCTCGTCACCTGCTTTTATAGTTCTCTGTAGTAATACAGTACATTACCCGAACTTCAAACTATAAAGTTAGTGTTCGTAACACTATATCGGAAATCCGATATTTGAGAAACTTTTACTATTTCTTTAGACATTTAGTATAAGTAAAACTTTCTATTACTACTACTAGAACTATTTCACGTTCAAAGTGAAACTTCTTTTAAATATATTAAAAGAACTCAAAACTATTAATTATAATACTTTTAATATCGTACTTCGAACTTCGATAAATATATTCATTATACTTTTTCGACTTTTCATTCAGGACTATATAAGTCCGGTTATATTTTTCACAACTTGAATAAAGTATTATTTCGTTATTTTTAGAATTTATAAAATCAGTAAATAGTCTATAGTTCTTAAATTTGTTATAATTTGAAGTTATATTAAAAGAGAAGAAAAGTTATATTTAATATTCGACGTTTTCGATATAACTTTTAAACTAAAAGATTACGCTAAACTATATAGAAAATAGTGTTATAAACGCCAACTTTATAACTTGAAGCTCGGGTAATATATTATATTACTACAGAGAACTATAGAAATATATAACGAAGTTATATAACAACAGGGAATTATATAATAAGATCACGTAAAAAGGATCTAGGGAGATCTAGATCTGTTCAGACTTTTGATCTGAATAGATCCAGATCTAAACAGATCCAGGAGTAGGAAAGTTCTATATAAGTAATATAATTTCTTTACTAGATAGAAGTTTCGTACTCAACTTGATTCTTGAATATCAATTATAATAGTTTACTTTAATTACACTTGACTCTTTCTATAATTCACTTACTCTAACATTACTTACAGATCATTAAAAGAGATCACTACATTACTTCGCTACGTAAACGAAACAGAACACCTCCAGTATAACTCCCCGCCGGAGGAACTATTGGAACTGTTACACCGAAATCCCTTCCCCTAGACCTATGAGTGCCTTAGTCAGCAAAACGCGCACTTAACTTAGCACGCTCTTCTTTCACCGAAAAAAAGAGCTCTGGTATAAGAAGTAGGTAGACGAAAGCTTCGTTTGTCGTGTTAGGAGCTTCCTCCTCCATAGTTAATAGTCGGGGCAGGTCTTGCAGTATCCTGCAGATCTAGGGCCAAACTACTTATTACAGTCGACTTATCACGGTCGACTGGCCCGTGCCCACCCCCTTGTCCGGGGGCGACTGGCGCGGGGAAAACGCTCATTGCGGTCAAATAAGCCCGAGCGCTAGGGGTAGGGAGAAATATTGGCGGCTACTAGTGGTTATGATAGGTGGCGCGAGGTAGACTAGATGTTTGTATGGCCCTGTCTTTTCGAGGAAGCCGATGTATTGGTTGAACGGAGATTTCGGTCTGTACTTTTCAAGTTGTTTGCAGAAGTCATGTTGTATGCAGAAGTCCGGGAAGGCAGGATCTACTAAGAATGATCCGAGCAATGTTGTTGTACTAGCTCTCGTCGTTGCCATGCCAGAACGAGCTGCAGGTGAAGCTGTCGTGTCGAATCACACAGTCCTCGCCTTGAACCGTTTGACAGGCGAAGGGCATGATGTAGAGTTCTCTCGTTTTAATGCCCCGGAAAGCTCAACTAACCGGTCTTGCGCCCGTTGCTGAGATTTGGTTCTTGTCTTTTGTGGCGATGCCGACAGAGCCTCATTGAAAGTGGAGTCGGCTTCAATCCAGACAGGTTCTAGGGTTGTTGGAGCCCCTGAAGAACAATGTGCAAATGCCATGTTGAATCTGACTATAGGGAGGCCTGGCTGCTCAATAGTAACATGTTGCGACTCTAGTCGGAAATGTGCGGTATGTTTCTCGTGGATCTTGCACGCTCGCTCCGATGCTTGGTGCAATTGCGCTGATGCAGTTCGCACCAGTCTACAATCTTTCACTGCTTCATCCGTTCGCGGAGGAGAAACGGACGAGGGTATCGGTAGGTGCTCAACGTCATCTAGCTTGTTTGTCTGCGCAGCAAGAGTACGGAAATCTTGGTTGAGATTTCTGAGGTCTTCAAGTGTCTTCTCTAGTCGAGACTCGGAAAAACTGAACTTCAACCTCTTTCCAATTCGTGACCTCCAAGCTTTGTCTCCTATTGAACTGAGCTGGAACATGTTATTAGTTTCAGAGACCATTCTTGAGATAATTGCCCAGAAGTCCGAAGTCTTACAGGAAATGACTGTTGTAAGACCAACCCAAAGCTTTCAGTCTTTTCCTCGATCTCTCCTAATTTTCCTCGCATGAGACTGATTAGGTTCTTACAAGCCACCCCAGAGTCTCCAAGCTGCCTGGAGAACCTCTCATTCAAATCCTGATCGTTCCATGAGAAGTGCTTGCCCTCTCTTAGCATGTCTTTTGCAGTTTGCCGGTTGGTGAGAGTGGCTAAGAGCAGGTGACATTCATTCCTAAAGATAGTTTTCTGAGTGCCTAATTGCTGCTGGTATAGCTCGAGCTCGGGTGCAAACTTGCGATATCGGTTGAAAGGTCAGAAAACAGCTTCGTAGTGCTCTGCTGCCGATATCATGAGGGGTAACACCCCTAACACGAACCCGACAGCTTCAACTCCTGTCATTTCGACGATTTCCACATAGTAAGCGATGAGATTCAACGAAAGCTGGAATGGATGCCTAAAAGACGAAGCTTGAAAAGTTGTGTTCCATGAATTCTTTTTCAAAGTGAGGCTGTGCAAGCCTCTCTGTGAGGTGGCGGGCTGAGTTGCAGCGAGGCGGACCGACCGCACTGCCTTGGGAAGTGCCCACGTACGACCCGGCGAACCTCACAAACTTCCCCATGATTCCCAACCTTATCAACTATGGGCTACGGTTGTACCGCTGGCTACTGAATCTTTCGTCGCAAGTCGAAAATGCACCCAACCGGCAAGTCAGGCAAGGTAGTGGAGTGGATTGACGGGACGACAATTCATCGATCAGGGGACGTTCAGGAAGACGGTGTAGCATCCGGGTTTGCCTGGACCCTGTATGAGCTCGATCTCAAACTTTTAACTAAACTATTCCCAATATTATCAAACGACTTCCATAGAATCTCGCGCAAAGATGTCAAAAATTTTAAAAAATCCCTCAGAGATTTGTTCTTGTAGGGAGACGGATTTCGTGACGGGAGGCTGGAAAAGGTTGTGGAGGAGTCGGATGATCTTCAGGAGACACTGGTTTCCTCACTGGTTGGAATAGGAAGACTGCTGATATCTAGTGAGTCAAACTTGCTGTTGCCTGCATATTCTGGGAAAGTTGACCTAATTTCGAAATAATTGATACCCCAAGAGAGAGCATCACTCTACGTCGTGATGAGTCCGAAACCCTCGTTGAAGAGCTCAGGATCATTTTAGAAAAGGCAAAAGCCCTCGTACAAAACAGCCCTGATGATAAAGGCATTTCTGGTGGTGAGACAACCGATGATGACGCCCATGAAGAGCGGGATAAATTTCGCATTTTCATTCATTCGTTGAAAATATATACCACATGTCTCATGGACCTGCTTCCTTCAATGGAAGACACACTGAGCCTTGCACGTCAAGCCACAGACGAAGATCAGCCTTCATTGCCATTGGAGTTTCATGTCTCTGGGCCTGCCAGAACGTACATTCTCAATATCTGTGATCGCTTCCCGAAAGCTGATTCTCTACTTGTGGAGAGGCTTGGAGAAGCGAACTGGCAACGGCATACTGCACTCCGCGGGCTTCCTACGCAAACAGATAGCTCAGATGTCCCTGTTGAAGAACCAGCCAAATCTGTTTTTGTCCCAGTCTCATTATTCCAGGACTCTGGTTTAGGAAGCTCGCTGCCAGCACAAACGAGCTATACCGCAACTTCCGCATCACACACATCATTTGTTTCGAGCCAGGCCGATGAAGAGGCTGGAAGGCTAAGAGTCCCTCCCACACCCAAGGCGGTTTTCAAAGGAATCCCGTTCAGTTGTGAAACTTGTGGCCAGACGTTGAGTCAAATCAAGAACCGCATTGATTGGAAGTATGAGAGACTTCCCCTTTATACTAAGAGAAAATTGTTTGCTGACGTTGCCAGACGACACGTTTTTGCTGATCTGAGGCCATACCTTTGCACTTTCTCAGATTGTAAAAATGTACTCAGGACATTTCCGACCCGAAAGATGTGGGAAACCCACGAGTTTGAGCAACATCGATTCGACACGGTATTACACTGCTCATTGTGTCGAAGCAGTCTTACCGGTAGTTTCTCAACAGAAAAAGAAGGCAATGCGCATCTCAAATCTGCGCATGGAAGGGCACTCGAGAAGAAAGCACCTGGAAGCCCGCTGGGATTGTATAAGTAAAGAAAACCTCATGAGGCAGCATCTCTTTCATGCCCCTTATGCTTATGCGTGCTAGGCACGTCGAGGCGCAATTTCGTCACGCATGTCAGCAAACAGATAGAAAGCATCGCGCTGGCAGCATTACCTCGAGAAAACGGCTCCGATTCTGAGTCTGGTTCTAGCGCCAGATCCGTGACGACAGGTTCCAACGATTATGGTTCCGATGACCGCCAAGAAAATGGCCGATATGTGACAGATTCAGACACAGCTGAGCTACACGCGAATCATGCACTGTCTTCTGTCGGTACTCTGGTACCAGGTATAATGGGGCCTCCTTCGACGCCGGGTCAGCAGAATACCACTTTGCAGCCATTAATAACTCCCGTCCCACAGAGACCAATCGGTCGAGTAGAAGCACCACCTCCTGGTCAGCCTACTCATGTTCCTATAAGACTCCTTCCTTGTCCCAAAATATCTACTAACAATTTCCAGCCCGCCCCTCCAGCATGGTTAGCCCAAGGCCTTGCGGACCTCCAAAAGGAATATCCCAACGACCGTTTCGAAGGTGTTATGCGCTATTCCGCCGTATATACGGCCACAGAACTCTCTTGCGCCACGCCTCCAGCCGGCGAACCCACCTCAAAAGGTGTGAAATACATATACTTGCCTCGAATCCGATGCCACGGCTGTCCTGGAAAACCATTTACCCCTGGCCCGGAAACCACCGTGGGGAACTTTGAAATGCATTTGAAGAATCGGCAGCATAGAGGGGAGGTCGATGGTAGGGTTGCAGGTGGGTCGTCGGCGGCGAGTGGAAGCCGGGGTGCATACCTGAATCAACTTGCAGGATTTCACAACCTGCACAGCACAGTCCTCAATCGATTCCCTACCGCTGACAAGCGTCCTCTTGACTTGTATAAATTGAGGGAAACTGTTGAAACAATGGGAGGATTTGAGAAAGTCTGCGAGATGAAGAAATGGCCGCAGGTAGGACAAATTCTAGGTTATGAAGGGAAGATTATGTCGTCCCTCTCAACCTCGCTCAAGAACTCCTATCAAAGATGAGTGTTCCCATACGAAGAACATCTACAACTAGGAAAAGAAGATGTTCCTCCAAAACGACATTCCAAAGAACGCCTCACGACACCACAAAAACCCTCCGATGGTTTAGGCTCCAGTTCCGAAGCGTCTCAGAGTCCAGAGCCTCAGATGCGATCATCATCAGTACTAGAATCTGACAATGATCTGCTAGACCAAGGCGTCCAGTCTCTAGTGGAGCCAACATCGAGTCGGCGAGCAGAGATAAGCAGGCGCTCATTAAGAAGCACTGCTAAGAGCCCAAACCTCGAATGGTTCAGACGGAAAGACCCCGAGGACGAGCTAGGTTTGCCCCCTCTTCTTCAATCTCTTACAAATTTGAGGATTTTTCGCTGAATGAAGTTCTCTTGCGAAAACATCAAACTGACACGATGGATTAGGAAAAATGTCCCAAATGGGTGATATGCCAAGTAGACTGAGTGAGGAGAACGCGCCGCCACCCAAACGAGTATACCAAGCATGCGTAGAGTGTCGCCGTCAAAAAGTGAAATGTGACATGGGAAGGGTTGACAATCCTGAGGATCCACCATGCGTACGATGTCGCAGAGAGAGCAAGGAATGTTACTTCATTGCAACGAGGCGTCTCAAACGTAACTCTACATAGATAATTAGCAAACCTTAAATATATCTTTTCGACTTAATCTCGAACTAGTAGCTTATCTATAATATAGAAGTCGACTTGAGTTATTTCGACTTTATTTCTTATATAACTATTTAGTATAAAATTGCCGAGAAAGCTAATTCGACTTATTAATTCGACTACTTATATACGAAACAAGTGTCAAGCTTAGCAACGCAGACATGGTTATATTTCTGAAACACGTCAAATTAGGGATGTCGGAGCGCCGTTAATATGCTAGCTGAGGAGACGCAAATATAAAAGCAACTCTAATCTTGGCTCCCTATTTCCAATATCTATACGCCTTCCACGAACTGACGCAATCCCCACCAATCTACAACAACCCCATTCTCAGCAGCTTATTCCCCAGCTCCAAGAAGTAATAATCCGCATACACGAGCCCATGGTCACTGTAGATCTTATACGAAAATTCGTTATTATTTGCGGTTGCATTTTTGAGAATAGCGTCGAATACGACGACACCCTCCCCTTCTTTTCGTCCATCATCTACTTCGATCACAGTTGGGTACGTTCCAGATTCCGCGGTGGGGTGAGCTATCGGGACTACAAAGGCGCTTTTCGTAGCCAATGATAGTTCCAATGTGTCCGCGACGATGCGCCGCACAGCGGCGAGGAACCGCACAGCGTCGTCGGCACGCCCAGCCCCGAGCAGAGTCTGGTGGAGGATCAGTAGACCATTTGCCGCGATCATGCCTGCGGAGCTATCGCGAGGAGGCGTCGGCGCAGCTGGAGCATCAAAATCCCACAGTGGGACGTAAGGGTGGATGTATTTGCCAGAGATAGCAACCTGGGAGAGACGGGTGAGGAAGTAATCAGCAAGGGAGATCGCCGCCGTGAGGAACACGGGGTCGTGCGTCCACGTGTATGTCTGGGCAAATCCGAGTATAGCCCAAGCTTGGCCTCTGGGGAAGAAAGGATAGTTAACAAAACTGTTTATTCTTGCATTCGGTGGGGTTGAGTGAGGGATGATAGTACAAGGAAGGATAAGGGGTAGGATTTTGAGCGGACACAGTTCGAGAGAGAATAAAAGGATACGAACCTGCTCCACGTAGACCAGTCGCGATAACCTTGGTTCGTAAGCTGTTGTTTTATAGCACCAGTCTTGGAGTCGAAGTCAATTAGATGATACGTTGACCAGTCATCCCGCACGATAGCCTTGAGGACGGTGTGCGCATGGGTAGTCGCGATATCAATTAGTCTCTGCTCCCCAGTATGCGCCCCTGCGTAGTAAAGGAGATCCAGATCTAGCGCCCTGTTAGCCTGTATCATATTCCGACACCACAATCATTTGACGACTTCACCACTCCACGTCCAATACCAACTTTATACTTCGTTGCGACGAAACGGGGTGTAACCTACTGCACATGCTATCGATAATAACCAAGAAGTCCTCTTCCATGTTATCAAATGTATATCTTGCATTCTCCGTATCATCCCAGCTCCTGATCGCACCAACTTTCTCAGAGAAGCGACTCGCTAAACTTGTCGCCGCCGTCAGCACACTCTCTAGACTTCGTGCATTGCCCGTGAGCTCCCAGTCCATACGCAGCGCTGGCTGGATAATGAAGCTCATGTCATGCGTATCAGTGCGTTTCGCCATCGCGTGAAGTGGCTCCGCCCAATCGCGGCTTAGCGCAGCCAGCTGTGTTATGAAGTTTGGACGAAGGGCGGTAGGAATAGGAAGGGCTGAGGGGTACTTCATTGCGCGTTCGAGGAGGGCGTACAAGCTGCCGGGGAAAAACCCGCAGGTCCAAAAATCGGCCTCGGTCATTGTGTAGGTATTTGCGAGGGGGCCGCTTGTAGTTACGTATTCTGGGTAGCTTGTAGGAGGGTTCTGTAGATCGAGAGTTAATTATCGAGCGAAAGGTAGGGAGAAACGGAAGAAGAAAAGAGCGGAATGCTCGAGATCGATGGACAGACCTCTTTCTCCAGCTCCCGCACTGCGACTTTCCATATCTTCGCAGCAACATTCTCTGCAAAAAGCTCAGCAAGCTCAACGTTCAACCCCAGCCCAAGTCCTGTATCCGGACTCAGCTTGTCGAGACTCAAGATATTTGTTTTCTTATTGCCGTTCTCGCCGGTCAGCGACGGTGCACTTGACGGCGACGAGCTCACCCCAGAGTCGGTTCCTGAGCCATCATCTACCGAGGGGACACTCTCGGCCTGGGAGATCGGGACCTCGGCAACGATATACGGCTGCTTTTCTGAACCCGGGATCTCGGTGGCAGGTTCTGTAGTGCTGACTTGCTGGATCATGGCCGGCATTGTAGCGGTGGCACTGGAAGTGGCAGGTATAAGGTTGTCCGTCCGTCGAAAATTGGATATAGTCGACTTTTGTTAAGAACGTAAATTAGGAAAGGAGATATATGAAAGAAAGATTTGTAGAAATACACCTTATTTATCCCCTCTCTACGTACCCACGTTCCAAGCTACAAATTTACCTTATTACCACGCTCTCCAAATAATCTCCAATAGAGCCCTAAACGGAGCCAAACTATAGGTGGAGTCTCTTGGTCTATCCGTCGGCGATAATGATCCGGGCGGAGGATCGTCGCTTCCGGTCTTATTCCGATGCCCGTTTCGTTGGACTAGCCGACTTGGTGTTCCCCCCTATAACGTCGGCAAAAATATCTCTTTAACTTTATATAACTTTATCTCATCACTCGCTAATCGGACAATAAGTTGTAGAAAACCGATCAATTAATCAGGATTCTAGCAATGGAAATGGGAGTCTGTTGCTGGTATGGCCCAATGTACGGTTTAATGTTGACGTTTACACGTGGTGATGTACTTCCCCCTGCTGAGGCTACCTGGTCGCAAATCCTGCCAAATCACGACTCGCATCTCTAATCAGTATACCTGTCGGCTTATTTTAACCTTGACATTGGCTACATCCGGGAGCTTACCTCATTTTTACGAGGGCACCAATGGAGGCCTCCTAGATGCCCTATTTATTATAGGTACAGGCTGATAACTAAGCAGGTACGTCCAGAATTCCCTGCATCCCTTGTCTAAAAACATAATCCTCCAGAAAAAACAATTGAAGAGTTCGGACCTACCAATACTCTCTACGGGTCTGACGATTCCATGGCTGTGTTGAGTGACAGGCCACGAGCTGAGCTAAAGCCCTCTCCACAGGTATATAAAGCACTTCTCATTCCCAATACTCAATCCCTTTTCAGCATCACTCTTCATACTCATCATAACTCAACTCTACAAACCACGAAACTCTCACCTACCATCACCACCATTCAACACCATGGTCCAACTCGCAACTTCCCTGATAGCCGCTCTAGCCGCTCTGTCGTCCCTCACACTCGCAGCTCCCTCCAATCTAGAAGCTCGCGCACCCGTTTGTAGCAGACCCGGCATCTTATGGGGAAACGTACGTCTACAGACCCCAAAACCCCAATTGCAAGAACCATTCTAACACTCGCCATCTCCAGACCCAGGAGGCAGTAACATGCATCAACCAGCTCGCAGCGCTGGGTTCAACCTGCGTGACAGATTACGCAGGGAGATCTCTGCGCAGATGTGGAAGCACGGAGATCTGGTCCATCAGCCGTACCCCGAAGGGGGCTTCGACACCATGGTGAGTCGTTGATTTCTTTTCTGGTATACATGGCAAAGAAGAACGCGTGCTTCAGATCTTGCTTCTAGGATGAGAAAGTTCAAATGCTGATGTTATGGTGTTGCAGTCAGAATGTTGCTAGGTCTGCTGGGTTGATTATGGATGCCTGTAACCGGCCTGATAATAAGATCCAGGGCTGGGCGTATGTCCAGGGCAATGGCGACTTCGAAATTCAGATTCGAGGCGCCTGATCCGGGTGGAAGATATTGTCAGGTGGGGGGTTTGGCTGGGGCGGCACATCTGTTAAACTATAGCCCAGGTGTCCTAAGGGGAACTCATGGAGAATAGACATCTCAGTAGAACAAAAGGGTAAAAGGCCCCTTGATTTTGATTTTAAGTGTGAATGCAGACTGTGAAAGTGTAGCCTATTGATCCTTGAGTCCCTTGAGATTTGAGGGTGAATTCCCGGGCCGCAGCAAAAGCAACCACTCCGTTGTGACAGGGCAAGGCTAATATGAACCAGGAAGTCCAGTGGGCGTCTGATGGAGGGAACCTGTTATAAGGTATCAAGTAATCCGTTGTAATAAACTAGGAGAGCCAGGCGCTCCACAATGGGATCACATTATAACACTTCGACCTCGTATCGACTAGTAAGTTAATCGTAACTTCCGCTCATGCACGGACAAATCATCCGGTTTATGAGATCCAGGGATTCCAACAAAATTATCTCATACTCGACGGACATATCTAATATTCTCAACTGTAGTATTCTCCTATTATCTGTGCAATCGATTGTTCGGAAGAAATAGTGCGCTTGTTTAGTATCTCAGTACTACTACCTATATATTCGAGTATAGTAATTATTATATAAAATATAGTAGTAGCTACTACTAGAGTACACGGCTGTGTATAGAGCGAAGGCGACAGCGAAGGCGACAGCGCGACTCGAATAACCTCAATTCAGATCCGATGTGGAGGATATAGCAGCTGAAAGAAATACCTATACAAAGTACAGTAGCAGCGGCTAATCAGGAGCACAGGCAGCGTACAGAGCGACGGCGACAGCGGTTATCGAATAACCTCAATTACCACTTGCAAATACTACGAACGAACGTACGGTGACGATTTACGACCTCTTTTGTGCCCTTGCCTATTGAATCTTTCGTTCCTCCGCTTTCGAATCTGAATCTTAGTCTTCGAGAGCCATGTATTCTTTATTAGGCTCCATGCACTTGCTTGTCCGTTTGTGATTGTACAATGCAGAACAGGATCAGAGTTGGGTCCCTAGATACTTGGTAATTGGTATTTGAACTGTAAATCTCTATTTAATAAAGATGAAGAAGTAGTTAGGATTAGAGCTAAATGTCTTAATGGGTTCATTATAAACAAATTTCATCCAGTCCAATCCAGATCTCCATTTCGCCCTTTCCTTCCTCTTCCCCTCTTACATTCACTCAGTAAAACCTTGTCATGAACCCCCCCAAGCCTCCAAATTCATCTCAATCGTGAAATCTGTCTCCTCAAATGTAATCACTCGGTCCATCTCCAGAAACTGCTGTCCCAGCAGGAGATTCGACATCTGAGTCAGGGAATCAATACCGTGTTCATCGATGGTGTTGTTTTCATCAACGATACCAAGATTCATGCTGCTTGGAATACTAATGATAGAATCCGGGTTGTGTGCGTTTGGTATTCTTCCGTTTAAGTCTGGGGTGTTATGCGAAGCACAGACGCTGGAAACAGGCGCCTGGAGGTCTGTGGTGGAGTAATATGAAGGGGCGGGGCGGTGGTGCGATGATGGAGCGAAATTTTCGGCTGCTGGCGGATGAGATTGTAGTGGATTTTGTAAGGGCAGAGTTGGGGAATGGGCTTGTATCGCAGTGGAGGAGGAGGATATGGCAGGTATGGAAGAGGATGTATATGGTGTCGGACTGACGTAATAGGAGGGCTGTGTTTGAGGCTGCGATTGGGAGTGTTGTATTCGTTGTGGAGTATCTAGCTTAGCTTGACTCTGCACGCCGTTAGACGTCTTGGCCTGGTATCTCGGTGCTGAGCTCGTTGTCAACGACGGAGAAAGCGTGACGCTCTCCACGGTCCTTGACTGTACCAGAGGAGGCAAGAGGCCACTGAGGTTAGTGTCCATACGGAAATCAGGAGAACTGGTACATTGCCGATGTAAAGATTGCAGATACACGCGGTATTGGCCAGCCATATCCAGGTCTGAGACTGTATCTTGAGTCGACGACGGAAAGCCTTGTTGTGGTGCGTGTGGGCCGCGCCAGCGCTTGGACATATTCTCGAGGCTGGCTAGAAGGCTAAAGAACTCAGGGAGGAGAGTTGTTTGATAGTATTGCCAATGAACTTGTTGACTTAGTGTGTTGCACATAGTGATGGGGGCGATAGGGTCTTACCGAGAAGAACGCGGGCGGCGACGAAAGCACAGAGTGCGAATTGGCTGCTTACGATCCCGACATCTGTGTACTTGAGATACTTTTCGCTAATACATGCTGTCTCTACTGCTGCGGATTCACAAGTTCCTGCACTGCACGAGCTAGGAAGTCTGATCAGCTCCGCCCATTCTCGAGGAGGGTATGCGATGTGCTGATGGAGAAGAATCATTGACGTGTTATGAGTGATATGCGCCATTGTAAGATTTGGATCCATATTGATGAACGCCTTGTCGCGGGAAATATTCGAGTCTTTCCATTTCTGAGGGAGGAACATCTTCCAGCTACTGGATATAAGCAGGAATGACCGGTTTGGGTGGAGCGAGGGGGACGTACTGCACGAGCCGAAGATCGAGCTCTTTGAAGCGTGTGAGCCAGCTTCCAGCTTCCTGGCGATTTCGAAAGTCGACTTTCTGTTGTAAGAAGAATGATGTAACCTGGCTTAAGGATTCTGTTGCTTCGATGTGCTTTGGACAAGTGTTAGCAGTAGCTACTGTATAAATCTGATCGCACTGAGAGTAGTCTGTATGAAGAATATGAGCGTCATGATTATACATACATATGCAAATGCTCCTAACTTCGATGTATCCACGGAGCCAAAATCAGCAATTCCATTGGGACTTCTGGTATCGACTGGATGATCTGGACTGGGATAATGTGCGGGTATGTATGCAATATGATTTCCGATCCTCGCAGCTGATTTACTCCATATCCCAAAGTATGGTGTTACTACTGCTTCCTCTCTATGTTGCCAAAGCCCTCCATCGCATGGCAATCTACGACGAACATCATCGGACGTGAGACTCGTATTCCAACTGTATCCTCGTTAGCATGAAATTTTGAAAGCTATTGAGAGACTATAGTCTACCCTGTTGTAATGGAGCAAAATCTAAGTCATCAAAGTTAGCTCCAATATCAAAGATTTGTTTCTTAGATACTCACCTGTCTAACAGGAAGACGTTCCAAAAGATCCTTCTCCTGTTCTCCGACTCGGTCCAATCTTGAGGCTTGTCAAGCAATGCAAGTGGTGTTGAAAGCGAATACTGTTGCATTTCATCGGCTTCGACCGTGAGCTGCAAATACTCTACTGTTCTTGTTAAAGATCCAATGATAGGCCAAGCTCGGGAAATATTCCCAGAACCAACCTATGTGCCATTCAGTCATGATTAAACCCCGCAAACTTTGGGTACATACGTCATGGAAAGCTACTATAATCAAGGCTTGAATATTCTGAGTTGTCAAGCGGTCGGTAGCAGTAAGCATTACCACATTCCGAGACAATTGAACCTGACAGGCGATCTCAGATTGTTCCATATTGGTTTCCTCATCCTTTAAATACCTCAATGTCGCAAATATCATAGCATGTAATATTATCTCGAGGTCGGGCCTCCTCTCTGCATCATTAAATTGTTCTCTGAACCGGTCAAGATGAATGAACGGTATCCACGGATGAACGGTTGAACAGAATGTATCAACGACGAGATTCAGTACCCTTCCTGATGGTAATAAAGACGGTCTACTATCCTCAGCATTGCCCCAGTTCCGTTGTAGTAAATTATATTCAGAACGCTCATGATTGGTTTTTCTCTTCTTGGACGGCTGCTCACTCGATGGAGCCTGGTCTCCTGCACTGAATACAAATTCGGTATCTTGCAGGCAGTTGCGTCTGGAGGGACCTTTCGGAGCTACTTCACTGGACGAGAGATATTTCCCCGAACTCTCCACATTGACTTGTAACTCCTTGGCAAGCAATAGAGATGCATGATATATGCAACCAGGTTGATCACTAGGGACCGGTCCAGCTTTTGGATTGCCTCCGCCATCGAGGAGGAGATTCTCCAGGAGCTCTGTCGGCGAGAGTATTAATAGAGGATGATAAAACAACTTCACAGTGAACATCAGATTCACGAACCTAGTCGTCGACTCAAGCTCTCAATCACACCAGTCTTGATTCCGGGTTTCTGCTTTTGTTGATCATATCGACATGTGCAACCTTCCTCTGTCGTTAGCCACTGTATTTCTCATCCACAATAAGCTGCAGGGTCAGTACTTAGTCTCACACATTGGCTGCATGTCGGGCTCTCTCGTGAGCACTTCAGTTTCCGCTTTCGACACGACTGACAAGCTGGGGTGTCTTTCTCTTCGCTAACAGACGTCCGAGTATTGGACTCTGCTCTTTCGAGCCCATGCTCGGCTTCGGCCCTCTCCATGCCTTGGACGCGTGGAGACGTGCGGAATGTGGGGGGGTCAGTTGTGGGGATGCGGACAAACGGCGGGAGGGTTGGAGCGACGCTGAGACGAAGTTCGGGGACCGGGAGAGCTTTTGAAGCTTTTGACCTGCGGATTAGCCCGCCGCGACGGAAACGAGACGGCGTGATATTGTGGGGTCTAGTGCCATAGGTACATGTGCTTTGGATGATAGCACACGTGCTAGTACCATAGTAGTGTAGTTGTGATGTTCTGGACCTCGACGAACCATCCGCGCTCTCCCCTATCGTCGCGGAGTCCGGGCTGGTCGTTCCTTCCCTTGACTTCGCCCGATGCCCGCTCCCCGCTCCCCGCGTTTCCTCTTTCGGTTAGGCGGCCATCAAATTCTGTACCCCGGGTTTTTAGCTCTTCCAGCTTCGTCCAGGTCCCCTGCGAACCCCCTAAACAACGGGAACTCTGACTCCATCATGCTCTCCATGCTCTCCATACTCTCCATACTCTCCATACGCCCTCGATGCGCCATACTCCAAGACACCACGGTCTCCGGGAGGCTCATTTCTACGTATATATGACTTGGCTTCCTCCCACTCAAGTCCACCATTATTGTCAACACCGCTCTGAGATACCTGCCATTCTTAAGGAGCAACTATTGTGAATACGAGGCCACCATGTCGAATCGTGTGCAGGATCCTGAGAGTGAGGTGACCGCTGTGGTGGCACCTGTTATCGGTTCAACTGCCAATGCACCACCTGTTAGATCGCCGTGGACGGCCTGGATGTATGTCCTTGACTGGTACCCAAGTCATTACTCGGGCGAGGAGAGAAAGATGCTCAGGAAACTGGACTTCTTCCTGCTTTCATTCTGCTCCCTCATGTGTAAGATTTAGTTAACTCCGAGTCTGTGCGTTCAAAGCTAACGCCAAGAAAGTCTTCCTGAAATATCTTGATCAATCCAATATCAACAATGCTTATGTCTCAGGAATGAAAGAGGAGCTGGAGCTGAATGGCAATCAGTGAGTCATCCCCTGTCGAAATCATTTGTAGGGATGGAAACTGAGCGTTTACAGATATTCTCTCTTCGGCACTTTCTACAATATTGGATATCTTGTTTTCCAGATTCCCTCTATGCTCATTCTCTCTCGGCCTGGATATGCACGCTGGTTTGTTCCGACTTGTGAAGTGCTTTGGGGCGTTCTCACCTTCAGTCAGAGTAGACTCAATAGTGCCTCAACTATTTACGGGACGAGATTCCTCCTCGGGATTCTTGAGACTCCTGTTGCCTCTGGTTCTCTTTATATCCTCTCCTCGTGGTATCGGCCCGATGAACTTTTCAAGCGCGCCGGCGTTTGGTACGTCTCCAATAATATCGGGACCATGTTCGGAGGCTATCTTCAAGCCGCTGCATACACAAACCTCGACGGCGTTGGCGGGATGTCAGGTTGGAGATGGCTGTTTATCATTGATGGGGCTATTACTGTACCTATTGCTATTCTTGGGTACTTTATGTTCCCTGGTCTGCCCTCAAGCGGGAAGCCGTGGTGGTTGACTCCAGAACAACACGCAATTGCTAGGAAGAGAATGGAAGATGAGGGCGTCGAAGAGAGCAGGAAGTTTGACAAAGCCACTACTAAGGCTATGCTTAAACGCACACTTGCGCACTGGCACTTCTATGTGGCAGTATTATGCTACACCTTGTCTGTACCAACGTATATCCCTTCTTAATGGCCAATGAACTAATCTGTTGGCAGCTTTCTCTCCTCCCAATATCCCAACGGACAAATGGCCATTTGGCTCAAAGCCCAAGCTAAAGCAGGTTACAGCTGGACCGTTCCTCAAATCAACACGATCCCCACCGCGGTTTCGGCCGTATCTGTTATATCGTGTCTGATTGCAACCTCACTCTGTATGCTTTACCCGCTGTGGGCCATCATGAGCGTTGTGCAAGCTGTCACTATGTTTGGAATCGTTTGTTTGCTTGTTTGGTTTATTCCCGACTGGCTGAAATGTAATTGTGCTCTCCCCTAACGTATGTACAAGATGCTTACATATGCGCAGTCATTGCCATCTTTTGCACCGGCTTCACGGCTGCTGTAACCCCAATTCTTGTGCCATGGGTCAATATCCTCATGAAAGATGATTCTCAAGCACGTGCTTTCACTACGGGTTCAATGGTAATGAAAGACCACAAAATGTTCTGCAACAGCAACTAACACCTGATAGTTAACATTTGGCTGGGCTATCAATGCCTTTTACCCCATTGCTGTATTTCCTATCATCGAAGGTAAAACAACCCAACTCCTCTTTTCACAGCGACAAAACTGATTAAAAAAAATGCAGGCCCTCAATGGACGAAAGGCTACGCTGTGGAAGTTGTCTTTGTCTTCATGGTCTGGCTCCTCTTCATGCTCGGGCAGTATCTTCATCGAAAGGAGCTACAACAGGCAGAACTCGCTCATCGGATGGAGGATGAAGAGGGTAAAATCGACGAGGACGTACAAATCGAGACTAAGCTGTAAGGTGGATTTTGCTTAATCGGATAATTTTCATGTTGAAGAATGGATGAGAAATTTCATAATCTTTAGCAGCCAGTTCGTCATCTAGCAGTGGATTAGCTCATGCTCCATTCGCCTTTCCAGAATATGAATCAGTTATCTGAACGGTCGTGAGGATGAAAGAAAATAGCCCCTCTGTGGCCCATTAGAAGTAAGAGGTCATTACATGATATTTCCAATATCGAGCCTTTTGATGACCCAGTTTAAAAAGGCGGAAAGTGGGGCACCACCATTTCCCACTCTCGGACGATCAGTTATGTCCCCGGCCGATGAAATACCCCGCGCCCCGACGCTTTAAAACAACACTCCTTACATATACAATACTAATATCCCCAAAGTCTGCCGACATCAACAAATATACCGCAGCTCAGCGTGAGCAGACCTTAGGCGTACTTTGTTATCTGTCAAGCAGCTTAACGCAAATCTCCCATCAGCGCCCTTCACCACCAACTAGCCATGCATCGCCCCTCAGGCCTCGCCGGCTTCACAGATAACCCCTTCGTGTCACGGGAGGATTGCAAAATTGCAACTCACGCCCTACTTACCCAGCTGAAACCCTACATCTCTCCGCTTGGGGCGCGTATCCGCCTACCTGTTACAACCGGGACTCACTTCGATGAGGTCGCGGCCCAAATCGAGGGCTTTGCGAGGCCCCTTTGGGCTGTTGGTGCGTTACTTGCTTCCGAGTCCCCGAATGATATGTCATCTATCGACCCTCGACTTCGCTCCTGGATCACTGGCCTTATTGCTGGGACAGACCCTGCAAACGCACCTGGCCAAGATGGCGAGTACTGGGGAGCGATTTTCGACGAAGACCAGAGGATGGTTGAGCTCGAGATCATTGCATACGCTCTATTATCCGCTCCTGCTGTCTTCGTTCCGCCACTGCCTCTAGATCTGCTTCGCCCTTCTGCACAGGATGAGTCAAACCTACGGGCGCGACAAAATCTGATCAAGTACATGCGCTCAATCAACGGAAAGACGATGCCAACGAACAACTGGCGGTTTTTCCGGATCCTCACGAACCTAGCGCTCGTAAAGGTGCTAGGTGTACCATATGCGGAGCTGAAAGAGGCGATGGACCAAGATCATGCGCTTCTGGAGGGGTTCTATCTATCGGAAGGGTGGGCAAGTGATGGGGCGTGGAGCGAGGATGGGAGTCTGAATAGGCAAGCGGATTATTATTCAGGAAGTTTCGCGATTCAGTTTTCACAGCTGCTATATGTCAAGTTCGCCTCCGATCTCGACCCAGATCGATGTGCGGTTTTTCGAGCGCGAGCGACAGAGTTCGCAGGTGGGTTCTGGAGATATTTTGATGTCAATGGTAGGTACAAATTTCTCATTGGGCTATTTTTTTTTAAATTGGTGTATCCGTTGCTTCGACTGCTTTGACTTGTGGGGGATGATTCAGTGCTTGGCAGCCTAACAGGGTCACAGGTGCTGCAATTCCATTTGGCCGAAGTCTTACATACCGTTTCAGCTTCGCGGCATTTTGGAGCGCAGTTGTCCTCACGGACATCCCTCTTCCTGCCCCTCTTTCACTCGGGGTCGTTAAAGGTCTCCTTCTACGGCACCTGCGTTGGTGGGCTGAGCAGCCTGACATATTCAACACGGATGGAACGCTGAATATCGGCTACTGCTATCCGAACATGTACATGAGTGAGGACTACAATTCGCCCCAGTCACCGTACTGGTGCTTGAAGACCTTCTGTGCCGTAGAATTGCCAGAAGACCACGAGTTTTGGACCTGCGAGGAACTGCCTCATCCACTCGCGAAGACGAACGACCAAACCCCATCCGCTCGACAACATGTCTCCATCCGAGCCCTCGACGCGCCCAAACACATCCTGATCTCGGCACCTGATCACCACTACCTCCTCTCCTCGGGGCAATTCGCCTCCTGGCCTATGAAAGCTACGGAAGCCAAATATGGCAAGTTTGCCTACTCATCAGAGTTCGCCTTCAGCGTCCCTACTGGTCCGCTACTGGAGCAGCTTGCACCAGACAGTACGCTGGCCATTAGCGAGGACGCCAGCGACTCCTGGCGAGTACGATGGAAGAGTGCGGGGACTATTATGGACGCCGCGCACGTGCACTCCGCAAATGGCAGCTCAACTGCTCTCCCAACGCTCGTCAATAGCTGGTCTCCGAGCAAGATGTCGTGCCTTACTGTCAAGACGACTCTCATCCCGCCAAGCGACAGATGGCCAGACTGGCATGTAAGAATCCACCGCATTACACGCGCAGCCGCGCATGTCGGCAGTCGTGCCGAGCAAACAGTACTCACTGCTGAAGGTGGTTTTGCTATTGCCGGCCGCCGGAAACGGGACGGTGGAGCGCTGCCCCGCCTCTGCCCCCACGATTTTCGAGACACGAAAGATGCTGCAGTGTCGGAGGGCGTGGTTGAAGATGGCCCGGCGGCGCTGATTATTTCTTCCCGCGGTGCTAGTGGAATTATTCAACTATATCCATCGTCGTCGGCAAGAGGGGTTGTCCTGAAGCCGGATGCGAATACCAATTTGATTTCGCCGAGGACACTGATCCCAACTATAAGGCAGGAGTTGAAGTTTGAGGTCGCGACCAACGAGGTGGAGGAGGTGGCTGTACTTGTAGTTGCGGTTTTTGCTATTGGGGTAAAAGGGGTTGAGAAAGTAGATGATATATGGAGAAGGTGGGTAGACAAGCCGGTAGTGAAATTCGGAGGTTCTAGCCGAGAGTTAGGTAAAGAGTATATTATGATAGAATAGGTAATAAAAGCAGAGTATATATATAGATATTGATATTGATATTATAAACAGGTTAAATATAAATAAAACTTTTATTAGACTTATAATTAAATTTACCGCATCATCTATTTTAATTGGGATATTCTTTAAGATTAATAAATAATCGAGCTTTTATCCTACCGAGCTTTGGATATTTCAAAGTAAAATATTAATCCTCCTCCGGGGATAACTTGCGAATTTCACATGGGATTCCCGGGCCAAGTGGCGATGATCTGCCTGGGAATATCCCGGCGGGAAAACTGCACAGTCGAAAGGGGACTTGAAATCCCTCCCTGGCTAGGGAGTAAGAAGTCTTTCGAGTCGCTGCGCAAGCCACGTTGCGACGGGAAGCAATCACGAAGGCCAGAGCAAGAGCGGTAGTCCCGATGTGGTGGATGGCGTTTTGTGGTTCAGCTCGCCACGTCTCAGCCGCGATGCCGTGACTCCATAGGACGTCGCGCCCTGGCTCCCGGGCCTCATCTTGGGCGCCCGAGAGTATTGAAACCAGGCCACATCCTGCGCTGGGGCGTGTTGTGCACCACCGCATGGGCCGCCAGCGGGGGACGCCAGTGCAGCCACGCAGCCCAATCTGGTTCCCTCACCGCTTTGGGCCGGGGCATATTCGTCAGTTTCCCATGTTACGTGGCATTGGCGACAGGTTCGCGGGCTGATTGGTGTTGCCGCGGCGATCAATCAAACCTTATCTTCAGCCTCCGCGCCGCTTGCAGGGGCGGTGCAGGTGCTCGAAGTAACCTCCGAAGGTACAGTACATGCAATGTACATGTATCGTCGACTTTGCAGTCGCCGGGAAATCAACAATAATCAATTGCGAGGCAGTTGAGCGTTTACGAGTTCATGATGTGAAAAGTTCCTTCCTCTCGGTGGCCCGGCACGGCCTACGCCAATGCCAATGCCAATGCCACTTGGACAGTCGCCACCGTAAGCGCTACATTGGTCAGGGACGGGCGCCGAGGTCTGGGAGCTGTTGATAGAGGTCGTACAGGGATCCGGGAACGGCGCACAGGTTAGTGCAAGCAAGGAGTTCTGTTCCATCGCGGTTCTCAGGTACTTCGCACGCTCAGCATGCGAGAAACAACATGTACACAGGGATCTAGGAACAACTGACAATCCCATTAGTACGCAAGGCAAGGAAGTTCTGCCCTAAAGCCATGATCAGGTACACGGGACGGTAGTCGCTCGAGAGGCTTGCCGGTTACAAAGGACCCCCACCTCGTGGGACACATTAAAAGATGCATTCGCAGGCATTCGCAAAACCCTCTTGGCCGAAGCATCCTCCGATTCCCTTATGCCATTGTGCAAGCAGAGTTTCCATATCTTGCGTCTGGTGTTGAAACGCCATGTCGAATAATCTGCAAGAGTGGGAGGGACAGATCGTGCCCAGGTCCTTCTCGGTGGGATACGCCGTGCTATCATACGTGGTCAGCTATGTCGGGGCATGGACAACACTGGAGCTCATAAATCGAAGGACCTCGGGGAGGGGGCTGTACAATTGGTAAGTTCCATCGCCAAATATGAAGAATCCATGGTAACCCCTCGTGCAGGTATATTCTCATCGGCTCATCGGTATCGATGGGAGGCATTGCTATTTGGTGCATGCATTATGTCGGAAACCGTGCGGTTGAACTAGGGAATGGCCAGTTTGAGATACACATCGTATACAGCCCTGGGTTTACTGCCTTGTCCTTCTTCGTCCCGACCACAGTGCTCCTTGTCGCTTTTATCGCCCTGGGGTCGAACGACCGCATCAGCATCGTTCGTGTCGTGGTAGGGGGGACGCTGGCTGGACTCGCGATCTGCGGCATGCATTATCTTGGCCAGGCCGGTATCTCGAACTATAGTTGCGTTTATAGCATCGGACATGTGGTGGGATCTATCATCGTCGCCGTTGCTGCCACCATCGCGGCGCTGACTGTCTTTTTCGTCCTCCGGGCCGCCTGGACGAATTCCTGGTGGAAGAGGGCGCTTTGTGCCATCGTCCTCGCTGGTGCTGTGTTTGGCATGCATTGGACGGCAGCTGTAGGCACGCAATATCGCCTGAAGCAGGGAGCCACTTCTTCGCCCGCATCCAGCATTTCAAGAGACTTGACTGTTATCGTGATCGTTTTGGTATATTTCCTTTTCCCTGCTTCCACCGACGTCATGCTGATCGGAGATAGTCTATTGTGGCCTGCTTTATCCTCTTCGTCTTCGCCATACTTGCTCAGAGGAGAAGGTCACGTTCTGCCAACAGAGCTCAGCATGTTGTCCTGGCTTCTGCCATCTTTGATGCGAATGGGAGGATTCTGGTAACTCCAGAAGGCACCCTACCGAATCAGAAGGTTACGACCTCATATGTTGAACGGGTATGTGACCCGTGCGATTCTTAGCTCCGGGCGTGCTTACAATCAGATAGTCCCTTGACGAGGAGTTTGGAGTTACTCATCCCGTTTTCCACTGGATTTTTCGAACTACGCGCAATTGGAGCAGCATCTCCGGCCTTCTACCCGGCATGCGCAGCCATCTTCGTGACACCGCCGTATACGGAGGATCCCGGCCGGGGACTAAAACTCGACCCAGCCTGAGCAATGATGAAGGCGAGAACGCCGACGACTATGCGGTTATCTTCCGTGAGCTGTTCTGTATTGCAGCAGCTGATCTAGCGGGGCAGCTGAATGAACCGTTGGAGAACGTAGGTGTCCTCTTCGACGAGGTTCTAGGGACTGGCCAGAAGCCATCGTCAAAGCTCAACGACCGATCGAACTCGAGGGAAAGCACCGATCTTGAAAGCGATGGTGCATCGGTATCCACCCTCAGCCGAGGCCAGCTCCTTTTTCTCGTTCGCCGCGTAAATAGGAGGGAGGCCGATCAGCTCGCAGCCTCCGGCTATCGCTTCGCCGAAATTCAAAACGTTGCCCATATCATCGCCCGAAATATGCAAATCAAGTGCAACGATCTCCACGGCCGCCTTTTCAGCATGTATGAATACGCTAGTGAGACGCACATCCTGAACCCGGGTGTTCACTTGGCCTGTTTCGCTATCCGGGCAAGCGTCCAGGGCGGCTTCGACGTCCTTGTCCGCAGGGATGCCAGAAACCAACTTCCCACCATGCAGCTACCAATAGACAACCTGAGTAGCTGGCAGATCACTTTCCTGTCTCAGCTAGACGGCGCTTCAGTTACCGCATGCCTGAAGTTCCTGAAGGATAATTCGGCGAGCTCTGATAACGCGACGAGGGAACAGAATTTTGCGGCGCAGCTGTATAAGGCGGTTGTAGAGTTGAAAGAAGAGATTAATGACCCGTTCTTTGCCGATGCTCTCCTCATCGGAACACCAGTCTCAGCACCGTGTTATACATCAGACGGGGGCGCGAAGCCGGCTCAGGCAATGCTCATAACATTCCGAGTAATTGTGCCAGTCCAATTCCGTGCCCAAAGTGTTAAACTTGGGTTCACCCCCCTTGGTTTCTTTAGAACGCAACAGTATGTGTATGGAAACAGCCCGGACCATGCAAGTTTTGCACGAAAGATCCACAAGGAGTTTGGACCGATTTTGAATAAGAAGAACTTAAATACAAATGGAGATGGGAAAAGTTTAAAGAGCCCAACGTCTCTCGGAAAGTTTCCGAGAAGGCTAAAGAAGAATACGTCGGGGCCATCGGATGTTTCGATGCCGACGGCGGCACCCAGAGCTCATACTAGGAGCTCGAGTCGGAGATTCTGGAAAAGGCAGTCTGGTGGGGAATCTAGGAATCTCCCAAAGGCCAGTTTAGACAATACATCTGAAATACAGTTGGTAGAGACGCAGGCGTTTGGGGGAATTATGGTCAGTCAGGAAGTTAGCGTTGACGTCAAAGACGTTGAGGAACGGAGTCCTGACCGAGGGGAACGTGACGGGAAAGATGCTGAGCCGCAGGTCATACATTTGGGGACAACTGGTGAGGCGACGAGGGACTTGGATGACTCTGAGACCTATGTTGATAGATTATTATCTGTTTGTATTGCGGCAAGGCGATGATGAGAGAATGAATATGTTAAACTTGTACAAAGAATAGTTAGATGATTATAAAACTACTATTAAGCCCTATTAAAGCTTTATTGTACTATAGTAGTTGGGGATTATAAAAGCTTATAAGAGTGGAATTCCAGAAGTTGTACAGAGTAGAAGTGGGAGAAGAGTGTATTACTAGCGAAACTGGTGCTTTATGTCTAAATGGTAGAGATGCTGTACAATGACTCTGCGGGCATGGCACGTGATCCGCCCCCCTTTCTACCGCTAAATCATGTGATACTACATCATGTGACCTATCAAACATCTAAACAATCGGTCTATAATCATTTCATTTGGATCTTCTTCATTTTGTGTTCGTATCGTATGTTACAGGGAGAAGTAGGGTATTAGTTATATAGGGCTGTAGGAATATCAATCTCGGGCTGTAAGTTTAGTATTTACCTAAAACATTAGCGATCCGGTGATAAAATCACAAGATCTCAAATTGTTCCTAGACAACCAATATCCCTATTTCATAGCGCGGCCCGACTGCTCCTCCCCGATCACACGCTGCCGAATAAATTCTCCATGATTCCCCGAAGTCATCCCCGGAAATAACAGCCTCTATGCGTCTGGACTCGTGTAGCTGCTGTAGTTTCATCCCCGAGGTCAAGGAATGTCTAAGACGCTACAGATTGTCATTTCGCGCCATATTATTTCTATGCTTCTATAAATCGTTACTCTTTCCGACAATTTTGGGTTTGGTTTTACACCTCGTCACATTATGCCCTGTCAAGTGATGCTTCATGAAAAGGGTTAAGGGCAGTGCGACAAGTCATTCCGCATTTAAACCAATAACCATGTCAGGCAGTGGAGCTGCTTCTAGGGACTCGGTTCCTATAGATTGTTCCGCATGATTGCGTGGTTGTTTCTCTTTAACTTTCTTCTTTCTCTACTGCTAACTCCTGACACTCTTTTCATCACACCGTTTCAGTCTTCGTTTCCTATATGAGCGCCTGTGCTCTTTCTGCATTCCCGCTTTATAAATTAAAAGGAATAATGTTGAAAATTTAAGTTCCTATATTTCCCCTACACCCCGGGTACAGCAATATGTATCTAGTGTCATATATTTTTATGTCGGCCATTTTAGCAGCTCATGCAGCGGCATGGCTTCCTGGAGAGCATCGAGAAATTTACTCGTTGGAGGGAATTAATCTATTCAACAAAACAAAACTGTTTAGTAACATCACCTCCAACTCGACGAAGAAATGGCTTCCCAGTTCCAGCAATATTCGAGGTGTCAACTTGGGCTGTCTCTTTGTGTTTGAGCCGTGGCTGGCTTCGGACGAATGGGGGAGCATGGGATGTGGTCCTTACGTTTCAGAATTTGACTGTGTCTCCGCGCTTGGACAGAGCCAAGCCAATGTCATCTTCCAGAATCACTGGGATTCGTGGATTACCCAAGACGACATCACTCAAATTCAAAGTTTTGGCCTGAATACCATTCGTATTCCCATCGGTTACTGGATTATGGAATCACTTGTTTATGATAGCGAATACTTTCCACAGGGTGGCTTCCAATATCTACAGCGCCTTTGTGGTTGGGCGAGCGATGTTGGATTATACATCATCATCGACCTGCACGGGGCTCCAGGAGCACAAGTACCTACCAACCCAAATACTGGACAAGTGAGTAGGAATTTTACAAAGGAATCTTAATCAATGTCCCAATACTCTTATTTCTCTCTTGTTTCTCTCTCTCTATAACAGAATCTCTGTCACGTTCAATCCCCTACACATTAGACAAGGTTAACCATATTTCTAGTATGCGCCGTCTGCTGGATTCTACATTGACTGGCAGTTCGATCGTGCTACTAAATTCCTTTCATGGCTTACAAATATTATACATACGCAATATTATTTTAGAAACGTCGGGATGATTGGGGTTGTTAACGAACCTATTCAAAATCCCGATGCTGTTCCTGGTTTGCTTTCCTCCTTTTATCCCAATGCCTATACGGTATAGTTCCCTTACCTACTTATATTTCTATCGACGAACTGCTGATTATGGGTTGTAGGCTATTAGAAATGTAGAATCGGCACTTGGTGTAGCTAGTTACAATAGCCTTCACGTCCAGCCTATGAACCAACTCTGGGGCTCTGGAAGCCCAAACCAAAATATGCCCAGTACGTACTTTATGGCATATGACGATCACCGGTATGACAATCCTAAAGCACAACTCTCTGCTAATAATACATTGGCTGAACTGTCTTAGGTATGTCAAATGGGATCCATCCGTTCCAGTTTCTCATTCTGCCTATATTACCGACGCATGTAACAACAACCGAAATAGGTCAGTAAAAGTTAATATCCTTCCCTTTTACAACCTCACCGATTCTAGTGATAATAACACACCAACCATTGTCGGCGAATTCAGCTTAAGTGTTCCCGACAACGTACAATGGAGCCCTGACTGGCATCCGAGCAATAACCAAGGGTTTTACAGCCAGTGGTTCGCAGCACAAGTTTCGCGTTACGAGGCTGATACTGATGGATGGATTTTCTGGACGTGGAAATCCCAACTTGGCGATTATCGCTGGTCCTATCAAGGTAATCTACGCTATAGATCCTTTGAGTAACACCGTGCTAAGAAATCATAGATGCTATCGCTGCTGGTGTAATACCCTCAGACATAGGAAATATTAATACCGGCGCGTGTAATAGTTTTTAAACCAGAGTTGCAATTTATTATATATAGACTAATGATTTCGGTATCAGATAATAGGCTGGACAAATCATTTAATTGGCAATCGTATTTTTAACTTTCTGAAAGCCCTTCAGCTACGGATCAGGTGTACTTGTTTATGAAAGTTATCCACGCTAACCTGCCGGTCCTAAATGTCTATATCTTGGGAACTTTTATATCACGCGCTTATGCTTTAAATCCAGCACTCATATTGTGGATAGCGTGATCTAGAAGGAAATATCGTTGACACTTGGAGTAATTCATGCGATCGAAATATATATACAAGTCGGGACATTAATCGTTATATATTCAAGACTTATGTGTCTATCTAGACGGAAGGGCGCTATAGATAGTAGGGACTTTGGGCCAATGTAATTGAGAGGTACCCCCATTATTGCAAATTCCCATCCAGCCACAACCTAATGATGTTGGCAATATCATCGCTATTCTTCTCTAGTTGGAGCATGTGCCCATTCCCGTTAATGTTGTGATCGCTCAACAGCACATGCCTGGCCGCCACTCCTGCCTGATTTAAGAATTTCGCCGTACACCAATCATATTGGATATGCCAGCTGGCTTGCGAGGTAACCACCAACACACCGCCCTCTACCATGGCCAAGTTCTTCAGCTGTTTGGGTGGTCCCTGAGATTCATCCTGGATTGTGCATTCAATCTGCTCCGGCGAAGTTGGCGGAATGATTTTCTTGAAAATTTGAGTGGCCGGGTCCGTTACTGGAGGGTCATAGGTGAGCGGAATATCAGTCACTCCCCACATTCTTGCCGGCCCGCCGCCGTTCACGGCAGGTTCAACAAATGGCGGCCCTGCTGCCTCGAGCACAACGATCGAATGCACAAACTGAGGAGCTGCATCAGCCATGACCCACGGTCCGAAGGCACCCTGGGAATGGCCGATCAGGATGCACTTCTTCCCAATTTTCGTAAGAAGTGCCGCGCCAGCGTCTTGGAGGGTGTGCTGAGCCGATGCTAAATCCATAATCGATGGTACTGTGGAGGCGAAATATTGATCAAATATAGGATCTCCTTTGAGGCCGGTGCCAGGCCATTGTGTATGATCGGCGGCGTTGGGATAACTGGGGGTGATGGGGAACTTTTCGGGCGCGGTAAACCGTGTTGAGAAGACCGCTGCAGAGAAGGGAACTAACGTCGTATTTTCCACTGGGTTCCATGTTGAACGGGCTCGATCGGGGGTATCCACAAGATACACGACGTAGCCCCGCGCGAGAAAGTACGAAGCCCAGCCCTGGCGGCCGTCGGGAGTGTTGAGCCAGTTCTAATTTTGGGGTATAAGTTAATTACGCATACAACGTGCTGGTGGGCAAGCCGACTGGAACGGATTAGGGAGCTACTTACAGTGCCTGTCTGGCCAAGCCCGTGTACAAAGACGATGGGATTTTGCTTGAGAACGAGCAATGGTTTCAATTCCTCCACGTACATCTGATTAATCAGATAGTCGCCGCTCCCTACGGTAACATATTTGCCTCCGGCAAAGAAGTACCTCCGATAGTGTGGGATCTCAGCGCTGACGCCAACAAAAAGACAGAGCAGAAAGCAGAGTGCTCTCGAGAACAGGAAGTCGCCCATGATCGACTAAGCTTTTCTCCCCTGCTCTGTGGTGATCGTGGCTGGAACGCTGATCGATCTAGCGGATGCATTGGAGATTTGTTTCCGGTAGGCACTGGGCTCTAATATATGTCCTTCGCTGGCGGCTTGACTCGCCTTCTCCTTGATGAGTTCGATGGCCACCCATGAGTCCGTGCAATAGTAAGCTTCTTCCTCGCTCGAAAGGTGGGTATTCAATATTGAAATTAACTTGTTGGGATGTCAATATTACCCAATATCAGCCCGGGCTGCATGTGGACGGCGCGGGCCCGGCATCCAGGATTCCAAAGGCGGGGGACTTAGCAGAAGTGGCCCAGCTTGGGGACACAGACCTACAAAGTACGTAGTGCATTGTTAGGTTTGGGTTAGAGGTTTCCTTGAAATAGTAAAATGCATGACTGTATTCTGCCATAGGAAAAAGCAATCTCATTTCACCTGCAATGATCCCAAGGATTGGGGATATATCGCGGTTGATTCGGGTTAAATCTTGTTCCGGATTATCGGGATGCCAAAGAGTAGTGCTTACGAGAGTAGCCCCGCCGGATCCATACCCTCGGTAGGGCCAATATGCCACAGACCATGCGGATATGACAAGCAAGTCAAGTGGTGATGTAGTATCCTGAGGGCTTGAACGCGCACTTAGCGCTGTACGAAGTGGGCGGTGATTCCTACTGGCTAATGCCCTGTGGGATATATGAACCGACTGGCTACCGGTAGACCACAGATTAATAATTCATATTGTCGTTGGCGGTGTCCTACCACATCCCTCGCTTGGTCGTCCCACTGTTGTGTTTCCTTCAGCGGGAGGGGCGGGCCTCTCCCGTGGGCCCGTTGAGTGGGGTGGGCTTGGCTAGGGCGTTTGCGCTGCTGTGCTGTGAGTCTGTGGGTAGTCTGTGATATTGCAGAAAGTAAATAATAGGCGTTGACGACCCGAGGCAGTGGTACAACTACGTGTGGAGGTGCTTGGAGTTTTCAATACTCTAATATAAACTCGTAAAGGGACGTCGTTGATACTCCCCCACTGTGTATAGTAGTCGGCGAGTCTGGATCGTGCATGATATTGTTGATTGACGAGCGATAGGGCGACTTGCGTGGATACAACGTGGATATGGGGCGGATTGATACGTACTAAGGAGGGAAATGATAGAGTCGGGTGGGGTTAAGCCACCTACGAAGCTAGAATCTTTGAGAAAGTTAGGCTTGTCTTACCTACATATATGCGGGGCCGGCTAGTATCTGCGACTTTTCTTACGGCAGTGCTTCGACCGTTGTTCTCACAGCCTGCTGCGAAAGAGTCAGTGGTAGGCTCAGATAGCGCAACCACTAAACGTAGGATTATATTCCAAATACCCTACTTTGGAAATAGTTATAAGCAATACCCCCTATTCTTCTAACCGGGAGCCCTGAAATAGCGGTGCTGCAATATTTCTGTAGTAAAATGTCTCTGCCCAATGTAGTTTGAAGCTATTCCCACCTCGTAGGTGCCGCAAACCAAGTACGAATTGCGGGTTCGAGATATCACCTAATGGGACTAGCAGGTTGTTTTCCGATTTACGTCACCTCTATGAATCCAAAAAAGGGCGTGGTCCGAATTATTTAGCACGAGACCTTTAATTGGGCGGCAGCAGGAGACAATCGCAAGCAAACCCACTTTTTGTAGGGTATATTGACTTAAAAAGGAGCCTTGACGAACGCGGTAGGCATCCCATCTATATCCCATTAAGTTTAAGTATAATACAACAACTCGGCTCCAAACCCCCACTACAGACCCTGTGCTAATGTTGACCCAAGAACTTACCAAAATATACTCCATATCAAACCTGTCCATATTAAATCCAATCGACGCAAGATCCAACGCCATCATGACTATGACCTTAATAATATTCACATCGATTTTCCGGCAACCTCTTTAAATACGCCAATAACCAATTCTAGCAATTCATGAAAGTCGTGAACTTTGTGAAAGTGATGGTCGGGTTGATGGCCGGGTTCCAGGATGATATTCTGGTTTATACTCAGTCGACTCACACAAGTGCAAATCATCTGACCGATTTCCGTTATTCGACCACCAAGAATTTTGAGCAGGTTGTACACTGGAAGAAGGGCTAGCTGTGCCGGCCTCGCGGGTAAAGCTGGATGGTAGCAAGTGGCTGATGATTGAGGTCACGCCAACTGATATTCCGTGATGCTTGAGGCAAGCAGGCAGAACGAATAAACACGAACAGATTAATCCCACATCGGCTTCGAGAATGCTGCGCAGGCCCCTATTAGAACAGGACTTCGGGGTTGGAGTCATCAAAACTTACGACCACGTGCCGACCCGACTAGAATTCCAGGTGAAATCCTTGGAGCGATAATTATAAACCAGCATAGCAATTCTCACAAAGCTAACAATGCAGGCACTGTGGGATGAACGTTAGCATCTAGGACCTTATTGGGTATCGAGGGCAACATACAATAGGCCAAGGCTGAATACGCCAATCACTCTCAGCTTATGGGCGAGTCCCAGTGGCAATTTCATTATTGCCGGAATAGGTACCGTCAAGACGAACAGATCCGTGATAACATTAATAACGGACCCGGCATATGCGAAAGGTTTTGCGTCAAAACAATGACCCGGTATACGGTGGTCCCACATTCGCTGTAGCGGATGGCATTCGAAAACCGCGGAAAAGAAGATACCCAGGTAGGCGCCGGCGACAAAGACGATTCCAAACTTGACGGCAAGCAGGGTTTTCGAGCCCCGGGAGAAGATGTTGGTGTAGAAAAAGAGGCAACTCAATTTGATACTTCCAAGGAGGAGATTATACACGAAAACTCCAACAATAAAGGGCTGTTGCGGTGTGTTAGCTGGGCCTGACCCCAGAGGAAAGATACCCACCTTCATAGCTCTCGCCAATTCCATCCGTGGTATGTCCCACAGATGTCGACTAAACCCACGGGCATCAGCTGAAGGAGGGTTAGTGAAATCGATATGCCTTGCAGTTAGGGGGGTGGGGTTGGGGTAGATGCTGAGCATCGAGGAAACCCACCGGTGATCTGGCAAGTCGAAAATGCAATTGTCAGAGCCTAAACGCAGTGTTAATTTGGTCAAATTTGAAACTCACATTTGCAGTGAACCTACAAAGGCTTGTAGACAAAAATCTAGCCATGGTTAGTCAAATAGTGGATAGAAAGCAATAGCGAGAGAGGACGCGACTTACAATCATCCCAACCATACTTGCCCGTGATGAATTGACGGGTATACAGGCGCATGGCAACACAACAGGTTACTAGAAAAAGGCATATTGCATGTACTATAACAAGACTTGTGGTCTGGTCCGGTGGGTCGATGAAATTGGGTACGACTCCTGGAGGGGGTGGCAACGATCCAATGATTTTTGGCTGCGTCGAGTTCTCCATCGCTGTCGGAATACAGCCAGAAGGACACGGATTTCGTCGGTCTTCTCAACGTATACGTGAAGCCGACAATGCCGCAGTGTGGTAACTATGATGTTCGAAGTCACGACGCGCGGTGTAACCATCTAGAGCCTTGTGGCTAGACGTGTGGACCAGCAAAAGTACAGACGTGCAGTGCCTGCGGAACACAACCGTGTACACCACACCTACTTCGCAGTCAGCGATCGTCAAGCTCCACGGCAGTGTTTTGGGTGCTGCTGGAAGGGTCGGGTTGCCGAATAATGCTCATGGCTCAGTTCGCCAGTGGTGACGCTGGGAGGGGAGCACTTGGGACCAGGACGCCTGGCCTGTTGAGACTCAGTGCGTATCCAGCGGCAGTCGTCGTGAAGTCCTGGTCTTCAGGAGAGGATTGATGAAGAGGATTGATGAAGAGGTGGTCGACGCGTTGAAGGGCTGGCAACATTGATATGGCATCCCGCCCAGCGACGGCCTTGGCCAGCAGAGTCTCGGGAACCAATAAATGACAGTAATGAGGCCTGAAAGCGCCGCTGAAACATGGTCGTGAATATGTGCCGTGCGATGGCCGATGGGAAATGCGAAATATCACCACTAGGGACGGGACTCGGGAGGCGGCGACGGCAGGGAAAAGCAGAATGATATTCCCTTGAACTGACAAACCGGGATGCGCTCGACAAGTCGGGAATCTCTTTATACGGAGGTACGCACCAGAGTAGCATCCGTACGAGTTTTGACTGTTGTCACCAAGGCTAGTCGGCGAATGTCGCGCTATCATAGGGTTTGGGCTTCAAGGTTCCCTGAACTCCCAAGCATGCGTCCAGGCGGCTCCGTGCCACTGTCCAATGCCTGGAGCTGGACTTGTCAGAGATCCCTAGGGAACTTGCCTCCATCCCATGCTTTTTATGGCTGACGGGCGGAGGGCCCCGGGTTCCGCGGTGGCTACAGGCGACGGCTATCGCTGATTCAGAGCATGAGCGTGGAAGCCACAAATACGGGGCTGTGGGACGGAGACGCGGAGAAGTGATGTTGTTGATATTCGATAGGACCTCCTGTAACCTGGAAGATAGTTGGTGTGTGTTTCCTAATATTCCCCCTATAGCTAGGCTGGCTGGTGGACATGTACTCGGATTGTCCACCTACAATAATGCAGGATCAGACTGCTTCAACGCCCCTGAGCGCTGGAGCTCCCTCAGAATCCTGCCGATGGCTCACGCGATATACTATGTACTGTGCAGCCCGAAGCTTCCGTTGCAGATACGTAAGGAGGCCGCTCCAGCACCCGACCATGCGATTTGGTCTGACCTCCCGTCACGGTACTGGTGGCGGGCAGCTGCCGGGTGCATCCGACTCTCCAGCGAGATAATCTGGCGCCAACGATTCCCGCTACGCTGCTGTAGGATGGGATTAGCAGCTGGACAGTGTATTGGGGAAATAGTATCTGGAGCTCGGTGAGGAGCTCGCGGTAGTGGTTCAACTTGCGACGTAGGGGGAATAGTTGATTGACATAAAGTAAACCCCCTTCACCCTTACTCTCGATTAATTCATTGCCGCTAGATTCGCTGCGAAGTACTCGTACGTATAAAGGTACATGTATTTGCAACGTAGTACTACAACAAGCTAGGGAAAGTGTACTTCGTTTAAGACTAAGGTACCCTGCTTCTACGGGAACTGCCCTTTGACCTGAACGATTACATGATGCCATAAAGCCGTGCATATACCTACGTAGTAATTCTGCAATTCCAGGAACCCGGCTGACCGAGGTGACGATGCAGGTGCGGTGATCATAGCAGACAAGCCAGACTGATAAGGTAGGGGGCAATGCCCCCTCATTTGGCACCGGTATGATGATTGGGCTAGTTCCTGATGTGCTTAGCAGAAAAGCAACCAGATCTACTTCGTAAACTGCGAGTTCAACGTCGGATCTACGCCTGAGTACAATAATATTTCAGGTTTCTCCAGACGGTGGTGTTTTGGGAATCTGGTGGCTTGAACCACCGAGGCTCATAGGCTCAGAGCCGATCCATCGGGCAGTCAAAATGATACAGAAGGAATTTGAAAGCGCTTCGATTGGGTCGGACTCGTACATAATACATATTGTTTTGGCTTCGGGCCGTCCTTCAATTCCCGGACATCAAAACCCGGCCGTTTCCGCTTCACGAAATATATCCCGCCGTGAACCTAGACTACGACGTATTAGTATATTTCTTTTTCGAATATACATCTTAATAGAACCGCTGTAACTAGTCAAGCACTGACATAGTGGTCAATCATCAATTCTTATTATTTTTCAGGCAATGTGCCATGACATGTACCAAGTCATATGCTGCGTCTATATATGTATATAGTGTGTGCCCATCTGCTGGATTTCCACCCAAGTGTTGCCGTCTAAGATAAATAGATGTATGCTAAATCAGACATTCTCGCGCGGATAGTGTTATGGCCATATCTCATCATCCCAATGATATCCAGTTTCAAATTCATATTTTTGATGCTTCACAAGCAGATCGTTCGGTGCAAAGGCTCTCTCGATCTTCCAGGGCTTTCTGCTGAGCATGTACCTCTTTCACCAACTATCCGGCCCAAAGTGGCCTCCTTCGGGCACCACTTTGTAGGGACACGCATTCCAATCGCAGCCTAGTTTGTAAATCTCTGTTCCCCACCACTTGAACCCATCCATCAAGCCGGGATATACAAACCCGAAAAACACAACCACCAAACCAAAAGCGAGACCAGAATCTAGCGCAGCACTCAGGGTCATGGTGTACTTCGCCCACCACGCACCAGCCCTTTTTCTAATCACATAGTTGAAAATGTAGCATACAAGAGCCCAGACGGAGAAATTGAGACCGGTTGCGGGAGGGATCCAACTAAGACTTCCGAAGAGAACAGGCAGGTTTATTTTCCGGACAATGTTGGTTTTCCGCTTTCGAGCATAGAGCCACAGGATCACGGGTGCAATGGCGCCGAGTGGAAAACACCATACTAGCGAGCGATATGTGGCATTCGGCCCAAAGAATTCTTCAGGACCGACGACGCCCCAAAGGATACTTCCATTGAAGTGAACCCGGGCTAGAGGGCATACGAATCCATTGATTGCTTCAGGAGTACAGATGTTTGGGACATTCGCAAACATCCAGTTCAACATGCAGATTTGGGTGATCGACGAGACAATCGTTGCCACCATCTGGACAGAGAAGAGGATGCGAGGCGGGATTTTCATATAGTGTCCAAGCTTAAGATCAGATGAGAACTTGATGCCTTGCGCCGAAGAAATATATCCGTACGTTACGAATACCATATTCGCGACCGGGCGACCTGGAAATACAGCACCACAAACTAGTTGACATATAAGGTATATGCTACTGTGCTGATTGGTGATGGCCATGACGATCCCAATTGGGATGAAGAGGATCGCACAGATGCCGAGCGCGAGCAGCAAGCCATACCACGGAAGATGAACCGGATAGCTGGAAGAATTAGTATCTAGCCGAAGGCCTATCGGAGATGGCACTTACTACTCGACGACAAAAATGCCGACCGCGGTCATGGTAACGAAAGTCACGAGATACCAGCTCAGAGGCGCATCATTATATTTCCTCATTAATCGATTGTGGACATCCTCTTGGCTAATGATATTGTCCGTTGAATCGGATCGGGAGGGTCTCCTGCCGGATGGGACAAATATTCGAGCGCGACCTGTCTCGGCAGTCGCCGGAATAGCTTCATAGGAGCCCTTCGATTCCATTCCCACTTCATTCAACGATGCCTTCCACTGTTTCCAAATGTCCTTCCCATGCCAACAAGCAGTGTGCGATAGCAGGGATGCAAGAGCCGCAAACTGTAGCCCATAGCTTAAGACGTAGGTGATTGGCAGATAAACACGACTATACGATTTATAGGCCTCTCGGTCGAACAGGAAGTCGGGAGTCAGTATTTTGCTGACATCATAAATGTTGCCGGTATTATCGAAGACGGCGGAAGATAAAATGGGCATATATGACGAGAAGAACATATTTTTATAGTATGCAATAGGCGCTATGATCCACATCACAATGACAAGCCCTCCAATCACGTTCATTGCTGCCCAGAAAGGGGTCAAGAGCGGCGATCCAATGTAAGCGATCTGTGCCCAGTCGAAGGTCACCGGGAAGAGACCGAGCCCTGAGGATACCCCAAAAAGATTTGCGACGACAACGTTTTTCGGGAAAAACCAAGTGATGACACTGAAGTAGCTCAACGCAGGCATCAGCAGGCCGGGCAGGAAGTAGAACAAGAATGCCGACAGCCAGACCACGACAAAGAATTTCCAGCGGCTGATTCTCCACCCATTGGCAACCGTATTCTCTTCCTTATGTAGAGTGGTGAACATGGCGGCAGACATCAAAGTTCCTGGCCAGATCATCCCGCTAGGCCGCACGAGAAAGCGTCGAGTTAGGCCCGCAAATGTGTATCCAAGAATTTGAGTCGACAATATCAGGAGGAGCTGGTACGTTATGCTGACTTTCTGGTTGTAAAAGTGAGTCTGCTCCACTATAACATCTGTGGCAAAAGCAAACCCAAAGGAGACATTGCTGCTAATGTAGACACAGCTGTGTTCCTTCTCATTCCACCTTCCGTGGGCGAGCCATAGCCGTAGACGCCGTAAATAACTGACGTGACCTTGTGCTCCCCCCTCCGACGTCCGCACTCCATTTATGAATTGGTCTTGGGGGTCGCCGTGCCTCTTCAGGAGCTGGTCCCAAAGCAGCCCCAACGGGTGCACTAAGAGAAGCGCTATCACTGGAGTAATAGAGACACTCGGATATCGAAGGGAAAAGAAGAGATTTGTTGAAGATCCGAGCACGGCAAACAGCAAGGAGAGCGTCCACATGCGGGGTGTATTGATAGAGAGCGTCACATTATCCACGGCCGAGACGGAGGCCCGCACCTGGGAATATGGAGAATTATCTGGCGGGTCTTCATCATTCACCTCTGGTGCGGACTCTTCGGAATCCTCGGTGCCGGAGCTCGAATCAACATCGGTATCCTTAGAGCCTTGGTTCACAACTGATACATCCCCCACGGTAGGTGTACTTCCCCACCCAGAGTCGCCGACAATATCTCCTTGCTCAGAATCCGTCTTCAGAGACTGGCTTCTCCGTCGCCGGCTAGTTGAGTGCCGCCGTCGAGATGTATCTGGCGATAGCACGGGGCCCAAGGTGCTGGAATTCGAGGGCTGGTGTGTGCCTGTAGTGTGGCCATTCCTCAAACCCGAGGACTTCGTCTTCCGCCTGTGCCTTTCTGTGATATGGTCTAGCTCTTCATCACTAAGTCCCGCGGTGGCTTCAATGGGAACTGCGCCATATGATCCTGTCCCGAAGCCAGGCGACGAGCGCAGGAGGAGCGGAGCCTTGGACATCAGACCCCAGATCGACTGAAATGGTCTTATATATGGTTGTTTATTAGCATGCCGACCCGCATCGTCGTGGGCGAAATCCGGGTGTGAGTTGGAACTGGAAGGGGAACTTAGGAGGTGAGTCGGAGGGGTTAATTCGCGTTCGACGGGCAGATCGTGGTCGTGGGCGTGATCGTGGTCGAATTGCTGGCGTGAGTCATGCCGGGGGGGTATGGAGCGACGAGGAAGAGGGGTGAGTGGGATGGGGGAGGCTCGTGGTTCTATTACCGTTGGTGGCATATGCAGCTAGATATCATGTTTCGTCTGTACTACTGTACCTCGAGGACCGCCAAGTTTTGAGGCACAGGCACGGTGCAAGGCGCTGGTCGGGCCGCGGCGGGTGTTACAGTTGGAGCCAGAGCCAGAGCTGGAGCTGGAGTTGCAGTTGCCAGCGGGTGAGGGAGGACAGGGCACGTAGTACTTCGGACAGCCTACGGCATCCGGCGTGCAGAATACAGAGTAGTACAGAAGTACAGGCCTAGCGAAGAGACTATTGCAGCAACGCGGCAAGCACGAGAGCGAGAGAAGGGGTCGTCGTACTGGGTACTGGGTACTCGGGAGGCCGGACTTGGTCGTTTCGTCGGCGAGGGGCGTGGGGCGTGGGGGGGGGGGCGTTCTCTTGGAACGGTTGGCAGACGATCAGGTGTACAGCTGTCTCTTATACACATCTAGATGTGTATAAGAGACAGGGTGTACAGTATCGTGCACAGGACGGAGGAATTCGGGCGTGGCGGTGTGTTGAATATCGGGTTGTAATAATGTAACAATGTAGTAACAAGGAGGATTGCAAGTGGAGTGCGGTGGTAGAGATTGGGAAGTGATGGGACGTTGGTGTCTTGGAGCAGCGCAAGTCCAGCGCAAGACGAAGTAGTTTGCAGTAGCGCGTGCTGCCACGGCCGCAATTGGTGGGGCTGATGGGCTGATCCGCGCTATCTGATCCGAAGATTACGGGTAGCGCGGGTGTGCGAGCGGACGAGAGATTAGATTTAGATTATCTTTTTCATCACATCGCATCGCATCGCATTATCATCATCTTATCAGTTGGGTCTTTTTTTTATTACCTAGGTAACCCAGTACGTAGCCCTCGTACTCCTATTCCCATTCCCACTCCCTCCCCCCCTTTACTCACTTCTACAGTCTACCTGGGCACCTTTCAGTTCCCTCCTATTCTTTTCGCTCCCATCACTCCGACACCGCCTCCGGCTGACATCCAACCAGTCGAAAAGACTGCCTCGTGTACATACCAGGGCACGTAGTAGTAGTCATATGTAAGTTGCTAGGCCAAGACCGTGGCCAAGAGACTATCTCTCTTGTAGTTACTGGAGTGCTCTCCAGGGACCATCTATGACACAAGGCATCCTGCCTCCTGGCTTCGTGGGATCAACACCGTGGGAATGAGAGCTCTCCGCTGCCCTGGTTTCCTGCACAGCGCTCCCTCTCACACTCCTATTTTCGGACTATGGCCAGCGCCCGATTAGTATATTCAGGATACTCATTTGTGCCCCCCATCAATAATATTCAATACTTGTTTTCGACTCTTCGAGGTAGCTAGGTAGCGGTACGAGTAAGGACTGGGCCCTGGGGAGTGATGGGTTTCCACTTCCGTATCCTCTCCTCTCCTGTGCTCTGAGCATACCCGAAGTACATCCTCCTCCGTTCATGTGCGGAGGCACAGAGTACATCCATCCTACGGCTCCGACCCATCTAGGCTCGCATTCATATATACTTCGCACTGTACAGTACCTATATATATCAATCCCTATCCATCGCCTGGCCCCCAACCGTCTGCGCCTCGTCACGCTTCTGCCCCTGTGTTTCGATTTTCAACCTCTGCATTCCCAGAAAGAAAAATAGACGGCCATTGCAGAAATCCGCCTACGTCTGTCCTCCTTCAACATCCTTCGGCTTCAGCCTCCGGAGATCTAAGGGTGTAGCTACGGCCATCCAGCCTACCAAACCCACCCAAAACAAAGTATGTTCTGCATTACTGCGCTGCGCTGCTGCGCCCCGCCTCAGCGATATGTGCGTAATCCGCCTGCACACTACGCGTAATCAAGCAGCCGCCCGAGAATCCAGGATCAAACCTGAAGCTTCCTTCACGATATCGAGGTCGGCCCAGCGGTTCGCCCCGATGCGCCTGCGAATACTGCTTGTCGCTACGTCAACGAGGGCCTCAAGTGATCCTCCTCTTCACGGCGCATTGTAATCCCATCTGGTTGCAGGATCGCCCTGAAAGTCACGGCACCTGCATGCTTCCTTGCGATGCGATCCAACCATTCGCGCTCTATATTATACTCGGTGCATCCCTCCTTGTCATCAACCGCCTCTGATCTCACTTGAGGTGATCCCCTCCAGGCCTTCTTCTGGCCATGACCCCCAATGAACGACCGCCTGCGCCTTCTCCCATTTCTCGTCGCTCATCTCCAATATTTCTCATATTCTTTGCTTTAGTCTTTACTCTGGCTGTCTGTCCTTTCTCCGGAATGTCGAAATGCTTCGATCTCGTATCCACACGCTCTCTACTCATCATGCACTTCTAGTCTCTGTACTTTTTTTCAACATTCTTTCCACTCTTGCCCAAAATACCTGTCGTTATCCGACTGGCAATGACGCAAAAGGCGATATCCGGTGTTTTCCGAATTCACAAGAGTCTCCGTGCTGTGGGCCGGGCTTTGTCTGTCTCAGCAATGGGCTGTGCCTCGATAATTCAACAGTAATCAATGGCCATGTCGGGGCAGCTTATTATCGAGGTTCCTGTACGGACGCAACATGGAAATCCCCTAGTTGCCCAAATTTCTGTACCGCTCCAGAAGGTCCTTATGAAGGCAATATGACCGGGGGTCAGGCGATGGGAAGATGCCCGGACACCGCCACCGATAAATATTACTGTAAGAACGGTCGTGTCTCTGAGAAAGACTGCAGCAACCCAGCAATACTGTTCACCATCTCAGGTAGGGCATTACCAGTTTCCAAAATGATAGCGTCCCGTCCATTATCACAGCCCAGAATTACTAACCCCCTTCCGTAGGAGTATCGCCCTCGCCTATCACTACTGTTGTACCCTCCACAATCATCGCATTAGATACAGCCACCATTTTCATTATGCCTACTTGGATTTCGTCAAGCCTCTCGCCTCGGCCGACTGAAACACCGCCCAAAAATCTCATTACAAGCGAGATACCAAGAGCTGGCGATTCGGGACTGTATGCCAGTAGGCATGCTCTGGCCATTGGTGTAGGCGTGGGGGCGCCTGTTGGGGTTGCATTGTTAGTCCTCCTTGGATTCCTCCTGTGTCGTAAGCGCCGGAAGGATATGGAGTTGACGGAGGTGTATAACGGTCCCCCGCCTATTCGTCCTGAGCGCCCAGTTGTGGGTAGCGTTGAGCTGTTTGATCACCGAGAAATCGATCGATTGCGTAGTAAACATTCACTGATACATCACGATAGCGATAACCCACCACTGCCACGGCCACAACCGAGAGGACTTGGGCCGACATCTGAGGATCTTGCGGGGCAGGCTATTAGACGTGAGAATACCTGGATATAGACCTGGGGATGAGTGGTGTAATATAACATGTTATGGTGTTGGTTTTAGCATTAATATTAGAACCAACTCAAATTATAGTTCATCTAAGAAAAGAGACTACATATATCTCCCCGGAGATAGCTACCTTGTTGTTAATAGGTCCCTCCTGTCCCTAATAAATCAGTCTAGATTCCCAAAGCCATACCTTAGCTACCTACCTTACCCAGGTAGGTACAGACGTATAGGTACCTCAGGTAGGTAGAATAATGTAGTCACGTGACTGTCGTCGGTTGTGAGGCAATCCTTCCTAGCTAGCTTAGCTGCTGAGCAGCATATTACCATCGTCCATCGTAGCGCCGGCGACACTGTCGTCAATACACCCACATTATACAGCTATCTTTACGCAAAACAGGCATGGCACACGTCACAGGCCTCGGAGCCTTCTTTATCATCGTGGCCTTCCTAGTTTTAGTCGGCGGCGCAGCTTGGATCATATACACACACTTCCGCGCACGCCGCCTAGGTCTTCCAACACCCACCCTCTCATCCTACAATCCTTTCAGTCGCGGGGATCAATCATATGGCACACCTAGCCCTGCCCGGGGAGGAGTTATTGGATGGTTCAATGACAAGCTTGGAAATTTCAAGAATAGGAATAATCGCTCAGCCGGAGGAGCATACGAGGAACCTTTGAGCAGCAATGTGCGGGGCCGGACGAGCAACAGAGGTTTTGGTCCGCTAGATCCGGATGAGGCTTGGGATGCCCGAGTAGGCACAGAGGCAGATGCATACGGGCCTGGAGGATATTACGAGGAGCAGGAGTTGGGACTACACCACGATCGTGGCTCGAATCTTGCGCCTACCCCCGGATTGGCACCATCTGGTTACGGCGATGGGAGCCGGGGAAGAAGTTTAACTCGAGATCCCGAACCCTACATTGGCGGATCGCATGCTGGGCTTAACAAGAGATATGATGAGGAGATGGGCAATCGACCAGCGGAGAATCCTTTTGATGACGCTGCAGAACCAAGCAATGTCAGCTTAAGGGGAGTCAGTCCGCGGCCAATTGATACTTCGCAGGGTTCAAAAGAGCACAAATCGAAAGATAGCGCGGATAGCAACAGCCCGAATGAAAGGAGGTCGATGTTTAGAGAGAACGTGTAGACGAAGGGGTGCTTTAATGGTGGGACGGTCGAGCCATGACATATGGAGTTGGCGCAGAGGCGTTGGTTTCTCCGGATCTTGTTGTAACTAGTATACGGAACTATCACAAAAGTTGTGACCTTCTCCGCGCTAGATTTCTCCTACATTTGATTCTCCGATTTGTATATTTCATTGGGGTTTGAGATTTGATTGTAAAGGAAATATCATTGCCGGTCACCCTCGTGGTTTAGACCCCTTTTGACTGCCAGGTTACTGTGGTAGTTGGAGATATGACAAGGTTGGCGAGAAAGGAGACTGCCATTTGGACAGCCAACCCAGATGCCCCATACATGTGAGTTTTCACTGCCAAATCACTTTAGGGTTGCATAGATATTGTACATCGTAATAGGCTGCCCTGTTCAAGCCGTTTACTAAGGATTACTGTTACGGTATCAATCTAAAACAGGCACGCCGCCATGCCCACGTGCTGATAAGATATGCCATCCGACATAGGGCATAGCTCAACCCCACCATATTCTTTCTCTTGCTACGTACCACCACTCCCTCTCGATCATCCACACTCCCACCCCCATAACATCACCTTAATAACGATACCCCGGCAGCCCAAAATGGCAGATATCAACCTCCAAGAGATCTCAGATCTCTTGGTTAGCATTGCCCACGAAGCAGGCCGCATGATGATGTCTGCAACACCATCTTACTTGGATTCTGGGACGAAGAAGAACTGCAAGCTACCCTTCCAATTGACCCCTTATACCCCCAGGCTAACCACAATTATATAGCGGCGGACCTGGTAACAGAGACTGATCGTGCAGTGGAGAAGATGGTTTCGAACCGCCTTCTCTCCGCCCATCCAACATTCTCCTTTATTGGCGAAGAGACCTACGTCCCGGGCCAAACAGAGCTCACGGACGCACCAACATTCATAGTCGATCCGGTAGATGGGACCACGAACTTTGTGCATGCCTTCCCCGCCTTTTGCATCTCTCTCGGTTTCACCGTACACAAACTCCCTACCGTGGGTGTAATATACAATCCTTTTCTCGATGAGCTTTATACTGGCATTAAGGGACAAGGATCGTTCGTTACGAGGCATGGGGGGGGGAAACTCAGGCTACCGCTGAAGAAAGAACCAGAGCCGTTGAAGGATTTGAGTACATGTTTGGTGGGTGCGGAATGGGGCAGTGATAGGTCAGGTAATAACTTCGACCTAAAATGCAAGGTGTTTTCCAAGCTAGCAGCGACGAAAGAAAATGGCGGTGCGATGGTGCATAGTTTACGATGTATGGGAAGTGCGGCATTAAACTTGGCAGCTGTTGCGGCAGGTCAGCAAGACGTTTACTGGGAAGGGGGCCCTTGGGCGTGGGATGTTGCTGCCGGCTGGTGCATTCTCGTCGAGGCGGGAGGTATCATGGTTGGTGGAAACCCAGGTGATTGGGCACCGGCTGTAGATGGGAGGTGCTACATGGCTGTGAGAGGAGCACCAAGTGGGCAAAAGCAGATTGTGGAGGAGTTATGGAGTGTGGTTGGCGACGGAAAACTGAAATACTAGAGATGAGAACATAGAATGGTGATCGACATATGGCTGTGCAGGGATCGACTTGCATTAACTGTACGGAAATAAGCTATGTGCTTGAGGCTATGCACGTAGATTATCGGATGCTTTGCAATTAGATCATTAGACCTCTCTGGAAGTCCAGATATAAAGTGCATTGATGGAACTGGTAGAACTGATTCAACTAAAGCTAGACGTTCAGGAACTTGAGGGTGAACATTCGCAATGGCAAACACAATTCTATTCCTTAGCCCAAAACAATAGGCTAGTGCCCAGGGGTTGGATTTTGATTAAGAAGTATATAGTACTAAGTACTACTCTTTTAATACCTAGGTAGTTACTTTATGCGATATGCCCCGCCCACGTACTTTATATGATACTACTCTGTTGGTTGCTTTTGAGGTTGGCCGAGTTGGCAATCCATATGCTGCTGGTAGTGCTTAGGTTACACTAATAAGCCATGTATTAGCATAATATTGCATTTCATTCTAGGCTTCCATTCCATAGGAATCACTTGAAAGTGCAGGGGCAAGTACGTCCTCTCTCCTTAAAGCCACCTTGTATATGTATAGAACCCACAGCCCAAATCCAACCCCTTCTCGCTCGCTACCTAAGATCCTCGAAAGGGCTCATTTGGGACGAGATTTATTTAGCTTCTCATACCCAGCTATATTCTTACTACTAGAGTTAAGCTTTATCAAGAATAACTTTCAGCTAGAGCACTATTGGACTATTAGTCTTGAATTCGTGCAATTATTCTATGACTTGACTCATAACTCAGCTCTAGCTCGGCTCTTAGGACTACCCGCGCAATCGCTCGTGCCAGGTTTCAACCCGAGTTCCAAGTATTCAAGTACAGTATGCTAGTGTACTCGAGTAGCCGTGGAATCCGCAGATTATTAATTCTTAGGTCAATTACAAGAGAATAGGTGGGCAAGTAACCGCAAGTTTTAGATTACCAGCCGGGTTACAACATATAGCAAGTAGAGCAGGCATCCGTGACCAATCTTTCCCTCAAGTATTCATGGGTCCCTCTGTGTTTGGAAATCTGGATTGCTGGATCATGGCTATAGAGTTCCGAAATCAGCGGAATGGCAAACACGCATCCCTTCTGTGGCTTACGGCGCAGTGCCGAGAACCTTCTATTCCTACTCCTACAGCAAGATGCTTTTTACTTGTACATGGGAATGCAAACGGAAATTCAAGAAAGCAGGCAGTATGCACATGAGCAAACAAACCTGACCATCAATACGAATCCTTCAAGGATCCCCTACTCCTATTATTTGACAACTCCACTGTGCTGTCGCTACTCTCCTTCCCCTTTTCCCTGCCCCGTCCCACGCGCTGCTCCGTATCATGGGTTCCATGTAGTACCGTAAAGCCGTCGGGCTGTTTTCGTGACCGAAAGCGTGCCCAAACATTGTTGCAGATTGACAAACTAGTTGCAAAATATATCACAGCATTCCAGAACCCCTGTAACGGCAGCACTATGGCTGATCCGATGTTGAGTGCAAAGGAAGGGCTTGCCGGATACCGCAAGCCATATACACGATTCACAGTCGCCGGAACCCATGTGATTAGAATGGAGATGGCAAAAAGCATCGCGCATTTCGTATACGCCCATTTGATCTTGTCAATACTATTAGGTCCGCGGGGAAGCACTATATGGGGACTCCGTTGAGTTGGTAGTGGGCGAAGGGTGCGGGAAGGGCCGTGGGCAGATATAGTGATAGAGTAATATCGATCACTACTTTCACTAACTGGAATTCTGTCGTTGGCTTTGAGTGGCGAGCATGCAGTGGGCGGGGGCATCTCGAGAGAATTCTCTTTCCAGGAGTCAGTCGTGACCTCAACATCAGTGGTGCGGGTTCCCGAGAAAGCTGGCAGCTCGATGGGTGCGCCAGTCGCCGAATGGGTGGTGTCCAGGTCTTTCAATTGCGAGCGCTTCTGAAAAATCTCAATTCCGACAAGGAAGTAGATAATGAGCGCGATGAGGATAGCGATCCAGATAGGGGCGTAGTATGAGTATATTCTTATAGGAGCCCAGTCGTTGTCTATCCAGCACCAGAGCTAGAATTGCAACCGCGTTAGCATACCCTCCTGCCATATTTGCCGGAGGCTTCGAGATAGGAAAGGGGGTTAAAACACACAGTAGCATCCCCGTACATCTTCCCCTTCTGTCCCGTCTTGTAGAAAAGACAAAATATAGCGGGGATGAACGGCAGGCCATAACATATAACTCCATAATACCAGTACAGCTTCTTCAACCGGGGCGCGTCGAAGCGTCGAAAGAAAACGAGGTACACGTTCACAGCCATGGCGCAACTCCACATCGGGTCAGATTGCATGAACCTCCAGATGTCAGTTTAAGAATTAACCATGCTGAGGCGATCATACTTGCTGCATGGGAAAAAACTTACATTTCTAACAGGAAACTTTGGAATTGGCAAAGAGCTCCATCGAGACGGTAGAGGGCTGAATCCCCAATAAGAGCTGCAACATTTGCAAAAAGATTCGCGAATGACGCATAGAAAATGAGTGTGTTTGATAGTGTCCTAAAATCTTTAATAAAAATGAAGGTCGTGATAAGAATAAGTGTCCCTATAACTGACACGGAAGCGGTAAAACGCTCGATGACAATGAGAGTCTGGATTTGCTCGGACGTTAAACCCATGGTGTTATAAGAGTGAGGGTTCTCAGGTGGGGTAATTGTAATGGAGACTATTGCAAGGAGATCGACCATTGAGCTGGTTACTCCTCATGGCTAGGTTGACCCTAAGGGGGAATATATAAGGGTAAGCTCTATATTAGTATCCAGCTCTGGGTTCAATGCTATCATTTCGTCCCCGTTTACTTACATGGTGCAAGTCGACTCCTCACACCTCTCATCCCGTTCCTGCAGTAAACAATCACGACTCTTGACGTTTACATGCGCTCAAAGCGCTGTGTGACCATGCGGCCAACCATTTTTTGAACTGCCATTAGAGCGAAGTTACCTGGGTTCTTGTGAAATAACAAGGCAATTTCGACGTATCCGAAGAATCCCAGAGAGTCAACTATTTTACTCGGTAGAATTAATTATCCCTGTTTGCTGAGGGTATGTCTTGCTCTAAACCGATCTAGGAGCCGGACATTAGGTGGCCCAAAATCCAACTATATATAATTCAGCCCGAGGGAGGGAGGTATACACTAGCAACCAGGGTCGGCGGCGATATGTAACCCTCCAGTCGTGCTGGTGAGAGCGGTATCCTAGGGGGGAGAGCCTAGTATAGGGTGGATAGTACAAAGGGACTGTCGAAGTCACAACCGTATTTTTGTCAGGATTTGACAAGTTGGGTGCATTATAGATGTAGTATCACGTACCATCGGCAGATGATAAAACATTGCTGCAGTGGTAATAGGACCTGTAAACCGGCTAAGTTTCAACATGTGCAGCAATACTCATGCTTGGTATGGGGGGTTTAGTCCTTCAGCCCTCCCAAGGCGTATTGAACTCCAGATCTACGAGCGATCAAGTTGACGCAGATATCATGCCCGCGCCCCTTGGTACGACTTTACTCGCGATAATCCAGGTACGTACTGGGGTCATGATAAACCGGTGCAGAGCGGGAGACTCGGGCAGATTCAGATATGTACATACTTCCACAATGGAGGCGTTGAAGTCACTAGACTCACTACATAAAGCGGAGACCCAGGTTGCATCAAAACACAGCAGCAGGACACCAGTTGCTCCGCGACTTGTCGGATCTAATGCATCGTGGTCGTTTGCTGTACCACAGTATGAAGGGAAGTACCACGCTGGCTCGACCATGGCGCGCGCGAAAGGGTGGCTGACGATTACTCGTATAGCTGCCCATTCGTTTGCATGTCCTCACCACGAAAGTGTAGCTGCCCCAACTTGTCCCTCAGCTACTCGTCAGTCACTCACGTAGTTCATACTCACAAACCAAGAGCTCATCCTAGGCGACTTGCAGCGGCTAGGTGCATCGGAATAATTGCTGCTGGTCTCATGCTTCCGGTGGCTCGTCCAGATCGGATTAGGACCAAGAATGCGTTGAGAGCAAGAGAGGGTAGTTTCTTATTTATGAGAACCAGAGATGTTTGGCCGGTACCTGTCGATATTTATAGCATATCACGCTGCTGATGCGGCTCGAACTGATAGCTTTCTAAGTTAACGCAACATTTATTTGAGCTAGTGGTAGCTAGATGTGACGGAGGAAAGTCTTGAATATTGCGAGGTTGGCAAGGTTTACATAATCTTGCATGCAACAATATCCCCTCAGCAGAGGGTTATCCTGTGCCACCAAGTTATGTGGTGTACAGGAAGTCTGGCCGATTGTCACCAAGAGTCTCAACCTCTTGATCGGACTTGCCTGCAACCAAGTAATCCCTCCTTCCGGATAGTTTAGCTGCATTCTCACTCTTCAGAAGGACATGCATAACAGTGCTCCCAATAACAAGGCATGTGACCATGTATCCCATAATTGCCGCATGGCCGGCCGTGTATCGTGGTGCTTGGAAGAAAATATTACTACTAACAAGGCCGTTGATGTTTCCCCAGCCGATAACAAATCCGAGGACGATACCGCGTTTATAGCCCTCTATGTTGTTGCTAACCCAGGCGATAGTGTTTGGAATAAAAGGGTAAATTCCGAGGGCGCCCAAGAACGTGCCGGCATATTTGACACGTGGATTTTGTGACCCGAGATGCATGCCGAAGCCAACGATCCCAAACATTGAAACGAAGATGTTGCACAATCCGCGTCTACCAGTACGATCTGCGCAAATGCCGACCGCAATTGTAAAAATGGCTGCGCATACGTAAGGTGGCACTGACATAAGCTGAGCCTTAGTAGTCGAGGTATAGCCCATGCTACTAATGATAGACGTCAAAAATAGAGAGAAACCATATAGGGGCATGTCGGCACCCATATAAATGAACATACCCAAATACATTTTCCAGTCCTTGATAGCTGCCCACAAGTACGCCATTTCAAATTCCTCGTGCTCAACGCTCGATTGGTTGTCGAGCTTTGGCCGGCGGATGACTCGAGCACGATCTTGTTCGGTAAGGAAAGTGGCAGTATCTGGGAAGTCGTGCACAAAGAAGGAGAGAAATCCGAAGAGGACTGTTGCAAGGCCCTCTAGGATGAATATCCATGCCCATCCAGGTCGGCCTCCTAGCCCGTCCATCTTGCCGATAGCAGCTGCGAGTAGACCACCAAATGACCCCGATACAGCTGCAGCCGAGAAGAACACAGCCTGATAACAGTGTCAACATGGCAGCTAGGGCAGGCAAAACGTGCATACCTACAGCTGTAACGCCAAATTCACTGCGCTTATACCAGCAGGAAAGGAGGTAGTCACCCCCCCCCCCCCCCCCCCCGATAGAGTCCAGCTGCCAAACCCAAAAAAGAAACGACAGGACATGAGCCCAGACCAGTTGTTGACGATGCCCATTAAGGTCATGCAAATACCCCAGATTATCCTAATACGTATTAGAGCAGGAGACGGCAAATACAAGAGGCATATTGCTTACATGATAATCGGTATAAATATAGATGGTTTGAGCCGCTTGAGGAGTACATTTGCCAGGGGCTCGAAGAGCGCGTACGACAGAAAGAAAATCGACAAGGCGGCATTATATTTCGCAGTGGACATATCTCGCAGGCTCGTCTGCAGCCCATCGATCTTGGCATTTCCGATATTTGTTCGATCTAGGAATGAGAGAAGATGTAATACACAAAGCTGCAGAGGAAAGAGAACATCGCCGTGCTTAATTGCCATACATTACTCACCCAAGGAATCAACTGGAGATCAAGTTTCCGAACAAGCTTCCGGTCCTAAAAATGTGTCAGGAGCATAATCATAAACATATGTTTGCCACGCACAATTTCTGCTCTTTCAACATCACCTAGGTGTGCATCCGGGTCATGGGGGATGCCCCGAGCGGTGGAAACCTCAATGATCCTGACAACTTTCTCGTCATCGCTTCGATCATATGACGATTTGGGTTTTTGAGAGTCCATGTTGGCAAAGAGTTGAATCACTTTGAAGATGCGTGGCAAGAGGAAATAGGCGTTTACCAAACATAGAGCAAAATAATTTCAAAATCCAAGTGCAAAACGGCGCGATTCCTAAACAACATGGACAAGCCAGCTCATTTAATCGGCGTGAGAGTAACACAACCAGGGATTCAAGCATGAGAGGCAAGCCATAGTGGGCACACATACTAGGGCGACAAGTACGTACCTCCCCGTAGGTATTCTGGACGGAGTCTGTGTGTTTGTCCTTAACCTACACTGCGACTGTAGAACCATTTCTGGTAACGCCCGGTCATAGAATGGAAGAGGTCAATCCAGGCCCCCGGAACACTACCAGGGCACCAGATCAATCTCAGGTCCCCAGCAGGCATTGTTGGGAAGAGGGTGGAATCAATACCATGCAAGTACCCATACGAGCCAATACCCGGCAGTGCCATGGGATCTAACAGATCGCGATTGCACACTACGAGTAAATCCAGGTCCAATGATTCCCGTGGGCCAACCCCGGACGAGAAGCGAAGTGTTCATCATAAGATGAAGGCTGCAGTGCCCATTTGTTCGCAAATTGGTTGACGCCAGGCCCGAGGCGTGAGTTTAGAAGGGAATATTGCCGGTGCCAATGTTGACGCTAGAACGCCCTGTCTCGAAATAATAGAAAGGTGGAGGCTATATTATCGGTACGTACTACTTCGTATAAGATGGTGGTAGAAGTGCTGATAGGGAATTGACGGGAACTGTGGCCCGCATATGTGGAGATATTGGTTGCGCGCTATAGTCCGATATGTCGTCAGGGGAAAGTTGACTCTGTTAGAGAACCCTGTCCTCGAGGGTCAAAGGACGAATGGGATAGTGAGAGGGGCAGTTGACCGACTCTAAAGACCCTATTGTTGGTATCGTGCCCAAGTGACGCAATACTCGGCCAAATAAAGGCCCTCAATCCATGCAATCAGTTGACTCAATTTCTAGAAATAGTATGCAAAGTCCTTGGACTTAAATTCTATCGCAGAGCATATCCACATCACAGCTCACCGCGAATCCACTGTATCGCAGGGCAACCTCCATAATAAGCATGGAGGTCATGCAGGGCAGCGACGTGGCCCGCATTGCTGGTATTTCCACATCCTCGGTCTAACCCATGTACTATTTAGCATTAACATCCTTCCAGATCCAAATCAATTGGGCCTCGAAAAAAAAAAGGCGGAAGCGGGCATCTCTTGCAAGGAGTCAAGCTAGCAAGCAATTCCGACACCGTCGCCCCCAGTCAAATGAGCATGCCCTGGGGAGCCTTGGGCGCCTGTTTACCCGAAGCGTAAAGAGCAAACAATTGAGCTGCATTCCGAGCCTTCGGAGAAGCAACTCGTGGCGCGGATTTCGAGTGCAGAGCTAGTTCCGTGCTTCAACGAGTTGGGATAAAGTGTTTCGAGTCATCCTCCTGCTCACTAAAGGACCGTGGGAACGCAGCTATCCCCGCGACAATACCAGCAGCCATAAAAAGCACGGATATGATAGACCAAATCACGCCCCAACATTGCGAAGACCCTCCATACCTCTTAGCGAAGACACTGGCATCAGAACTGTTGACCTTGCGGAGGATAAGATCGTCACACTATAAAGACGATAGTCAGCGTAGGAGCACAGCAAAACATCATGGTGGTCTAAATCTCACAATATCCCACACTGAGTAAAGGTTAGTCATGACGCCGATAAACAGAACCACAAATCTCAGCGGCTGCGCGTGAGAAATAAACCAGCAGGCCACAAGTAATCCAACGGCGAGCGCGATAGTGGCAATTGTGAGCCAGTCCTTCCGCGCCCACCAGAGGGTGAGCAGAAAGCAGACGCCCAAGACTATGCTAGCGACCTTGCTCGCAACGATATCAAATCCACAAAATATAAGTAGGGCGCCGATAAGGGAGGACCCAAGATAGCCCGCCGGAAGAGTTATGGCACTGATTCCTCCTCGCATGTGGGTGACACCTCCTTCGCGCGGATCAAGAGAGATGGACTCGACACGGCCGCCTGTGCAGCACGCGGTTATGGCGTGGCCGAATTCGTGGAAAGCAATCACCAGCATCTGTTACAGTACGATGGTCAGCCAGCGCCCACCGCTTGCTTCGCCGTCTACGAAGTCCGAAGTACTCACTTTGAACGGCCATAATGACCAGCGAACGTACGGCAAGTTCCAAAGAAGCGCAATCACCACCACGTAGGCTGCGATCACTCCCAGTGTCACTTTCTGGGTGCTGCTGACGGTAAGGCTGCGACGGGAAACCACACTGTGCGCAGAGAGGTTCACGATGTCGGGCCCGGCTGCGGCAACAACTCTCTTTGCATTGCGGAGTACTCGATCGACGAGGGCTGGTGATACAGAGTAGGAGGGAGCCATTATTATGGGGGTTGGATGAACGACCGGAGGAGTGAAGAGTTAGATTGTGAAGGATGTAAAGGGTGTAAAGGGAGGAGGGCGGTGTTGTCAAATATACCAACTTATAATATAGTGGTGTTGTCCCCCTCCAAGGACAGCAGACGCGTAACTCCCGACTGCGATGTCTCAAGTGATGATGTTGGCTGCGCCTCAGTGGGCTGGTGACACAGGGATGCCACAGGGCTGACGGGTGACCCTGGAGCTTGGCCCATTCCAAAGACATCGAATTACAAGTACTTGAGGTAGGTAAGTGTACGAAGTTCTCCCTCGTTTTCTCAACGATACCATCCACTACAGAACCCATTGCTGGCCACTCCACGGAACGCCCTCACCCTCCCCCTACCAAGGATAGATATGGATATGGATGGAGCTCGAGCTGGAGATTTGGGCTTGGACCCGGCACCTGATCTCTGCTATGCTCCAACGGCTCTCTCACCAGTAGGGGGACATGACATCTCCCCAATCTTATACTCACCGCTCAATGAGGACGACGACGAGATTCGTCTCATTAGCTTCCCGCCACAGCCACAATCGGGGGGGTCTGACTCTGAGTTCATCCATTGCAATCTGGAAACTGTGTCGCTTAAATCGGCCACCCTCGATTATCAAAACTTGGTCTCTGGCCTAATCCTAGCCAGAGAAGGAAACAACAGGAAAGTCATTGGCGAATGGGTACGGGTGCAATCGCAACTGAAGTCTGGGAATGAGCATGCGGCAGATACCTTAAAATACCATGTTCCACCACGGGTTTGCCATCGATACACATGGGGTGATTATGCAGCGCTCTCGTATGCTTGGGGAAATCCAGACCCGGATACTATGCGCAAGATTATTATCAATGGCCAGGCAATGTCGGTAGGACCAAATCTCGAGGGAGCTCTGCGGGCCCTCAGTGCAAGTCCAGATTTTGATTTTGACAGCGGATACAAGCTGTGGATTGATGCACTCTGTATCAATCAAAAAGACTTCGATGAACGTAGCCGCCAGATTTCCAAGATGCAGAATATTTATGGCGACTCATGGGCTGTTATAACATGGTTAGGAGAGGAGGCTGATGAGAGCGATAAAGCTTTCGATCTGGTGCGAAGTTTGTCAATTGCTAGTGTAAAGGGCCGCGGACAACAGGTACTAGCTGAACTACAGCAGGATCCAAGTTGCCTGGGTAATGAGAGCTGGCTGGCGCTGCATCAGTTGATGCAAAGGCCGTATTGGTCTCGACTCTGGGTTATTCAGGAAATCGTTCTTGGATCATCTGCGGTATTACTTCGCTGTGGCAGCCAGGCCATCGGCTGGCCGTCCTTTTGCATCGGCATTGGGTTCTTATTCGATTATCTCTGGACCATCAAGGATTGGCTTCTGAAGCGCGAAATATATCTAAGAGCTGTGGAGAAGCGCTTTGCTCCGGTGTGGTCGACAGCCAACCTACATCTAGTAAAACAAGACCTCTGGCCTTTGAGCCAGCGTGAAGAACAAGGCAGAGCTAATTTGAGTTTTGGCCGGCTATTGGTTCTTGGAAATTCTGCCGAGTCCACCGACATCAGGGACAAAGTGTACGGTTTGGTTGGTATTATGGACCTGGAAATCGCGAAGCACCTCGTTGCTGATTATAAAAGCGCTCCCTGTATCATATTTGCGAAGGTGGCCAGAATATTTATTCAGTCGTACCAAAATCTAGACCCAATCCGCGAAGGTAACCCTTGGGGTCAGACGGATACGCCATCATGGGCTGCGGACTGGACCTGGGGTGGTCGGGTTCGACATAGTCGTCCAGAGACCCGTTTATATGGCCCTTTTTGGAACAGAGACGGTCCACCGCGGCTTGCTAATGAAGCAATTCCTTATAGCGCAAGCCAAAAAAGTCGCGCTGAAGCCTCATTCTCTGACGATGGCTTACATCTCACTTGCCGAGGCTTTGTGGTTGACAGGATTGCAGGCCTCACTGCTCGCGGATATGGTTACTTTTCATGGTCGATGGCATCTATTGTTCAACCAAATCCAGCAAACAGTGTTTATGGGGGCCCAGTGGAAACTGCCAGAGCCCTCTGCCATGCTCTCGTTGCAGACAGGATTGCTGATGGGTCGAAAGCAAATGACCGCCAAATGGCAATTTTAAGTCTTCCATCCACGTTTCAAATTGCCGCTCCACAGTTCGAGAAATTAAAATGGAAGTGGCTCTCTACCCAAGAAGGTTATTACTTTCGATGGGAACAGTGGCGACTCGCGAACAAAGACTTTTTGTTGGGGGACCGGCGACTTGGAGAGTATTTCACCGATTTCCTTCCATTCGGTGCTTCGGAGTATGATTATACGGAAGTATATAGCTGCTTTGACCGTACATCTAAGGGAAGAAGACTTATAACTACTGAAAATGGTTACTTGGGATGGGCTCCAGATAATATGTATGGGAGCGACTATGATCAGGCCAAGAAAGGGGACCTGATTGCTATTATCTTTGGCTGCAGTACGCCAATTGCTATTCGCCCTCGCGGAGATCTTTTTCAGGTCATAGGCGAAGCATATGTTCAAGGTCTTATGGATGGTGAAGCTATGGATTTCCTCAATTTAGGGGGATTTTCAGTACAAGATTTTACCTTTTGTTAACCCGTATACAAATGGGGAATGAAGGCCCAAGTGAGTATTACCAGTAGCCTTGCCGACAAGATCATCCGAATAGGAGACGCCGTATATCGGTTATTCTAGTCGATTTATGCCGCCATCTCAACATACCTCACCTAGCGGGGTCGCAGTCAACAACTCCCATCAACAGATCCACTAGTTCAGGTGGTAATAAATTGGATGCGCACAAGTACCGCTAAAAGACATCTGAAGAGCTACCATCAAATTAGTAAGCCGTACAAAAGTTAATCGGGGATGATAATTACTTATAATTATCCATTTGCGCCCATCCTCATGGCCAGCCTTGCTAGGTATCGATTGGCTGCAGAAGTCCAACATTGCAGCGTGTTTGTGCCATCGGTGCTTGTGCAATTTACTATGTTGTATGCATCGAACGTATGATGAACAAGACATTTCAGCTCAGCATATGTGAATATTATCAACCAGGCCCACAAGAGCTTGTCCAAGGGCTCCAGAGGGACCTCGGAGGATAAACTAACCAAATTTAATAGTAACTTGGAAGTAGCGTAACTCTCTAGAAATTTAAAAGTTAAATACTTTGAATAGATGGGACACTACATTAATATAAAAGGCAACTACAAATAAAAGGGGATGCTCGTTATATAAATTATGATTATAATTAATATGTTGGATTTCTAGAAACGAGGAATTGCACAAACGCTTGCCATTTGGCAACAGAAGTCGGATAAATCGAAGATGCCTAATTGAAGAGTTATTAGTAGATCAATCTTGATGTCTGATGTTACTTTAGCTTTCGGCAGTTAGTTGGAACTCGGGCGCGCGAGAAGTTGGAGAGTTATGGAGACACACCCACGCACCATGGCAAATTTGAACTTATAATTCCTCAGCCCTTTACCTTACTGGAACTGCCACTTTATCCATCTGGGAGCCCGTAGACTAGTGAATGGACGGGAATAAGCCACGGGAGATGTTCCAATTAGGGGTCTAGTAGCTGGTTTTGTAGCCTTTCGTATGGAATCCTATTAAGGTACGAGTCGCGAGGTGGATTATCAGAGAGAAAGACAAAGAGACCAACGACTCCAAAGGACGCAAGTAAATAAATATATCCCACTGTGCATGCCAACCGGAATTAGTGCTCCATAATATTACCCCTATTCCCGCACAGGTGAAAAGGGGGGCCGCCACGTGACCAGAGTGGAAAAGTCACACACGATTGGAGTGATCAGAATTGTACTAAAGATTTGTATTATATTTCCCTAGATGTCTTAATTGAGCTAAATTAGCTTAAACGATTGGTTCAGCACATACAACAGCAAGAGAGTCAACTCACGTGAACTGTCCGCCTCGGTTATAGTACCCTTGTTTGTGAGGTACCTAGGTACCTAAACATCGGTCGGTGATACGAGGCTGAACGCGATTTTGTCCCGTTCCCGATTTCACGACTCGACTTCAACGGATGTTGTGGCCTCCATCTAGTCGCTTTTCACGCTTCTGAATTTTTGTCTGAGCCATGAATAGGGTCATTTGTCTTTACCGTGCAGTAGGAAGATATGTCTCCTTTGTCCCGATGCACGACCTTCGACTCGTGTCACTAGTGCTTCTTTCAACAAGACAAAGCCAGGAATGAATGTGTTATTTCTAGGTCGCGATCTCTTCTTTGGATAACGGACTTGATCTTGGACCATGAATCATCTCGCTCATAATATACTTTTCAGATATTTTGGTGATGATGGATAAATTCGAATTCCTGACCGCAGCCCAAGCTCCACGAATCGCTCCGGGCACTATCATGTTTCTTCCTCCAAAAGACCGGGTTTGCAACGGTGCATATACGGACCCTGAGTTGCACACTGGAGCTTATAATCACCCTGTGGTAATTATTTCTTGCCCCGAAGACCAACCGATGAAACATCATTCCCTCGTTGAGGTCGCAATCGTATGTCCATCCTTGCGACCTGTCTTGCATCTCATTACTAGATACGGATCTAACATACTAGTAAAAGATGACATCCTTTAACGGAACGTCTATACGGAAACACCTCGCTGCAAAAGGTATAGAGATCCGAACTGAAGCGCTTGCAGCACAACGTGCGGGCTATCTCCGTGTGGTCACGACTTCCAAACCACACACGCACGATACGCTAAAATTGCGAAATGGAAAGGGGATGAAGCGGGACTGCTCGTACGTTGGCATAAGAGAGACATACCGTGTACAATTGAGCGCGCTTGCCTTGTATGGATCTGCGAAGGAGGAGGTTGACAGGTACCGGCTAACCGGTCATGCGACGAAGAGGCTCGTTGAGGCAGTGGGCGATGCGGCGGCAAAGAGGTGTCGGGGGGGGAAGGCAAGGAATCGGCATGAAGGGAAACCAAACCATGATGAAAGCAAAACAAACCAAAAAGAATTCCATGAAGAGGAGGCTGAAATGCTGGTGGGGAGAGTAGAGAAGGTAGAACTGAGGCTAGAAAAGGCCAAGGAGACCAGGAACAAAGTGGCCAGAAAACGGCAACAGATTAGGAAGAGCCCAAAAGAAGAAATACTGGTTAAAAAGAAAACGGCTTCCAAAAGGACTTTGGGAAAAGCTGGACCTGTTGGGCGCAAGAAGGAGAGTTTGCGAACCCAACGGGCTACAGTCGATACTACAGCTGAAGCCTACGGCCCTATGCCCGCATCCTCGACTCACGGCATTCCTTGGCAGACACACATACTATTAGGTCCGGTTGGGTAATTGGCAATAAAATGACTGTAGTGGGATCGCAATTATGGGATAGCGTCTCGTGCCACATCCTCGAGTGGTTTCACTAGGGATTGCTCTGGATAGCTACTCTTGGTGCTGTTTGAGAAGCTATCGGGTGCTTTATCGAGGATGGGAGCTAACTCATACAACCCCAACTTTAAAACATGGGGCGGCCGGCTAATTGGCGAAGTATGCCAAAGCTCGAATGGACGCAACAATGCTGTCATCACTCACCAAGGCTGCTAAGCTCTTGAGGTTGGCGAATTTATTGAATATATGGTGCCCGTGTCAGGCATAGCCCGCCTCACGAGCAACCCCCCAGCCCACTAAAGGTCGGCACAATAAATAAGCTGTCAAAGTCGTGGAAAGATTGCAAAAGCGGGGATGCTTATTCTTTTAGAACGCGATCACGTGTAGGCACAGGCTGGAATGATTGTGTCATCGCATCGCAACGACATCGCTAATGTGAAGTCATCACCAATCTTGTTCTTTCCCTCTTAGCCGTACAACCTCATCAAACGGCTGCCATAAATAAAATGGTACTGCTAACAGATGTCCAGGGCGGGGTTTACAAGTTCAAGAGCAATTCAGAATGCTGCGGTTTGGGCATACCTACTCCTGTTCTCCCGGACAAAGTGCGCGGCTACATGGCCCTCGTCCTGAGTAGTATGCCGAGGAAGTTGGGTTATGTAAAAGTTATGACAGTGAGTGCTTAAGAGTTCAAATAGTTATCTACTGACTCCTTTAGATTACCTCGACGTTAAAGGATGATGGCGACTATGTCCCTATCTCGCCAATACTAAAGAAAGGCTCTCCAATCCAACTTCGACTTCGAAACTACTTCGAATAGCATCGCCGAGATGTTGTGCGTTGTATCCCTATACTAGCACAGCCTTTGTATCTAAAGATTGACATGTACTTCGAAATACCTATATAAATGTTAGACAGGGACGAGATCGTCTAGGCAATCCTTTAATGATTTGGTCTAAACATCAAGGGGGTCTGGGAGAGCATCGAGATTATGTTCGACGTCGTGATTTGATTCGGGAGAAAGAGAAGCTATACTGCACGACAGACAATCGGAGTGAAGAGGAGGACGGCGTTTAACAATACTTGTTCTAACGAAGAGTTCAAATCCCCTCATCCGAACTACTAGCTGGAAAGTCGGTGGTTCGGTAATATATCGTAGGATGACTGCAGATATATGTCTGTTCACCGATCAGATAACGTCTCGCTTCGTTTAATGGAGCTGTCGACGAAGGGCTATATAATACTAGACAATTCTAGTATAATTTAGTCAGATGAGAGGTTACGAAATTTATACGCAGGAGTTGAGTGGAGTCGAGTGGTTACACTATTAAGCTATATAAAATGGATAGTCTTTCCGATCACTAGCAATCAAATGAGGAATTGGCCAAGGACCTGACATCTTTCACCCCTGCACACAGTGACAAGATGCTACGGTTGCTCGAAGCTTGATAGATAGTCAGCCATGGGAATATAGGTTATAGGGATCAGGGCAAGAAACTCTACAAGCCCATCCGTAACTACACAGCTCAATCTGAATCATATTAGTCAGGAAGTCAATCAAATCTCTACTTGTCAATGGTATCACGGTTGCGAAAAAAAACTGATCTCTAAATGACTCTAATTATAACAGCCTTCAAATCTGTTAAATATCCTCGTTCTAGCACCATCACCCATCTCGATACTCAGCCATCGAACTCACCCAGCCATGTCGAAATGGATTCACTTCAACCGCCAACCCTTCTCTCAATCTGCTCCTGGGTTCCCACCCTCCAGGAACTTGAAGAAAGTCAACTCATTCCCATCGATATCCTTAATGGTAAACTGCCGATACCCCCAAGCCTCGTCCTTGATCGGTTGGGCGAACTCGACCTTCGCGCGTGATCGCAGGTGATCGTGGAACTCATCTAGCTCTTTGGTTCCGAGTGAAATCATTGCCTTTGATGGGTGAAATTCCTCGGGTGAGCACTTATGGAAATAAATATTGGCAGCTGCTTTCTTTCCGATGAAGATGGAGCAGAATGTGGGTGCGTCGTCGTCTGGATGTAGACCTCCCGTTATGAAACTCAGCTCCTCGTTGTAGAATTTGACCGTCGCTTTTATCGAGCGCGATTGGAACTGGGGAATGATTTTCCAAGCGGAGCCAACTATTTCTGACATTGTGTAGATTAAAATATAAGACGAAGGAAGGAAAAAGACGAAGACTTATGTGTTACGAACGCTAACCTTATAGCCTGAGGCTCGAGGAATCCGAAGGATTACCACAGAGAACTATAGAGGCATGTGACTAAGTCACGTGACAGTAAGAATCACGTAATGATGCTCATGTAATATGGATCGAGAGGATCTCAGGGGTAAGACTACGATCTATCGGATCAAGCCTCGACCCTTGAGATCTACATGGATCTAGGAAGAAAAAGGTTCTATATAAGTGTAGTATTTCCTTATTAGATAGAAGCTTTATGCTTAACTTAATTATCGATTATAATAGTTAACTCTTATGCTAAGTAATGGGCCTTGGGAGTTCATATATGTACTTCTTATGCCATTCTTATTAAAATGATAACTAACGTTATCTAGGCATCACATGGGATACCACACCAGGCCCAAATAGTAGCCCGTCTTTGCGGGGGATATACCTCGAGGAAACCGGGCTGACAAGGTATTTATCATTTTTTGAGCGAAACCAAAATCCGGCAATAAATACTGTAAGAATACATTACTACGCGTTTATCAACAACACTTGTCTCTGCTGTAGCCATCCGTGGCTGACTCCTAGGCCAAGTAGGGAGATCAAGATTATGCGCAGTCACGGGGGGTTCTTGGAGCGAAAGTGGTTCCCACTTGGCTGAGCCGTTGGTGCAACTGCTTCCCTTAAGCCGGTATATCATAGCTGACTATATGATCCCCAGGCGAGGGCAATGGCCAATTCTCAAACCAGGGCTTGAGGTTGTATCCAAGCCACATATTCAAACGGCTTATGCTCTGCTTCAAGAGCCGTCGGCTTTGCCGAGCGCTGCTCTAGACCCCCCAACGCCCTTCTCCCCTTCCCCGCTGAATAACTTCTGGTTCACCAAGCTCGACTTCTTCAAGATAGTCTGGCAGAGAACCATAAGCGATCCACTCGACAGCATCTCCAGGACTTGCAAATTAACATCCAGTTCTCGCGCTATCCAGTTGCGGATTTCGACAGCGACTAGGGAGTCCAAGCCATATGCAGAAATTGGTTTCCTTTCTTGAATGTCGTCGAGAGGCACCATTAGTATTTCAGATATCTTAACCGCAAGTCCTCGGTATATAATCTGCTCTACTTCTGTGAGTGACTGGGCTTGCGCGACCTCGTATCCGAGCGATATCGCCAGTTTCTCGGGCGCCACACCATGTTCAGTGACAAGGGAGCTACGGATCCTCGAGAATTTGGAATCGGATATCCAAGTTGTTGCTGGAAATGCTGGTCCAATATCTAAGCCCGTGATGCAGTGGTTCCTGCACGAGCTCATCTTTCCACCAATAGCTGCTGCCATCAGAGCATGGAGCTCCATCTCGTCGATCCCTTCGCTTCCCATTGAACCCATTACTAGCGCTTGCATTTCCAAGTTTTCTGCCAAATATCCGACATCGCTCACTGCTGCCAGATCAATGGTGGTGGCTGGAAGACCCATCCCGATTCTGTATTGAGTGAATGCATCCATGAATGTACTTGCAGCGGAATAGGCTGCTTGGCCTCGGTTCCCAATTATACCAGCGGCCGAGGAGAGAGTGATAAAGAAATCGAGATCTGATTTCAAGAGACTATTGTGCAAATTCCAAGCACCAGCGACCTTGGGTTTGACAACCTCCGCATAGTCCTCAAACTTCATCTTTTCGAATAGGACATCCTGTGATTTGTTAGAAATTTTCAAATATAAATTGGCATGGACTACACACATTGAGTATCATTGCACTATGAATGACTCCCCGAATAGGGGGCATATCATGTGTACATTCAGCGACGATTTTTTCGACGTCTCTTTGCTCCGCAACGTTGCATTGACGAACGGAGACATTTGCCTCTAGCTGTTCGAGCTTCTGAATCAGATCTTTGACCTTGCCCTTAACTGCCGGTGAGCGTGAGAGAAGGATAATATGTCTAGCCCCATTGCGCGCCATCCACTCGGCAATACTTCTTCCAAGTCCGCCGGTACCGCCTACTATGATGTATAAAGCATCTTGGCGTAGCAAAGAAGTCTGAAGCTTTGCAGGGATAGCCTATATAATCATTAGCGAATGGATTTAAACCAAGAGAAGACCTGCCTTGACTTGATCCGCCGCACTTGGCTTGACAGCGACCTTCCCGATATTTTTTCCGCTCTGGAGAGTCCGGAAGGCAGATTCTACCTCCGAGACTGGGAAAACGGTGATTGGAATGCTTTTGAGCATTCCTTCTTGATGTAATTTGAAAACATCCGAAAGGAGTCTTTTCATTAACTGGGGCCGTTCTGCTGCCACGACGGTCAAGTCAACGGACGAGAATGAGGTATTATATGCGAACGGTGCCATTTCTAGCCTTGTATTAGTGACGATATCTCTTTTGCCAATCTCGACGAATCGTCCAAAATGTGCAAGGCACTCCCAGCTAACTCGCAGTGCGTCGCCAGCCAGCGAATTGAGCACGACATCAACACCGCGGCCTTTGGTTGCTGCCATTACTCCGTTGGCAAACGAGGTATCGCGGCTAAAAAAGATGTGATCGTCTGGAATATTATAAGTCTTTATAAACGCTTTCTTTTCCACACTCCCAACGGTCACGAATATCTCAGCACCAATCATTTGAGAGAGAATGATCGCAGCTTGACCTACTCCGCCGGCAGCAGCATGAATCAGAACAGTGTCTCCCTTGCAGAGCCGACCGAGATCGATCAGGGAATAGTAGGCCGTACTCCAAACAACAGGCATAGTTGCTGCTACCTCGAAGGACATATCATCTCTAATTTTTGAGACGCTTGTAGCCTTGCAACGAATATGGGTGGCAAATGAACCCTCCGCCATGGCACAAACTCGATCCCCAACTGCGAATTCATCGCCCAAGACTTTCCGCCCAATAGCTGTAATAATACCGCTACATTCTGTGCCAATATGCTCATTAACAAGCTGGCCCATGGCTATCATCACGTCTTTGAAATTTAAGCCGATAGCTTTGATCTCGATCTCTATATGATCATCCGGAAGAGCTTCTCCGCGTGTGTAGTCATCTATGAAATGCAAGGTATCCAGGAGACCTGGACTTCCCACAGTCATTTTCAGCGGCCTTCCCATCTGTGAGAATGGCTGGAGGTCCGGGCCAGGTAAGTCTTGCGTCTGCTGGTGGATGGACGTGTTCATTTTATCATCATTCACAATACGTGGAACGTAAAGGACGCCTGATCTTTCCATGTACTCCATCTCACAGACTTCGATTGATGCGTCTATGGCAAATGTGATTCTGAAAATGGTTGCGATGGTCTCTACTGCATTCGGAGTATCCCCTGGCTGGTCCAGGTCTACAGTGACAAATCTGAGGGCCGTCTCCGAGCGGATAGTTCGAGCCAACCCAGTTACCATGTTTGCGTTTGGCGATTTCGTGCCTTGGTATGCACCACGAACAACCCAGATTATGCCTCTTGCTGTAGTCAAAAGCTGCTGGACTAAGCCAAATTCTTCTGGCACAATATCAGAAAGAAATGGCTTGTCAAGTTCGGCTAAGACGATACATATCTTTCCGTTAGGGTCTGTCTCCAGGAGCGAACCGATCCGTGGTGATTTCCCAGTCAACTCCTCCAGAGACGACGCGAGCTCCGAAATAGAGAACTCAGTGGGGAATTCTGGACTGATGATGGTAACCTCCGCTTCGGGATAGGGAGCTGAAGAACCAGTGTTTGGAATTAGAAATGGCTCCCAATCCATCCTGAAGCACAGGGCTCTCTTGCCTCCTCGTCCCGAGTTCATTCCTTTGCCATAGACAGGCGTGAAAATGCAGCCTTCCATCACAACACAAGCCTCCTCGCTACCACTCTCAGTTGCGAATATCGAGAGCTCGACGGGCTTCACAGCGGAAGATGTGACTTTTGGGCGGCTACCATAGACGCTGAGATGGTCACCTGGCCGCTTTTGGATATGCCGAGAGATAGTCAGTTTCTTGATAAACGAGGGCATGTATAGCTGATCCCAGCCAGCTCGGCCTGCGCCTAGCAGCGGCCATAGGATTTGGATGATCAAGTCCAGAGTAGCAGGGTGCATGATAAGTTCTGGCTCAAAATGGTTTGGCATCGGGCCCGCCGTATCCGGGATCTTGACATCAGCAATAGCGTGTTGCTCACACACTTTGCAGGCCACAATACCTTGAAATGCCGGACCATATACCACACCAACATTTGCAAGTGTTTCTGCCAGCATCCGAAGTTCGATCGCTTCCGTGCAAGACTTTTTCATTATTGAGATTTGACGTTTTATCGATACCGCAGCATCCTCAAATTGCCGCTGACCATCAATGGCATTGGTGACTTTGGCTTTATGTACCCCGACAATGCCGCGGCAATGCTCAATCCAACCTTTATCACTGGCCCAAGAAAATACCCTGAATTCGTCCCAAGCATCTGTAGACGTTCTGGTCCCTTCACTATACGGCCGAAGTGTGATCATTGTCTCGACGTCAACTTTCTCGTTGATAATAAGCGGTCGACTTGCCGATAGTTCCCGAATTACAAATTCTTCAAAACTAACTGCCCGGGACGCTGCACGTTGGGACGCTGCCTCCACTACCATGATTATATAGCCAGCTATGGGGTATACATTATTCGACTGGATCCTGTGATCCCTCACCCACGGTAAATCGTCCAATCGTATGATGTTCCGCCACCTCGGTTCTAGATCATTAGAATCATCTGCTATGCCACCCAGGACGTCGTTTCGCGGCCATCGGCGAGCGAACCGGTGGTTGTTGCTAATGCGAGATTCATGCCAGTGCTTAGTACTGTGTTGCCACGGGTATCTTGGGAGGTCAGTCAGGAGACTAGCTGCAATATTATCTCGAGGTTTGGGGAAGTTGATAGCTGAAAAGTTCAGACGAGCACCTCTGGATACAAGAGATGCTGCTAGCTGCTGCATAGTCTCGATTGCGTCGCTGCCCCTAACCAGACTTGGTACATATCCGATAGTGATAGGAGTCTGGCCCGCACTCTTCAGGGTCTGCTTTATGGGCCCCTCAAGTGCTGAGTGTGGACCTAGTTCGATCAGTGTGTTGATGGCATCGTTTGCAGATGTGCCTTTATCGGACGATATGCACATTCTCTGGAGCGCCCGGGAGAATTGTACCGGAGAGGTGAGGTTGTCAACCCAATAGGACGGGTTCAATTCCAAGCCGTCAATCTGGTGGGCCGTCACTGAAGAATAATATGCTATGTTAGGAGACCCCAGAGGTTCGGTGTCTATAATCGCCGTCAGGTAATCTTCAGCCACAAGACTCATATGGTGGGAATGGTAAGCCATATCGACTCGAAGCTTCCTGTTGAACAGCCTTTTACCTTCCACCCGAGTTTGAAGCTCGATGATTGCTTCCTCATCTCCTGAGGCCGTAATGCTCGAGGGGCTGTTGATACATGCAATGACAACTTGCCCACAACCACTCCTCAATCCCTTTAAAAGCGGCCGTACTTCAGTCTCCCCACCTCCCACTGCTAGCATGGCCCCCTTTAATGCTGGAAACCTGGATGCAAAATTCACGGTCGCAAGCCCACGATGATAGGCAATTGTCATGCAAGCCTTGAGCGACAAGATGCCTGCTGCATAGGCCCCTGCTATCTCCCCGCTAGAATGACCAACAACCGCGCTGGGTCGAATGTCCCACGAGGCCAGTAAATCCACCAGTGCTAACTGGATGGCAGTACACGCAGGTTGGCTGATATACGCGTTCTCCACCCTGGAAGTCTTAGCATCTCTGGAAAGTTCGCCTACTTCGCGTTAGCATTGCGATCTGAACTTGAAAATCTGCGTTTAACTCGGGGACCTTTACCTACAAGGGACCAGTGGGCCCCAAGACTCACCAGGCAATTATCTGCCGCTGTGATTGTGGCGGTAAATATTGGGTAACACTGCAAAAGTTCGCGCCCCATGGCATTCCACTGAGCTCCTTGTCCAGTAAAAACAAATCCTATCCTCGGCTTATCAAAACTCCGTAACGGGATGACGGTTGAACTGGAAAGCTTGCGAATCAATTCAGACCCCGACGCGGCAGATACAGCCACTTTCCATGGTAATAAAGATCGGCGTTGGCCAAGTGTATATGCAAGCTTGCTCATCAATGAGAGCTCGAAGGTTTCTGGACGCTGTTCTAGGTAGAGTTCGATACTTTTCATCTGAGATCTCACAGACTCTTCGCTGTTTGCTGATAACAGGTACAGGTGCCTAGGCTTTGGGTCTGAGGAGCCAATGGTTGTTTTCCTTACCTTTGACTTTCCACTTATCGCATTAGGAATATTTGTACGAGCCCCATTCGTTAGAATTTTAGAAGCACGCGGAGGTCCTTCTAGCACAACATGTACATTGGTTCCTCCAAAGCCGAAGTTGTTAATGCTCACAAACCGCTTTGATCGAGGCCACGGAAGTTGAGACGTAGGAACCTAAAATATGTTAGCTAGACTTCGAAGTGTTGAGTTCCCAAGTGTCCCTCTTATTACACCATTCCACGCACCTTCATGTTCCATTTAGATAAGGGAATTTCCTTATTTGGAGTTTCGAAATTGATGCTTGGCAGAATAAATCCTTTCTCTAGCATGAGGGCCGCCTTTATTACTGATATGACACCGCTTGCGCCTTCAGTATGACCAATATTTGATTTCACGGATCCCACGAAAAGTGGTTGTAAGGGAGATCGATCTTGTCCAAACACCGAGTACAGCGCACCAGCTTCAATTGGATCTCCAACTTTAGTACCCGTGCCATGCGCTTCTACATATCCCGTGTCATTAATGTCAAGGCCAGCCGAGTCATAAACAGATCTGATGAGTTCTTCTTGAGCACTGCCGTTCGGCATCGTAATTCCCTGCGTTCGGCCGTCTTGATTCATGCCGGTGTTGCGAATCACGGCTCGAATCTTGTCGCCGTTTTCGACAGCATCGCTGAGGGGCTTCAACACAATGCATGCTACTCCTTCACCACGGCCGTAGCCAGAGGCTCTGTGGTCAAAGGAGTATGACTTCCCTGCGTCAGAAAATAATCTTCCAAAGTAAGCAGTATTCCTCAAATGACGGCTTAGTGCGACGTATTTCATACCTTGACATAGACATGGAAATAAAGAAGTCTGGCAGGAGATTCAGATGGCTGCCTCCAACGATTGCCTGACTTGACTCCCCTGTCCGTAAACTTTGGCACGCAAGGTGGAGAGCTGATAAGCTCGATGAGCATGCTGTATCAACGGTGACGCTTGGTCCTTTCAGGTCAAAATAGTACGATAAACGATTCGACATGAGGGATGCTGCATTCCCAGTCGCTTCGTATAGGGGAGCGGTGTCGGTATCTCGAAGACAGTGCAAAGTATAGTCTGAAAAGGAACCACCGACAAAAACGCCTATGTTTGCACCTATTATATTTTCTTTAGGGATCCCTCCATTCTCAAGGGCCTCGTAGGAACACTCTAATAACAATCTTTGCTGTGGATCAAGCGATCTTGATTCCTGTGCAGTTATGTTGAAAAACGGGGCATCGAAAAGGGAGATATCTTCTCGTAAGAAGTGGCCTCCTTTTGGATTGTAGGTTCCGCTTTTAGCAGGATTTGGATGGAAGTATCCCTGCTGGCTGAATCTTTCATTTGGAATTTCTGACCATCCACTACGTGCTCGCGAGCACATCTCCCAGAACTCTTCGGCCGTGCTCACATCACCTGATAGACGGCAAGACATTCCAACGATAGCTATTGGCATGATCTCTTTCGAGCCCGAAGAAACCCAGGTATGAGCATGTCCGCCATGAAATATAGTAGTCTTCTCCGTGGTCGGGGGTTCCATTCCACGGCCTATATCTTCAGACGTGTTTGGCGACACAGAGCTATGAGCTGAAGATTCGTTGCCATTGCTACCGGCTCTTCCACCCAGCGCTTCGGATATGCTCCCCATTTCTCGTCGGTGGTCACTCAATAAATGACTCGATGACTTGTCCGCAAAAGCTATATGTGTGACTTGCAGATTTAAAAAGGACAACGCGATTGATGGCGATGATTTAACATGAAGGGCAGCAACATGAGCTATCTGAGATGATCCTTGTTGATGTAGTTGAGCTGGGGAGCATAGTACTAGTACTACCTCTATGCAACAGTTACGTTCGTACCCCGTAATGTTATGGTTACATGTACCTAACAACAAGACCGGGAGAAGCTATGCCGAAATAAATTATGATCTAGGAATTTGCTTAACGTATGTATGTACCCGTGATGCTGTCATCCCAACATACCTGGCCTCCGGCTGAGCTTCTATTACCAGTTAGGTAGCGTGCAGAAGTGCATGTGAATATTGCCGTGTGAGGCTTCATCTTGTGCATTGAGTAGGCGATGTCTTAGAGGAAATACACAACGCAAGCCCGAGTTCGGAGCCCTTGAGACTAGCTCTAATGCCGACGACTCTCAGCTTTTTCAATGAACTTTCGCACGACGTCAGCTAATTCCTTAACCGTCCTTCTATCCCGAGGAATAAGATGCCCTTTCCCGTGATCGAACATTTCGGCCGTCTCACTATCACATACATTGAACAACGCCATGCAGCCTTGCAAGTAAGGGTCCGCAGCACCAATTACATGGCAGGTTGGGACCGTGATAATTTGACCTACTTGATCGGAAAGCAAGAGAGAATTCTCCCCTTCTGACGCAAGCGGGGGCCAGCCGGCAAAGAATATGGCGCATTTGAACGTGCTGCTCGACCCGGCATCCCGGCATCTCCTCTGCTCGTTGAGTAGAAGCGTTGCAGCGACCGTGGCGCCTTCGGAGTATCCAATTACACCCTGGAATGGTCCTTCTTCATGGACAACTTGATGAAGATCATCCAGCATTCTCTGGACGTCTTCACGTAGAGGGACGCTTTCATCTCCGAGAAAATCTCGCATTGCATCTTCTGGGGTCCCCCCATTGTCAAAATCCCGGAAGCCGTTTAAGATGTCTAGAGGCTCGACTCCAGCCTCATATTTGAAAAATCGAAGGTGAGGAGGGTTTCCAAAATACTCCCCGTATTCACCTGGAAGATCCTCCTCGATGACGCCTTCAGCGAAATGGAACGATGCGGTTTTGTCAGATTGGAGCTCGTCGACAAATGGACCTTGATATCAATAATTAGAAATACGCTTCATCATTTCGTGGCGATCATCTCATATACCAAGTTGGACTCGCATTGTCTACAGAGACAAAGAGTTAGCCTACTTTCCAAAGTCACGAACTTGTTCTTGGGCTATTACATGGGCATTAGTGAGAGCCCCTGGAAGACATAAGAACTTCATTTCGTGAAGCCTATCTCACGTGGTAGATATCGATCAGGAATAAATCATATGGGTAGTTAGCCCGACGTTGAAATGAGGCGATGTAATGCCAAAAACAAAAAAATAGAAGATTGGTATGAGGTCGATATGAGAGGAGCTTCTTTTATCATTGGCTGGGGAACCCCAAGCAGCAGAGACCGGGGGGTTGGGCAAGGTAGCCTTACGCGATACCCTACTGCACTGGTGGTCTGATCCTGTGGGCCAGAAGTAAAGCCTACACGAAAGACTTGATGATAGATAAAGAGACAGTTAACTGGAATTGAGGGCGGAAATAATGGATAGACTGACCCGGCTGAGGGCAATCATCGTGGGATTAAGGATGAAAGTGATGTCCGTAACGTTTCAATAAGATGAGCAGTAGTGTCAATATGTCAGCATGCCACGGACTAAGAATGGAAGGTCTGTCTCACAGTCTTATTCCAACTCTACCCATGTTGTGTTAGGGATAAAAGATAAAGTGCATAGCTTAATGAATTGCGACTTGCGCTGTAAAATATTGGATGCACGAAGTCCCTGCTAAAGCCTTGCTCTAGCAACTAATACAGTATGTACCTTCTTAAATCAGGTCACCGCTTGTACACTGTATTCCACTGTACTCCGCAACGTTACGGACCACTAAGTACAACACCTCGAAATGATTCTTCAGCTGCTTGTGCACGTAAGTGAGACGGCCCCAAAAAGTTGAAATATTCTCAGAGCAGACATATGAGTTTTGTTTTGCTAGTGAGCCTCGCTCGTCACCATCCGACTTCAGGACCGGCAGCTCTGAGTTCTCAAATTCATCTTGGGTCATGATGTCCAAATTCAACGGAGACACAAGTTCAGAAGTCATGATGATCCCATCTTCCCAATTAGATGGTCGATCAGATGACGAAATCATTGCTACACTCCTCAAGTACCAAGCCATAACATCTGAGAAGAACGTATGGACGTTCTGGGACACTGGGTTCTCAGAAATGCGACCATATGTCAGACGGAATATTATTGGATGGGTCCGGAGACTTGGGCCAGATTGGACTGTACGTGTCCTAGATCACGTCGCCGGCTCTCCGTTGAACGTCTCTACATTCGTTAATTCGACTTTCTTCCCCGAGGCGTTTAACAACGGCACCATGTCGGGGATATATGCCGGTGTTCACAGCGCGGATCTTGTCAGGTTACCCCTCCTCTATCTCTATGGAGGTGTCTGGATGGATACAGGCATCATGCTATTCAGAAGCATTCATGATATCTGCTGGAGGGCGCTAGAAGATCCAAGAACGCCGTATGAAATTGCAGGCTTCGCTACAGGAACAGAGCCCAGCAACGATATCATCATGAATTGTTTCATTGCAGCAAAAAGCGGAAATGGCTTCATCAGACGATGGCACGACGTATTCCTAGCGATGTGGGAAAATCGGACGGATTGCAAGGGCTTACATGACCATCCCCTAGTCCGTCCTGTGAAACCAGTCCAGATCCCGAAAATCATGCAGACTACATTCGCAATCGACAACCAGTTATTCAACGACTACGTGGCACATTTCCTCGCCTTCAAGAGGGTCTGGATGCTGGAGGATCCCGCCGATGGCTTCAACGGCCCACGATATTGGGAAAACCACGCGTTTATGCTACCAGTGCAGGAAGCTTTCCTCGCCCAGCAAATTTGTAAATTTGATGGACAACGCCAGTTCGATCTCCTCTCCCTCCAGAGGGAAGGGCTTGCACCTGCCGATCGAGATCAGGAAGCCGAGACACTGGTCCAAGAGCTTCTGACTCATGCTTCTACCATGAAGCTCTCACGCGGCTTGAAGAACAACAAGCTTGTCCACCTCGCCAAGCTGTGGGATCTGCCTGAAAACTCCGAGGCAGATGTTAAGCCCGGCTCATTTGGGGAATATCTCAGGTGGGGCAGCGTGCACTTGAAGCAGACTCGCACGCTGAAGCCGCTTCAAATCCATTGGACTGGAGAGGTGCTGCGCGCCGGAGTGACGGAAATTGTGAAATAGATAGGTTAGCAAGGGCTAGTTTGATTTCGCAGGTCAGGTTTAATTCCGAATAGAGAAGTTCCACTCAAGAAATCATTAGTATGCGCCCTGAGCCCGCAGTGATTAAGATGCGAGCCGATCCTATCGCGAAGGTTAGCATGGTACTACCAGTTCCACGATCGTAGCGTATGAGACATTACCGACGACCGCGTCAGAGGAACTGTCGTTCTAGCGCGCTTAGATGCGAGTGGTGAGAGCTCGATCGACAGACTTCTTTCGGAAGCACAGCGTACTGTAGCTAATCCAATCGTCATTCTAGACGAGACGGGGGTGGGGGGGTGGCAGAGGTGAGCAGAGGTGAGGGTTTCGGGTTCGCCTTTAAGAGCGAGACAGGTTGGAGAGCCTCTACTTCGAGGTAGGGTGGTGATATGTACATGTACAGTACATGTTCTGATACCGTAGGACTTCGTATGAGGTTCCTCGCCCAATTCGCCGCCTAAACCTCGGCAAAGCTGCCCTAGCCACCCCACCTATACGAACCCCTCGGGGTACCTAGGTACTTTGTACGAAATATTGCGTGCGACGACTCGGACTCATCCCACCACTAATAACTAAACTCCCTGGAGCCTGGTATCTTCCTTCCACCCACCCACCCACTCACTCACTCATCCACCACCGACAAAATCTCACCATGGCCGCTCCAATTCCCTCCTTCCTTCACTCTATCTCCGGCATCACATCTCCATTCGCCGTCACCCCTATTGTGCCGCCGTCGCCATGGCGGCCCTCGCCCTCGACGCTTCCTCAAGCTCCGAAGAGGCTTACAGCGACACCGAAAGCAGCACCAGCAACTGCGGCGATCTTGGCGATGAGCCAGTCCACTTCACCTACAGCAATGGTGCCCTGGTTGCTGGCTCCCTCCAACTAAACGATGAGGACGTCATAACCGTTGCCAATATACCAGGAAGTGGTACCGTCCATTCCGTCTTCAGTCTCGCGCCCGCGCCCGCGGCCCCAGAGCCAGAAGCCGAAATCAAAGAACACCCGTTCGAGCTTCGAACCATAAATTCGGCACTCCTTCCTCCAGATTTCTTGGATAGGCACCTCTTCCGAGCCCTGCCTGCTCATTTCAACGCTTCAAACGAGCTGCGGATTCTTATCTCGACTCTCTCGGGCACCGGCCTTGCCCCAGACTTCTTTGATGAAGTTCTACATCCCCTTCTCAAAGCCATTGGATTGCCGGATTCCAGATACAATGTCGTTCGAACTACAACCCCAGAATCCGTCATCGAGTTTGCGAGGTCCACCCTTCTGGTCGGCGCGAACCAAGGACGGAAGCAGACCGTGTTGATGCTGAGTGGAGATGGTGGGGTCGTGGATACTCTAAACGGCCTGTTGGACAGTGGGAACAGATCAAGGTACTATGGGATAACTATCGCTATATTGTCTTTGACATGTGGAATTGACTTCTCGGCAGCATCTACGTTCCTCCTATCCTCACTCAACTGCCCCTCGGCACTGGCAACGCTCTATTCCACTCGTTGCACCGGCCTTCCCAAATCCCTTCAATTTACGTCCAAGGCTTACGGACACTCCTCCATGGCACTCCACGACCGCTCCCTATTTTCCAAGCAACATTCTCGCCGGGCGCGCGGCTAGTCACCAACGAAGGACAGACAGCTACACCACTTCCAAATAACGCCCTGTACGGCGCGGTAGTGGCAAGCTATGGCTTGCACGCAACGCTTGTCGCGGACTCAGATACAACGGAATATCGAAAGCATGGCGACAAACGATTTGGGCTCGTGGCGAAGGATCTGCTATTTCCCGAGGACGGGTCATCTCCTCACGCCTACAAATCGAATGCCACGCTGGTGAAGGACGGACAAGGTGGAACAATTCACATGGGCGAGCATGGCTATGTTCTTGCGAGTTTGGTCTCAAATCTTGAAAAGACGTTTACCATTTCTCCGGCTAGTAAGCCTCTGGATGGGCAGTTGAGGGTTGTGAGATTTGGGGCACTAGATGGAGAGAAGACGATGGATATCATGAGAGCGGCGTATGCCGATGGGAAGCATGTTGCTATGGACGGAGTGGGGTACACGTCTGTGGACAGTTTACGCATCCAATTCTTGGAAAAGGGCGAATCCTGGAAATGGAGACGTTGTTGCATTGATGGATTAGTTGTTGGAGTTGAGGAGGGAGGGTGGATGGAGGTAGGTATGATGGCAAGAGGCACCGAGGCTGTAGAAATTGTGCATGATATTTGAGCTGCCATCTATTGTTCTACACTATATTCATCATACGAGGCTGTAGTGTAGTACCGCTCCTATGAGTTCCTAGATACGATAGCCTTAAGAGTTAACAGATATAAATTAACCATAGAAAATGGTACGTCGGACGCAACACATCTAACGCTTGCCCCTAATAGAAGGCGGGCTAACACCTAAGTACGTTATTCTACGACTTGTTCTTCAGGCTCAAACCCAGACCTGTGGCGGTATACTGTATGCCCAATCCGTCCTTCGCCCACATAATTCCCAAAACTCACTTGCACTATAGAATGGGCACAAGAAACCCCCCAGTCATAGATGGTCGAGATATTCTCCCAGGGCAGCTTGAGGACTCTTAAACCTCCATAAGTATCGACGCAAATATTACCCAGCTTGTATTCACTCATGGTGGATGTGAGCTAAGAACGACGTATATACATGCACAGTCGATGTCGATAACTGGACGTTTTATTAGGATTGGAGTAGTGTGCGGCATACGAAAATGTTGCTCGATGACTTTAGGAAAGGCTTGATTGGTGTATCAGCTCCAGGCTCTCATAGCGCCTTCTAAGCACCACATGTAACAAGCATCATATGCAGAAGCTACTACATCTAAGCTGGATGGCTGGATTGAAAGTATTTACTTACTCTGGCTGGGGCATGTAAACAATATTTTGAGAGCTAGAGAACGAAATACCCGACCCACAACTTGCTTCCTGGTATCTTCCTAAATTCAATAATAGAACAATATGCGTAGTTCTCATAATGGTGCCAAGAACGCCTGTTAAAGTCATGCCAATATTTCCTCAGCACCTGACTCCATCCTTTACCATAGCCCCAACTCCAGTCGCTCCAGTTACGCAGCTATCTAGGTAGCGAGTAAACATCGCTAAAATATATACAAAAAGGATCGACTTAAATGGCGAAATATATACCAGGCGGAGGATACAAAATGGATTTATATCCAATGGATGGGCTGCGCCTTCATATCCACAGTATTGTCATGGTGCAATAACTTAGCCGCAGTATCACAGTCCTGATAGCACTCCATGCCTTTGGGCTCCATTTGGTATGGAGGGGGACATGACTGACAAGACGGTTCCTTAAGGTTTTCGTCGAGGGAAATTGCACCGTGGCCGGAAAGCCTTCGAAGCAGCGATCGCCTATTTACTTGATTAGTCCTCCTCCCCATTCTTGAATAATGGATATTCTTGTGGTCCGACTCACAGATTTCCCAACTTCGCGATGACTTCCACGCATACAACCACCGCAACGAAGATCAACACGATTCCGACAGCCACGCCATCTGTGCCATTGCGCACATCGGGTCCTGCATTCTGCCTTGCAGAGTATGCCTGCGACTTCACGGCCGCCCGACAAGCACATTTTAGTTCACGCCCATCGCCAGGCACAAACGGCCCGTCACCAAGTACCACGTGCTCCACGGCTTCGTCTCTTACGCTGCCAACAGGTAGCGATGCCCAGTATCTCTTTGCGTCGTCCTCTCGTAGTCCCGGAAGGGCGCTGGTGGGCTTCGCGGGCGATGCACTAGATGCGCGGTGCGGGGCCGCTTGGGGAGGCTTTTGTAGAGCGGGCGCGGATCCGGGACCTGCGAGCGAGAGAAGATAGGAGGATGAAAGAGGTTGATCCGCAGTGAGTGCGGTGGAGGGCGAGAGGCTAATGCTCGGTGTGAGTGGGTGATTGTCGATTACGGTATCTATATCTTCCGACACGAGCTGATGGTCCGGGAAGTGCGGGTTTCGTAGCTTTGTGGCAGGCGTATCCGGCGGCGAGGGGAATGGATATTCAAGACAGGACTGGAATGGGCACAGGAATGAGGATCCCAAGCCAGCTCTGTGGGGGATGGGTGCCGATGCCGCGGCGCGTATGAAGAGAAGGAGGGAGACTGGTGATGCTGCTGACTTCATGTTGACCAAATGTCGGCCTTGGTTCTGTGATTGAGCTGAAGTATTGGGGATCTTGTACCAAGCCGGAGGATATCGCGAATAGGATCGCCACGAACCTCGAGGGCTCGATATCGGGGCTATGTTGTGCAGCTGCAAGGTAAGGTAAGGTACGGTAACTTAGGGATGCTCTAGGAGCGGGTAGCACGCCGGCTCTCAGTTAACCAACGCCCTCGTGCTCGAAGGCGAAGCCGGAACAAACGAAACGGAGCGTTCGTAGGCGGATGTGGAGGCAAACAGGTTGATAACAGCGTGGGCGGAGGGTGCGAAGGGGGGGAGCTATTCAACCTTTAAAGGCACGACCATTGCCGGGTGTAACACTGTAACTGTAACCCTATGAGGCTTATGCCTGTGGCGTCGCCGTCGCCGTACGAAGTAGACCCTTGGGGACTAGGAGTCTAGGAGTCTAGGGGCCTAGGGGGCCTAGGAGGAGAAAGGAAGCTATTGGCAAGCTGGCAAAGACGAGGGAGGTGGAGTTTTAGTCTCTGTGTTGGGTCGAGTGGGCTTCGGGGTCGTGCAGCTGAGGGATGTCACTATCTTCGTCGCGGGTTGGTTGGAGAATGCGCAGACTGGACTGCGCAGCGCGTTGTGCGTGCGTAGCTGGCTGTCTTACGTTTGAGTCTTTACCAGATTGACGCAGGATCAGCAAAGTAAGGTAGGTACATGAACAGTACATGTACATGTACCTACCCACCCAGGAGCCTACAGAACCGTTACCCAGGTAGGTACTAGGACGATACTTCGTCCCTGGGGTTTTTCTTCTGTGCGCTCGTCGTCAAAATATTATTATTCGTCGTACTGTGCGAGTACTGGACGTTGGCCGTCGCACCAGTAATCCGCTACGAGTAACCCGCCAATACTCTCCACTGATCGACTACGAAGCACTCGAGTATGTGTAAGACTGTGCAAGTACTAGCAACTGCTGCCGGGCTTCGCAGTAACTCAGCTACTCGAGCAGTCTCGTACTTCGGGTACTCGTACAGGAGATAATAACCCACCTCCGTACATGTACTGTACATGTACTTATGCACCACCACCTCTCCACAACCCCCAAAAGCTTGTCTCTGCTAAGCCTCGTTTCGAGCGATCTAGATCCCCCGACCTGGCCAAGACGTGACGGCGGTGTCCCTGGTCGTGGCGCAATTATCATTATTGGGTATTTTGTTCGTGCTGCCGAACGAAGCAGTTCCGCGGGCCACAGGGCTCGACGCCGTACGGCCATAGGCTGTATAGGCTGTAGGGGACAGTAACTACCTAAGGTACGGGTACGGGTACTCGTACCTAGGTCAGGTAGGGAGTATAGTACGGTATACGGTATAGGCTCACCACCCACCACACCACGGCCTTGGCCCCTTTCGACGGACATGGACGCGATGGAGTATTCCCTTATTATTATTCCCCCCTCCCTCCGGGCTGAAGCATGGCACCACGACTCCACGACATCCACTTATACTCGAGTACGAGCACACTCCCGTATGGCCGCCGCCGGGCTGCGAGCCGTGGGATGATTAGCGGCGTGCGGTGCGGAGGAAAGGGCTTGCTCGTACGGGTATTCTCCGTGCTCCAGACTCCAGACTCCAAAGCCCAGAGGCCACCCACAGATCTAGACTCGCGATGGCTCTGGTTGGCCTTAGGCGTACGAGCAGCGTGTGCAAACGTGCAAACGTGCAACGTGCGGAGTACGCGCTCTCCGCTCTCTCTCTATTCTCTGCTCTCTGTTCTCTGTTCTCTGTCTCGGTGCTGGCGTTGCTCCCCGGACACGAGGTCAATCTTACTATTACACTACCTTACATGGCACACCACGAAGCACGGTACTCGTACCGGGGTGCCTTACGATGTGCTTCGTACGACAGCTATCTGACCGAGTCATTCACATAGTGCCTAGGTACTCTGTACTGTGTACACAGCCAGTACGAAGCACCAAGGACGCCGAATAGCCCACCGACATTTCTTGAATATCCACCAGTATCTAATAAAATCCCACAATAATATAATACCTCAGGTAGGTGCCTAGAGTACTCGTACCTCTCTATCCCATCGCTTGCACGTGGCCCTCTAGGGTAACGTGATGAGCATCACGTGGTTGCCCCCCCCCCCAGCCTCGACACCACATTACGGCAGCCGAGTCAGCCGTCAATTGCTGAAACATTATTTGCGAGCCCGAGGCTGAACAACAGAACAACTGAACAACTAAACAATTCAATAATCCAACTATCCAACAATCCAACAATTTGGCAGCTTTCTCCTGTTCCATTACTGTACCTCCAAGACCTCTATGACGACGACACCCGCATTATGGTGCCCACCCAGGCGCCTCTAACCTCCAGCTCGGCCACAACGACCGCGACATTAGCACCTTTAACGGGAAGCACCACCCTCTCCACGCTCACGGCGCACCCGCGGTCCGTCGCGACTGATCGTACCCTTCTGGCGCCTGAAGATGCTATCTATCAACAGTCACCCCCGCGAAAGCCGCCTTCCGCTGTCAATCGCCTGCAAAATGAGAAGGCTTTGTGCATGACAAGTGGAATGAATGGGGACATCGCGGTGCCTAAGAGAGGAAGGCATAAAAGCCGGACGGGGAGCGGGAGCAGGCGGAGGAAGGGCAGTTGGAAGAGATTATTATGGGTGAAGCAATCCTGTAAGCATCGTTTTTAGCAGGGCGCGTGGCTAGGCTATGGGCTTGACTGATGCCAGTATGCCATAGATCCTGACAATTACACCGATCAAGAGACCTTTCTCGAACATCTCCAGCGGAATCCGCGTCTCCAGCCGTATGACTTCTGGCCGCTCGTGGCAGACTCCACCGTCATAGTACAGCACGTTTGTTCCGTAATAATCTTCATCGTCTGCTTCGTCGGCATCTTCCAGGACCGCGTCTCCCCAGTTGCGGTGGTGGGATGGGGCAGCTTTGCAACGTTTCTAGGGTGGCTACTATGGGACTGGTGGCTAGGACAAGAAGATTCTCCTCCTCGACACCATCCCCCTCCAGGTCTTGCCTCGCCGCCTTATACTTCGACGAGTGCTGCTGCGGTCTCGAGCCCAAACCTTCCAATTCACAGTCCAACTCCCATCCGGCACTCTCATTCCGCATCTGCCTCGTCAATACATTCGACTGCATCTCAACCGGCTCCCAGTAGTCCGCGACTTGCGCCCAATTTGCCCTCCCCAAGTACCTCCCAACCCCTGAGCCACCGAACATCCCTCCGTCTCTCGACCGCCAAATCCGCGCTCCTAATCTACTTCACTCTCCTCGGACTCTCCCCAATTCTCAAATCCCTAACGCGCTCCACATCGTCGGACTCCATCTGGGCAATGTCCTTCCTTCTCTTCACTATCAACATATTCTTCTTCGATTACGGCACTCCCGCCCCGTCATCGTCAGGCAAAACCGCGAATAAAAATATTCCCGCGTCTCTGAGCACCAATGCGGCACTTATGGCAAGCACCGTGCTCGCAAGCAGGCTGCCTAGTACCGGGCAGGTGTTTAGCCTGACATTATTTAGCATTGAAGTTTTCGGGCTATTCCCCGTATTTAGACGCTATGCGAAGCAGCGTAGCTGGAGAGGTCAAGTCGCGCTCACCAGCCTGCTGGTGGTGGGGACTGGAGGCGGCGTGGGCTTGATTTTAGGACGTGGTGGAGATGGGGAGGGCATCTTGGATTTTCCTTGGAAGTCTGGGTTGATGGGCGTGTTTATTGGGGTCGTAGGCACGGGGTTGGCCATGGGGGGGTGTAGCTGGTGGTTAATTGGGTTGCAGAAGTATAAGAACGAGATTCATGGGCCGTGGGATCCAGCAAGGCCGATAATTAGGAGGCATTGGGAGGATTATTAATGATGGTTTATATACAACTAATCTAATACCCATTTTTGTATGCGTTAAAAGCAAGCCTATGAGCTCTATCTATCAAGGCCTCTAACATCAACGAGCCTCGTCCTAACTAGAATCGACATATACCGGCGGACCCCGCCGAGGTTTTCCTGATATGACCCTATTTATTTCTTGTCGAGGGGCCTTATGTATTAGAACATAGGAAACGGTCCTCTAAACTCTCGTTCAAGTTCCTAGATTCTGTACTATCAAGAACTATGTTTTATTACCGTCACGGATCCCTATGCCACAGAGTCACATTTCTCGCTCACTAAGCTAGCCGCTCATCGAACTTCCTTGCTAATTTATTTGAGCCGCCGACTTGGTTGTGCTCAAGTTACTCCATATCGTAGAAGCTGTTTCTGCAGCAGGTGGTGTTCCCCCCAGAGCCCCCAAGAAGGAAGTTAGAAGCGAAAGTAAATACGATTTAACCCTAGTTATGAAGGCTATTTAACCACAGTCTCTGCTTCTCCGTTCATGGGCTCCATATTATGTAGGGTCTCGGTGTATATAACAGCCTATAAACATAGAACAGCTCAGGTTCGTACTAGGCCCTACTTAGGGGTATCCACCAACCTCCCTCCCTTCCCGTATTCCAAACCACATCACTAATCAAGGAACTGGATACGGCCATGCCTAGAAGGCATGGCTCATAACCGAAGTTCACCAGTCTAGGTAGGAAAGAAAAGAATTTACACTATCCAGGCGAGGGTTTTAAAATATCTTGCTTGCTTATGCATGTGCAAAATCGTGTTTCAGTTCCCGCTCTACCTGTATCCCTATCTCAAACAGGCCATGTACATCCGCTTGAAGAAGCAATCCCCACAGAGTAAGATGCCACCAGTTGTTGCCCCTAGGCAAGAGGGAAATGCCATAATGTGGTATCAACGAAAACGCCTAAGCACCAAAAAGTCAATCCCCACTCCCACCATATTTGTCCATGATATATCCAGATCAAAGTCTTTTTCAGCAAAGCATATAGAATTTTGCTGCTTAACGTTCATCCTAACGCCCTCTGTCATGGAACCCACGTCAAGACGGCCACGCTATCCCTCTCTGGAAGTTGCTCCCCTACTCCAACCCACCTGCTATCATCCTTCTTCTTTGCATATATCTGCTGCACCTTGCCCTCACTCTCAGTCCTCGAGTCAAGTAGCGTCCAACTACGCTTCCTTCCCGACTTAGCAAGATTCTTCCTCATGTCTCCAAAAGAATAGCTGAGGAGCACATCTTGGGTGTCGCCTTGAGGAACTTCGAACGTACCCTCAACTTTCTCCAGATCAAAATCTATCCCCTTCGGGTATTCGGCAATGCTGAAGCCATTGGCGACGACGAAATTGTCTTTGAATTGAAACCGCTGCAGAACGCAATCTTCTCCACAGGCATCGGCGACAAGGTGGATCTTGGCGGGCTCAGCATGATGCCAGGACTTGTAATGATGCAGACTGAGTGGCTGTTGCCCACTCTCGTAGAAGCCAGAGGGGTCGCCAAATTGGTCTACTTGATGTAGTGAGGGAAGGTGGGTTAGTGTGATTTCGGTATAGCTGTGCAAACAGTTGTAAAGCAGCCGGTCTCCTTCTGTAGCATTGAGGATGTATGTCCCTTCCGGTGTCTTTTCAAGGCAGGGAAGTTCAGCGATTTTTTGGGCCACAGGCGTCGTAAGGAAGACTCCCCCACCACCGTAGGCCATAGGCACATGGTTTGCGAGCATCCAATCAACTCGCTCAGTGAAGGTACCGATATAATATGGTTTGTTATGGTCGTACTCAGAGAGGGTCAGCGCTAGTTGGGACATATACGGAAAGAAGGTATCGTCATCGATGAGAGCGAAGTACTTGCGCTGACTACGCATGGGGTGCGTATAGAGCATTCGAACAAGATCGACATATCGCCCTGGCATATCAAGATCGCGTTTTGACGCGATAACTGTTGCGTTGATGCCAGCAGCTGCCAGATGCTGCCGTGCGGTATTGATCTCGCCGCTAGTGACCTGGAACAAGGCCAGGACCAGATGAGCACCATTCGAACCCCCCTTTCCATCCGTAAGCCATCTCGCCCACTCCTTTATGGGCCCATTGACCTTATCATTGAATCGTTTAAACGTGGTTGAAACGCCGATCATCAGAGATGATCCGTCGGCATCGCTAGGCCGCATAAGCTTCTTGACATGGACGCCAAGAGACGGCCCCTCGGGGAGAGAGGATATGGTATCGAGACTGAGGTCTTGAAATCCGTATTCAAAAAGATCGTGGTCGACTGAGGTCAAGAGTGGTCGGTCTTTTGCATCGGGTATGTATTGGAGTGTGCGCGTGGCATACGTGATCTCGGGGCCGATGGAGTAGTCCTTCAAGACTCTCTTCACCCACGAGACCTGGCTCAATTCACTACTGTTGGGCGATGAGTATACGGAGGCCTTTGATGTCGAGAATCTAGGAATTGACACGACGGTGGACGTCGGAAGGTAGTAGTAGATAAAGACGACAATGAAAAAGAGAGCGAGCCATCGGTACAGCGGAGTGCGAGGTCTCATGCTTGGGGAGGTTGCCGCAACAGTAAAGGGTATAGACATCCTCAAGATCAAGAAATGAAGGACGAACAGGTCTGCACAGCAGGTAGATTAACGGATGGGGACACAAGAGGGACGACAATCGAAGGGAAATGCCCGGAAGGGAGTGGAGCCGGAAGTACTCGACGTGGGTTCTAGATGGCAATGCCGAACAGTAGCATGCCCTAATGGTACCGGAAAGGAGCCATGAAGATGAAAAGTGAAGTGGGTGAATGTGAAAGTGAGAGTGATTGTGGTGTAAGTGTGGATGTGAAGATGTGCATGACACTTGGAGTTCCCAGAAACGCTGGAGTAACTGTAACAGCACCAACAGAGGCGGGACGAGGGAAAGAGGGACGGGTATGCGCAGCAACTCGGCAGAAACTGTAACTGCAACTATAACTGCGAGAGAAAGATAATAATTCGAAAAATAAAGTGACCGCTATTTCGTATATAGTACAGAACGGTACCCTTCTGACTTGCGCTTCCTTCGTCTTGGTGACGAGGAGGGGAGCGGAGAGCGAAGCAGACTCTTGTTTACCAAAGCGTACGAAGTAAAGGACACGAGCAACGAGCAAATAGTAAGAGTAGTACCCAAACGCCGAATATCAAATACCAAGTACTACGCGACGACGGGAGTGATGCAAATATGTGCAACTCGGTGTTTTTGTGTTGAAGGAAACCAACAAGTCCGATAAGGTTATGCTTACAAAGTAACGGTACGCTATGATGACACGGTATTCTATAAGCTAACGACTCTTGACAAATATCTACCTAGGTACAAAGCGTGACAAGCTTTGCGTCTAGCATTCCCATAGTATATTTTCAGTATAATTGTAGTCCATCATTTGGTCTATAGTGATTTGTTTGCTAGTACGGAATACGAGCTGCTGCTACTCCCGCTTATCGTCGAAGGCAAGCTGGGCGCATACTTCGTAGATCAAGGGAATAACCAAATCGTATGTTATCGTCAACAAGGGTCCATTTGGTTCTATTCTGTAGAATCTAGCAAGAAATCATGGTATCGATTTATATATTGGAATGCTAATGGTCGGTTTTTGCAACTCTCATTGCTACACGAGCCTTCTCATGTCCTTGGGCTCCGCAAAAAGCCCACAACACCACCACAGAACCCGACCAAGTCTCCTAGCCTAGTACCCTCCTCCTGCTGGCATTGTCTCCATTCTCCAAGCGCCTGCACCAGCTTATCATCGTGGCTCAGAGCATCCAAGTGCAGCCTCAGGAATACAGTCATCCACGCCTGCACCAATTCATAATCCCGCTTCTGCCTCAGTCTGCTCGTGAGAGCTTCTACAAAATTAACAAGCTCATCGGACTCTGATTCGGTGCCTCCCGGATTAAGCGACCGAATTTCAAGGTCTGCCGCCGACGGAGAGAGAGTTTTGAGGTGGTTGATGAAGGCGGTATCTAGCTAAGTTAATACTGGAAAATCCTATCATTGTTGGGAAGGAGGGGAATGCTTACAATCTCCGCCTTCGCCGCCGGATCGAAGAGCGACTGTGAATGCACCTTCTGATGCAAGACGGTCCATCTTCATAATGCGAGAGCGCTCAGCTATGCTATCTTCGGCCTGTTTTTCCTCCACGGCAGCCGTTGGCATTGGCTTTTCAAGTGATGGCAGGAAGAAAGGCGCTTTCTCCGGCACCTGGGGCGCATCTTTCGGTTTGTTACGCTGTCTAATGAGATCTAGGTGCAAAAGCGTTTGCCACCTACTTTTAGGGATCAAGCTTAGGGTCATCATATCGGTACTTAGCTGATCGATGACGGGAGCGGGTCCAGCATCTTGGCTCTCCTCGACTTGATCCTCAAAGGCGCCATCGATTACCCCATGGCCGCCTTCACCAGAGACTGTTGGGCCTGCCATTTCTGCGACCTCATTTTCAGAGATATGCCTTGTAGGGACATGCGTGAACAATGTCTTGTTGTTCCAGATGTTCACCCCTATCTCCCCTTCGCAGGTTGTGGCAAGGAATTCGCCTGTGCCTGAGAAAGCTAACGCCGTACATTGGGACTTCATCCGGATAGCATCAATCAAGTGGCCCGTAGGAAGATCCCAAACTCGCACAATGCAGTCGCTTGAAGCGGCAATGACCCATCTCCCATCATTTGAGAAACAAAAGTCGTTGATGACACCAGTGCTACCCCACAGCTCTCGAATTGTCTTCTTAGTCTCGATATCAACCACTCTGATAGATAAATCATCACTTGCGACTGCTATAAGATCATTCGAAGCATGATATCGCATTCCGGTAATCGATGCCATTGGATGCCAATCAATCTCATCGACAAGATTCCCCGTTCCAAAATCCCAAAATTTGATACTTCCATCCAGTGAACAACTAATGAGATGCTTGGTTAACGAGTCCACCACAAGGCCAGTGACCGCTTTGGTGTGCTTTCCTAGTCCAGCGGTAAATTTCTTTCCTAGCTTTGATCCCACTTCAAGTGAACCATCCTGTACTTGAAGTTTCTGGAGTTTGAGTTTTCTGGCTTGGGCTGGGGTTAATCTAGGAGGGTACCTTTGACGGTGCATTCCGGACTGAAGATTGAACGAATCAATCCCGCCAGCATCTGATCCGACAACAGCAAACGTTCCATCCGGGCTTACTGCCACACTTCTGACATTCGCTCCATCCCCCGTCTCAAAAGCCCATCTTCCAGCTTTCTTCCTTCCCCAGAACCAAGTTCGGGCATATCTATCGTCTTGGTGACCTGTGACAATGCTTTCCCATCCAGTCATCCCGCTCAGCGTGGCATCTGTTGGTTTCTTGGATGCATTTGTGCTTTTTTGCCACACAGCCCCAGTTCCTGCACTTGCTCCCATCCCGCCATCGCGATTCAGCGATATAGCAAGGCAAGTTATCTTTGCGGCCTTCAAATCCTCCAAACTTGTGCTAAGTTCATTTGGACGCGAAACATTGCCCAATATCCCCAGCTTTTTTGCCTTTCGGCGAATGTTTCCCTGGCTGAGCTCTGTACTTTGACCATCTCTTCGAAGACTCCATCCCCACAAACTTCGATCTTCCCCCGCGCTAAGCAGCCATTTTCCTCCGGCATCCGCACCATCAGAGTCGGAGGGAAGGAACAATAATTTCGTCACCGGTGCGGCATGCCCGCTTCTAGAATGCAAGATTCGCGGGATGGGAGAGTATGGCGTCTCATCAAATACCCAAGATTTCAAGGAATTATCCAGCCCACTAGTAACGATGACCGGCTGACCAGGCAGGAATTCAATCTTGCTCACCCCGCCCCCTACCACGGCTTCGCCCTCTGAAGGGGGATTATGGGCGCCTCTAAGTACGCCCATCACTCTCCCACCGCCGTTAAGATCCCAGAATGTCACATCCCCATTGTCTGGTCCGGCAGTGGCCATTACTCCTGGTTTTCTCCCATCCTCGCCAGCTCCAAGATCATCGGTTCGAAACGATATCGATGTAATCATAGAATTCGAATCTCCTCCAGAGAGTTGAATAATCGCCTTGTCGACTCGTATATCATGTACCGTGAGGGCGCCCTCGGAATACGCAATCGCCAATAGTGACAATGCTGGGGTTGGTTGCAGGGCAGTAACAGCACCACAGTTCGCGGCAGGGGGCAATATGGTATAGATCAGCTTTCCGGAGCTCACATTCCAGATCTCGACACTGCCATCCTTCCTGCCAGCAAAGACCTTGTTTAGATATGTCGGCATATTGCAAATACCCCCGGAAATCTCATTCCCGCCCTTCTGCACCGCGGTTGGGTACAAAGTCGTATAGTGCTCATAGGTAGTCGATTTCCAGACCTCTATCCTAGTCGTGCAGCATCCCACTATCCATGAACCAAAAATGAGTATCTGCTTAATGGGCTGGGCCAGGTCTAGTGGCATGTCCAACCTGGCGACCTCTTTCCCCCGTTGGAAGACCCAAAGACCTTGTGAGGAATCGTTGCTTGGGTCTCCCCATGCTGCGAAGACTCGGTCTTTCCAAGCTTTTGTCGCCGTGATATCGCCGGGCGTCTGTGGACGAGTAAGAAATACGAGATTGAGACCGCGCTTGAGGTCGTATGTTTGAAGACAACGGCCGACTGAGGTAGTAATCTGGAAGGTAGTCTTCCCTAGAGGGATAGATGTAAACGGAACGGTAGTCGAGGATACTAGACCAATTGTCTGGCATATCAACGTTAGCAAAGCGCTGAGTGGAAATTTCAGACTGCAAGAGAGAGTTTATTGGTGTTTGCATACTCGAAAGGGTGTAAATATTCTTGATTCTCGGGGAGTCGTGCGGCGTGCATCTCCCTCCAGGCGATTGAGCTTCTGCCTTTTCGCAACTGGACCATCGGGCACATTGGCGACCACAGTAGAAGGCATATTCCCAGTCTCAAATAGCCCGAGGGGGGTGCCGACGGGTGGAGTTGGTGGGAGGTTGTGATTGTGAGCTAAATACTCCGAAGAGTTCACAAATTGCTTCCGTTGATCTTTTTTATTTTGTACAGTATACCAGTATCATATCTTATCTTGCCTGTCAAGGATCAGGCAGTCACATGATTAATCACGTGTTCGGCTATCTCATCCGCCTACCCAGGTACCCTATGTACCGATGTACCTTCCTCCGCACCATATCACGTATGTTTCAACACAGCCAACTCAACTACCACTAATAATATATAATAAGGGATTTACTTTATTGCCCAAGAGCGTACTACTCTGTACGAACATGTACTTTTGTCTCGGCTCCAAGCCTGTGTCCATCAGATGCCTGCTAAGTTCTAACTCAGGCAAAGCAAACAGCTACGACGCTCTCTTGGCCTTGGGCTGGGCTGGCGACATCGTATGGGCAGGAGAGCAAGAGCGTGGCGCTAGCTATGCCCTAACCATTCCAGGTTCCCTAGTTATGCCCTAGCTATGCCCTTCTTTCTGCTTCGATTGTACAGAGCGGTATAGTATAGTGGCGAAAGAAGTTACCTAGGAGGTAGTTATGGAGCGTGCACTTTTAGTATCATACCTAATAAAAGAAACCCGCCCCCGGAAGTTCACTCTCTCCATCCCTCGTCATCCCTCTATCCCTTCTATCTCTATCCCCCCCTATCGGCCTTTGTTTACCACGAATAGCTCCCCTTGGAGACAACCACTATCCGTACCAATTACCCGGGCTCCTATTTCTTAGTATCTTTATCTATAAGCGCCCACCCCCCGGGTTAAGCAGTTCGTCGTCGCAAATGGAATTGGAATCGGAATCGACCTCAAGTCTTCGACGTCATCATAGCGAGCTCACACAACTTCACCGCTTAGAAGCCGGATATACCAACAGCTGGTAGTATTCTTCTTTTGTCAATTGCACGCTGGCACCGACCCGTGCTCGTCACATCGCAGCTCAGCTCAAGTCGAGTCCTGCACTTTCACTTGTCACTTCGACTCGTCTTCGCTTTGCCCACTCGTCGCTGCTATCACTCCTCCGTGCGCTCATCTCAGCTCTCAACCGGCCTGTTTACCATGGGCGACGACTCAGTGAGCTCGTCCTTGCCCAGCAAGCCTAACGGCTCCAATGGCCATTCGCTCACCCCACGCGAGACCCCGGCGCAGGCTTCGGACATCGCAAAACGAAACGCTGCACAGAGGGGCGAAGGCGCTCCTCGGGCACAGCCACCGACCAGATCTCGAAGCCGTGCAAAGAGGAGATTCAGTGGTAGCACCGGCGCCAGCAGCCACAGCCCAAGTAGTGATAGAGGCTATCACTCTAGAAAGGACGAGGAGTCGAAGTCCGCGCCATGGGGCGTTATAGGTGTCTGCGCGCTTGATGTAAAGGCTCGGAGCAAGCCGAGCCGGAATATCCTCAATCGACTCATCGCCAACAAGGAATTCGATGTCATCGTTTTCGGGGACAAGGTCATCCTAGACGAAGACATTGAGAACTGGCCCATCTGTGACTATCTTATATCGTTTTATTCCGATGGGTTCCCTTTGGACAAGGCTATTGCCTACGTGAAGGCACGAAGGCCTTTCTGCGTTAACGATGTACCCATGCAAAAGATCCTATGGGATAGGAGGATATGTTTGATGATCCTCGACAAGATCAAGGTCCCTACACCGAAGAGGCTGGAGGTCAATCGAGATGGTGGACCAAGTCTTCTAACACCAGAAATGGCGGCCCATCTGAAGGAAACGACGGGCGTGGTCCTGGACGGGCCCGAAGACGGGACTGGCGGCCAGATGAGTCCTCCTCAAGTGGTGGAGCTTTTAAACAACGGTGATACCTTGTCCGTCGATGGCGCGCTTTTGCCCAAACCATTCGTCGAAAAGCCTATTAGCGGAGAAGATCATAATATATGCATATACTATCCTAAGAGCCAGGGTGGTGGAGCTCGAAAACTATTCCGTAAGATAGGTAACAAAAGTTCCGAGAGAGTCGAGGGTATGAATGTTCCTCGCGCTATTCTGGACCCTAATAGCAGCTACATCTACGAGAAGTTCATGAATGTGGACAATGCGGAGGACGTGAAAGCATACACCGTAGGGCCGAATTTCTGCCACGCAGAAACCCGCAAATCACCTGTCGTGGATGGCTTGGTTCGACGCAACACTCACGGGAAGGAAGTTCGTTATATCACCAGTCTTTCCAAGGACGAACAGTCAATGGCAAGCCGGATCGCTATGAGTTTTGGCCAGCGCGTCTGTGGATTTGATCTGTTGCGAGCCGAGGGGAAAAGTTATGTCATTGACGTCAATGGTTGGAGTTTTGTCAAGGACAACGATGAATACTATGATCAATGTGCCCGCATTTTAAGAGAAATGTTTATCCGAGAAAAGCAGACACAGCTAGGACTACCAACGGATAATAGCACCGCCACACCAGCCCAATCAGATGGCACCGCCAGCCCCGTCGTCAGGAAAGATACAGCTAAAGAAAACCATCGGTCAACATTCCAGACACTTATTTCCAGGTCCCCTAGCATGCCCAAATTGCATGCCAATCATAAGAAGGCTCCAGTGGTTGCATCTCCGGATGTTTCGAGCGCCCCGACACCAAGAACATCGCCGCCTGGGGCCGACAAAGGTTTGCAACTTTCAAGCGTACCTGCTGTTGCTTTTCTACCTCCGCCCCTCATGGCAGTACCAACGTCGAGCTTGCCATCCGCATCACCGTCGGCCATAGTATCTACACCAGCTAGTAGCTCGTCACACAGGAAAGAGTCAATGCCACCACCGGCGCCGAAACATACCTGGAAATTGAAAGGTATGGTGTCGGTGATTCGCCATGCTGATCGAACGCCAAAGCAGAAGTACAAGTTTACTTTCCATACGAAACCGTTTGTCGATTTGCTTAAAGGCCACCAAGAGGAAGTATTGTTAACCGGAGAGGCTGCGCTTGACAGCGTAATCATGGCTGTTGATATTGCAAGGCGAGAAGGAATTGAAGACAGTGAAAAGTTGAGGACATTGCGAAACGCTCTTGTTAAAAAAGGGGGGTGGGCAGGCACCAAGGTTCAGATAAAGCCCATGTTCCGAGAAAGGAAGCCGGAGGAATCGTTGGCTAGCATATCTGAAGCCATGGATCCCAAGATTCGGGCTGTAGCCGCAACTCCACAGTCGTCTACAAAAGTACAGGAGAAGGAAGCTACGTATGAAGAGGAAATTTCAACTGCAGGTGAAGGAGCCGGTGAAAGAAATCCCAGAAAACCTCCAACGAGAAGCGACTCTCTTTCTGGCATCACTCTATCTCGAATAACAGCCGCGGAAAACAGTCTCGTTCTAGATAAGCTGCAGCTCATCGTGAAATGGGGGGGGGAACCAACGCACTCGGCCAGATACCAATCCCAGGAACTCGGGGAGAATATGCGAAACGACCTGATGTTGATGAATAGAGAGATCCTGGACGAAGTTCATGTTTTCAGCAGCTCGGAGAGACGTGTTACAACGAGCGCACAAATCTGGGCCTCTGCGTTCACCGATCAAAAGGACCTCCCTTCGGATTTTATCACTATTAGAAAGGACTTATTAGATGATTCGAACGCCGCCAAGGATGAGATGGACAAAGTCAAGAAGAAGCTCAAGACCCTGCTTAGACAAGGAATTGAGGCACCGCCGCAGTTTGCCTGGCCTACAAACATGCCCGAACCTTCTATCGTCCAGGCTTATGTTGTGCAGCTAATGAAGTTCCATCGACGGGTCATGCGCCATAACTACAAAAAGCTCTACGGGGGTTCCTCATCATCCCTCAACACTATTGCAAATCCAGGTGATAAACCAAATGGCAACTCCTCGGCCATGGGCTCGTCCATGGCTCAGGCAACCGCTCAAGGCAACGTCCAGTCCCGCTGGTGCTGCGGCGAAGATGCGGAACTATTCAAGGAGAGATGGGAAAAGCTGTTCACCGAGTTCTGTGACGGGGATAAAGTAGACCCAAGTAAAATTTCTGAGCTCTATGACACCATGAAATTTGATGCCCTGCATAATCGGCAATTCCTAGAATGGGTCTTTACGCCGAGCAAAAGCATCCTCGAAGAGGAGGAGGAGGCCCTTACAGCGGAGTCGAAAGGCATAGAGAAAGAACAGCCAAGAGAAACGGAAGATTCCCATCCAGAATCAAGCCAGACTCAGCCGATAGAAAAGGTGGAAAGCAACAAAGGCCCACACCGCCGCATTTTCAGAAAACGGTCGATGATGGTTGGAAATGGAAACAGAACTACCGAGGAGGCACCAGAGCAATACTTCCGTCTTTTCACTGGCAGTAGCCAAACCAGGGCCAAAACCGATGCACGCCTCGAGAAACTGCGAGAGCTTTACCGGTTGGCAAAGGTTCTATTTGATTTCATCTGTCCACAGGAGTACGGAATTACCGACCATGAAAAGCTCGAAATCGGCCTACTAACATCTCTTCCTTTGCTCAAGGTACGTTAAGCTCTAACGTGCGCAAGAACATTTACTGACTACCGTCCAGGAAGTTGTTCAGGACCTTGAAGAGATGCAGGCATCAGACGACGCCAAGTCCTTTATATACTTCACCAAGGAATCGCACATCTATACTCTCCTTAACTGTATCCTCGAAGGTGGTATTGAAACCAAAATCAAACGCAGCGCAATCCCTGAGCTCGACTACCTCTCGCAAATATGCTTTGAGTTGTACGAATCTGAGAACAAGACACCACCAGATGCTCCTCCTGGAGACGTGCCAAAATATGCGTATTCTATCCGCATCACAATCAGTCCAGGGTGCCATACGTTCGATCCGTTAGATGTGCAACTCGACAGCAAGCACTGCATCGGCTGTGCGCCCAGACGAAGTTTAACTGCGCATGGCGATTGGAAGAAGGTCATCGAGACGCTGAGAGCAAAGTTCCATCAGTCAGTGTTCCCCGATCATGGAATCCGAACAGTACTAACTATGTATAGGGTAAAACTCCCAAAGAGTTTCCTAGCGGTGAATTTGAGCGAGTCGCATACATTTCACAAGAAAGACGAATTAGACGAACTGAAGAAAGACGACTCGACCGCTTCAACGAATCATAGTTGGACAACTATAGATAAGGAGGCTCCAAGAGAAACTCAACACGATGGAAATCCAGTTCAAGACGCAACGGTGCACAGTTCCGGAGCTACTACTCCACACACGAATACCACAAACGCCTGAACAGTTACTACAAGCATTTTGATTTAGTGCCTCTCCATCATATTTTCTCAATGCTTTCACGGACTCGGATGTTATGCCGAAGGGTACCACGCCGCTCATCGGTTAGAGCCCAATGTGTGAACTAGCAATGCGACATTTCATGTAGAAGGTGGGCTGATGCCGCTTTTTTGCTTATCTGATAAAAGTCCTCGGCCGTCCTCCGGGCAATGGAGAGGAGCTCGATTTTGCGACTAGGGTTAGTCTCAGAAACTAGTGGGGGGGGTGTGGTGTTGGTTCATGTAGGTTCATGTAACGGGTTTTAGGTATACATCGTGTACTATTGCATTAGGCAGTAAAAAGAGGGTGGTAGCACTAGACAGGACTCGGGGCGGGAAAAGAACAATAAATCAAGGTCATCAGTTACTCGAGTTTTACCAGTATGGTGCCATGCAGATGGACCTATAAGAAGTATTACATTGATTGGTGCTAAGGGATTCTACAAAATGGCGGATCCTGGATTTATGGGTGAGGATACTCCATTGCCAAGCATCTTGCGCACCATGGCAAGCCCGCCCTTGGTTCGGTGGATGGTTGAGATGTTCACGCCCTTGGCGTGTTCTGCCATGCCTTACGGAGTATGCTCCTTCGACCCCTTGAATGCCTGACTGCCCTACGTGTACCTACATATCGACTCACAGCGGCTCTCATCCACTCGCCTTTTCCCTTTTGTCCGGATTCCGAAGACCGCTGTCGCCGTGCCGCTGCGTGTCGGAGAATTTTGCTTCTTCTGATTTGGCCCATGGATGATAGTTCCGTCTCATGCCCATCGTTTCTCTGTGGGTGTGCTGTACGACTACCTGGTGCGTTTGGAGCTTTAGATTCGGGCTGTGGGGTAATAATAAGACGAGGTATGAGAGCTGTGTGGGTTCCCTGGGCCCGGAGAAGGTATGGGGAAGGGAAGGGGAAGTTGGTTTTGCGCTGGTTTTGGGTTGGGATTGGAACCTTGGAATAGGATTGGGATCGATCAGGTGACCGCTGCTGTACCCGGGATGGAAGTGTCGGGTTAGGGGGGCGAAGTGTATAGTTCCAAATGGTCTCGAATAGCAACCAGCTTCCGGGTTGTTCAAGAGTCGTTCGAGGCGTTCTGCCTTTGGGAGGGGAATAATTAGCTCCGGCATCCAATGCTGTCCGCACTGGAGTGAACTGAATTGAACCGCAGAATACTCGTAAGCTGAAGAGAAAACGGCTCAGTGATTGACTGATGGATAGGTGGGAATGGAACAAGGTTGTGAACGGGAATAGGCCGAGAGTAGCTCCCTGCCTGAGTATCGGAGTAATAAGTTATGGTATTATGCATATCAAAGAGCTTGGCAAAATGATACTGGGTGCGCTCGCAATAACAACAGTTGAATGTGGAAGAATGAGAAAATAGGAAGAAAGGAGGAAAAAGTGGGATCGAGTTGCGCGTATCGCGATGAGACTCAGCGGGGAAAATGAGCGATAACGGTGAGGTGTTGCGGCGATGTGAAGGCGATGGTAGTACACAAGTTGCCAGCCAGGGAGGGCTGAGACTTGTCATATCTTATCGTTATGGCTATCGGTTGGGATCTCCGAAGGGATGGTATCGCCAACCCCCTTGATCTTAACAAGTATGCGGAAAGGGAGAAATTCCATCCCAAAGTGTGCTTCTGCATTCGTATTATAGCCCTAGAAGTTAAGATGCGCCAAGAAAGACAGGATCAATTCAGGAGTGGGCATGGTGTTAGCAAGGTGGCCGTATATCAGAGACCGAGGGGCCGGCGGGATCCGGAACAAAGCCAGGCAGGATTAGGGCTTCGGAGGTTGGATTGGGCGGAAGAACGGTGGAGTTATTGTGCTTAGGAGATGAGGCCGGGCGGGCATTGGCTCTTGGACCTGAAAAAATCAAAAGGACTTCGACGGACGATACTACTCAAGTATAGCCTGGGACGCAGCGCTGGATCCAGGTGGGTGTGCTGAAGCCTGCCGACCAGCGTCTGCCTGGTCCCTACAGTATCCAATCCCCGGAATAATAGGGGCACTCATGTCTACAGTAGGCAGATTCTGATACGGCCATTCTTGGCACGAAGAATCCCAAGCTCATTACTCATTGCTCACCGCCAAATCCAATGTCCGAACCGTGGGCGTATGGATGGTGAAAGGCGACGTGCTCGAGCAGCAAATAGGATGCGTGCCATCGCTACAGGCGTAGCTTGAGGACGTACCGGCCCCCAATAATGCATTCATTCATATAATAATGGCGACATATCAATGAGAATATGCCGTTCGCCATCCGTTATGCTTATTCAAACCGGCACCAGCGGCCGGGGGCCATTCCAGGAGGGATAGGATGCCAGCTTATTTCCGGCGCATGGCTGCTGTGGCATCTCATAGTAAATCCGAACTTCATATTCCAAATTCTTCAGCATGAGGGTTGAAATTCCAAATATTCTAGCAAAGCCCTCGTAGCTCCCGGAGCGACCGTCGGTCTTAGGGACCCAATAGCTTGAGGCCTATGCGCACAATAACACCGTGACGGCTTAAGCGTAATTCGCCCTTTCCGACAAGTGATGTGTCGTGACGATCGCGCTCCACGAGCCGGTGCGCCGAGCGAGCGAGTTGGCAGACGAGGCCAGGCTCGCCAGGTCGGGAGATGTTTCTGTGCGTGTTTCGAACCTCCGACTCGTGGATAGTCGACTCAGAGGCGGAACAACCTCGAACGCTTTGCTGGCCTTTGCGTGGCGTGCTGGGCGGTTCAACCGGATGAGCCACCTGCCATCGACAACCAATTTGACATGCAAATCCGAATCCGCAAGAGAGACGTTGCGGTCACATTGTTTGATACGGTCTTGAAGTTGGCCTCCCGGGATCCCGATTAGGCACGGCAAGGGCTGGCTGCTGGCTTGCATGATGCATCGGAGAATTTTGATCGGTGACGAGGCTGCTTCGGGTTCTAGATGCAGTACTTCGTAGTATGTGGTGGTAAAGGTCGGTATGGCAGGGAAGCTGTTGATGGTAGCTCAGGGCCGCCATGTACATAGAACTGATACGTACAGCAGTAAGACACTCCGCATGCTGAACCATATTGCCCTCTATGGCTATCAGAAACTTCTGTGGGAGGTTCGAAACATGCCTGTGCTATGCACGCCCGGCTCAACTATTCATCTGTGCATGGCAAGTCCAGAGTGCAGCTTACGACGAGGGCCTTCCTCCGCCCGACTCCAAAGATAAATGTAATAAGGCCATAGCAAGTACTCATGCCACGTTTTGGCGATTCTCTGGGCCTGTGGCGATTCAGTTCTATGGTTTGGCGATTGTGCCCGTAACTAAAACCTGGTAGCTGGGTGTTTCAGCGCGTATATCACTCTCTGGCTTCCGAGCTCATGGACCAGTTGGCTGCGGCGAAAGAAGGCAGCGGAAATAACCAGAGTAGGGATTGCTATGGACCGGCTCCACTACCAGGTACTTGGCATATCGCTCGGCATGCGGAACAGCAAGATTAGGGCAATGGAAGCTGATTCGAAGCTGATCGACATCGATGTCCCGAAGGCAAGCCTCGTCTCTAACCTCCAAACATCTTACCCTGGGCGCCTCCCCATGTGCCGTTGTCATCCCTTGCACCACTACACGCAGCTTTTGGGCGCCCCTCCAACTGGGATTACGATGATCGCCTGTACCTTTCTGCTTCCTGAGTTTCTGTCTGCCAATGGGTGGCGTGTAAACCAGGACATAGCTGAATATATTGGTTGTTTCAATGTAACTCAGGAGAGATGATATGTCGGCGGATAAGGAAGACCCTGGGAAATTGAATAAAATCAAGCGATGAATCATGTTTCGGGCCCGTCTAGTTGCTTCGATAGGAGCAGATGAGCACCGGGTTCCAGATCTCCCCAGCCGGCGCTCTATGATACGCGCTTTCCGTTGTCATTGATCGCCAATGCTTCCCGGCACCCAAGTCCTGGGGTTCCAACAAGGAGCCCTGGTGCAGAGAAATCCTCCGTGGGCCGCATGTCAATTCCGAGGGGCGTCTATGTCCATGTGCTAATCGTCCACGGCGGAGCGTCTGGTGCGTGGCCGAGGGACCCATAGCAATATCCTGCCAACTCTGAAGGATGGTATTTGATGGAAAGAAGTTGGCGGAGCAGGTCCTTTCGAACCTCTTTCGACCCCCCCCTGCTACCACGAGGCAAGTGGATTTTGGCTCCGTCTCACCTCTCGGCTCTGGCCCCTCTCATCCATCCGTCCCCAGATCATCGCTGCTAGGTACGAAGTGCAGTGTACGAGGGTTCCGTGGAACAATAATGTATCTGACGAACCCCCCCATAACATACCGGTAGACCATTCGTGTACTCCGTAGGCCCATGTAATTTCTCTACTACTGTACCCAGGCCCCTTCTCCTCATGATGTTGGATGATGATGATGGCAAATGCCGTCGTAACTTGCCATCCTTTATACGGGCCCCAGCAATAAAGACGTTTTTCCGCTCGTTCGTGCCCCGCTGCATATTCAACGCCACCCGCAACTACAAATCCCGTGGATAATATGCTGATCAACTCATGCTGCCACCCAAGGGCTAACGGCCGGATCGTCCGCCATACGAAGCGGCTTTCTATACCAGCGCGGTTAAGACCCAATCTCGAACCTTGCCGTCAGAAAATAGGGGCGGCCGCAACCTCCCGCCGATAGCCAAACCACCAACAGCAATCACGTTGCCCCGAAGAGTCCAAGTCGAGGTTGCGAGATCCAAGAGAGGGGAGCAAGCGCTCGCCAGGGGCTTCGATCACCAAATAGGGACTCTCCAACAGCTAGTGATTGAGCGTAGTCCCACCGCGATCTCACCCCATGATCCCTAACCCAATTCTTCGGTTTTTTTTTTCTCTTTCAACCCTCACTCCAAAGGCCACATGCAGGTCCTTACGCTGTACTCGACACAGAGCCTACGCGTACACATTCTCACGAAGGTAGCATAACAGGACGGTATCGATATGGCGCGGCCTTGCCAAGGCAGACTGTTCTCGTCGCACCCGTCCGAGCAACTATGACGGTGGGTCTTGGGGAAGTTTTGCACAAGTTACGGTTGACACGACGGCACAGTAGATGGAGAGCTGTGACACTGCCGAATCGAAGGGCAATACGCTGATAAGTACGGAGCACAGTTGATGATCCAAACCCGGTACCTCGTCCGGTAGGTCCGGAGTATGTGGTTGACATGTTGAGTATCTACGAACGTCAGCGATTGGCACCGTCGAGCGGATCTCAGTCAAACCAGAACACC